TACAACGCGCTGGGGGACGAAGACTTGGTGCTGGTGCTGCAGGGCAAAGACAAGCGATTCGCGGGCCATTTGAAGACAAAGGACAGCTTTCGGTCGTTTTTTCAAGGCATTTCGGCCGCGCACCTGGAAAAACTGTTGCGTCGGGCGTACGGCGACAGCGACAAGACCCAGCGCCGCATGCAGTTGATGGAAGGCAGGATGGCCGTGGCGTAACCACTCTTTATTATTCAAAACACTCCACACACACACACAAAAACACACGCCGTCCGTTGTGTGTCCTACGCGGCATGCAGCTCGGCTTGGATCTTGCTGATGGCAACGGCGTCGTCCTGCGGCGCGGAACTACTGACTTCGTCGAGGCATTCCACGAGGCTGTCCATTCCGTGCTCGAACCCCAAGTCGTCGGCAAACACAAGCAGTCGGTTTTGAAACAACCCGGCGAGTTTTCCTGCAACGAGTGCGCTGACACAAACACCCTCATGCGCAACGTACCGGCGCCAGCAAGTTTCGAATGCAAGCAAATCGGTACAATGCGCTTTCCCTTGTCTTCTGCAAACGCAAGCTGGTCGCTGACGAGAGATGTCAAAATGCTCTCGGCCGACAGCACGACGAGAAAGAGTTGGCACTGGAGAATCGCGTCCTTGGCGGCAACCACGCGCTCCTTCAGCCCCGACACCTACACACCGTCACGATGAACTCACGTCGCCTTGTATCGCGTGGGGTACATTGGAGTTTGAGTCGACGAGCACGGACGCGCCTCGTTGGCGCAAGTGAAACCGGAGCTACCCCACAGAATAGCATGACGTTCGTCGCACCGACCGCCCGCACCAACCTGTTGAACAAATTCGGGGTGGCAGTCGCCGTGCGAGACAAAGATTGAATGCGGTTTGTGTTTCGAGGGCGTGGCGGCATGCAGGTACCGCGATGACGTGCCGAGGACTGTTTTGGCGAGTCCATTCGCCATGCCATGGGGGTTGCGTCTACGTGCATGCCCGTCAGTCGCATGGCGGCAGGCGCCTCGACGATGACATTCCCACCTCTTGCCAAGACGGTGGAGTTCAACTTCGTCGCGCAGCCCATCGAGCAAGGACCGAAGCGACTGCGTAAACACATCATGGTCCATCGTGAACGCATACAGGCCACTGGTCAGCGGATCGATCGCCTTTTGAATGACACTGCGCTGGAACGGAATGATCTGCCGCGTGAAGAGGTACACTTGCAGCTCCTCGGACAACGGGCCGCAGTCGCAATTCACGGCAACGACTACTCAACACAACGCGCGCGCTGACGCTTCCACATGGCGTGAACGATATCGAGGCCACGTACCCGGAACACTATACTGCTTCGCCAGCGCCAACTCGGACATGCACAAGTTGTGGCGACCATATCCTTCCGAGAGCACGCACAGGACGACGCTTACGCCCTTGAGCAGGGTTTTGTTTGGCACTACAACGTGTCGTGGTTGGTTAGCAGTACACATGATGTCAGAGTGGACTGCAAGGCGCTAGGTGCAGCGCTCGCCGCCATCGTGGCCACCATTCGGCCCACGCAGTACGAGTCGTACCCGTCTCGAGCACGGGCCGAAGGTTCACCGAGATAAAATTGGCTTCGATCGCGTCGCACACCGACTTGGCGAACGCGTAGTACGGTGGTTCGTACGACATGTACACGTCGACGCTGCCGCTCGCTTTCTTGATCGAGTACTGGAGCTCAGCCGATATGCAACAGTCGATCGCGCGCCGGCCGTCGTGGTTGACCTCGTAAATGTCGGCGCCGCACGCGACAAGTGCGAGTGCGGTGTCCTTATGGCCTTGCTTCAACGCCAAGTGCAACGGCGTTTCGCCGCAGTACGCGCGGTTGATGTTCAAACTTGTCCTGTCCAGCAGAGCACGGATCGCGTCTTCGCGAATCGAGCCACTGTGAGCGCCGACATCCAACGGGGTCATGTTGCTGTCGTCCAGACTGGTCGGGCTCGCATGGTACGATAGCAGCGCTTTGATCACGCCGACTTGGTTGTGCCTATCATGGCCACGAACGTAATTATCACACAAGCACGTCCACCAGCGGAAGAACTGACCGAGCCGCCCAGTGCAGTGGTGTTCGGCCCATTCGATCCATAAAGTCGACCGTCGCGCGATGCTGGAGGAGAGTTTCCACGACTCGGGTGCGACCCATCACCGCTGCCCAATGCAATGGCGTGCGCTGGTTCAGCCCGACATAGTACTCGCCCAGCACATCCGGCTCGACGCCTTTCCGCAGGTAGTACTGAACGGCGGCAACGTCGCCTGCCGCCGCCAACGCATGCAACGGTGTCAACGCGTAGTCACAGCCATGATCTTCCAACAACCGCGCAAGCCCCACTCGGTCCTACCCATTCCATCAGGTTCCGCGCCTTGCCCGTGTACTGGAGCAAGCGCACCAAGAACAAGTTGTGCTGCAGCACGGTCGTCGACATGGCTGTGCCAAAGCTCGGCACCATCAAGTGGTTCGCGCCGTACCCAAGCAGCGCCTTGGCCGTGACTCGTGAATCCGCATAAAACAACGGCGGGACCGCCAGGTCCTACCGATCGCCGCCGTCAGTCTCCGGCCGAGAACGGGGGACCGAGCTGCCTGACCTTGGAAAACACATCCGTCACGGCCACAATGTCCATGTTTGCTTCGTGTTCACGCAATGCGTCGACGCAATCCAAGTGGCCGTGCGACACAGCGACGTGCAATGGCGAGACCAAAACGTACTTGGTCCGGTTGTGGCGCCGCCACAACCACTGGTACACCGACCCGATCCCCAAGTCGACGCCGCCCATTTTGTCGAGAAAGTTCTACCTCGCGCCGTCAGGCAACGCCGGCAATGCCACCAACGTACCGGGTTCAACCCTGCTTGGAGCAACACGCGCGCCATCTCGGCATCGCCTTGCTGGCACGCAATGTGCAGAGGGTTCTTTGTGCGGTTGGCGTACAGTCCGAGGACCATCGCGGGCGTCGCGTACAGCTTCCAGAAAAACATTGCTCGCTCGCCCTGCGCAAATGAACGTGTCGGGTCAGGAAAACACGGTTCACACGGAGACAGCGGTCGACGCTGCGTACGTCAGTGTTGAGGCCCTCGAGCGCGTTTGCCAACAGCGTCTGGACTTCAAGGAGCTTCCCTGTGGTCATGCATACCCATCTCAGCGGACGAATGAGGGCGAACGCAGCTGCCGTCCCATGCTCGCGGACACGTACCTCGCTTCACAGACGCGTACAGATCGGCGCGAAATTCGCTGGTTGTCTTGGCTTTTTTGCCCATGAGCCCAGAGACCCAACGGCGAAATTTCCAGCTCCCAACGTGTTCGAGTTCGTTGGGCGCGCCAAGTTGTTGTTTCTGGTGGGTGCGGAATCGATCAAACACGACCTGTACCGACAGATGAACGCCCGCAGACAGTAGTGAAGGCATGCTCGGGTCGTCGTACCCATTGGTATGCCAGCAGCAGCACGAGCAGCGCGTTCACGCTCCACGCAATGCGACCCCACATCGAGTTGAACCCGTCGTAGTCCATGCGCAAGCGAATCGCGTAAAACACAAACGAGATGAGTGCCACAACGCCGGCAATGTACTGCAGTAGGAACATGGTCTCGCACCAATACAGAAATTTGAGGCGCAGCACTGTCGTCGACGCAGGATGGACGAGCTTGTACAGCGTCGCGAATTGCCAGCCCATGGCGGGAAACGAGAGTCCGACATTGATCACGGCCATCGACCCCAGGATCGGAAGCACCGTCATGCACGCAGAATGCTGGGTCACGGCATTCTGTTTGAGGACGGATTGCACAAAGTCTTCGTACTGCGACGCGAGGACTGCAACCAGCCCCACGACGAAGAGCGTGATAGACACCCAAATCAACTGCCCAGCGTAGTACGAGTTCATCATGCTGAGCTTAGGTGGTGGCACTTCTTTTGCATTCATCAGACCGTGGCGCGTCGATCCAAGCCGGACGAGTCCGCCGTCCAGACCGAGACGTCCGCCGGCATCGGCCGTCGCCTTCTCCGCGGCCTTTCTGCTGCGTTGATGAGGAGGGACGTGGAACGCTTGTGTCAAGACTTGCGTGTCCGGGGAGACGTTGGGTCCGCTCGGACTGACCTGTCCTTCATTCGGCGGCGCCGTCAGCGGGAGAGCGTTCGCCATCGCCGGCGCTTGGATGCCGCACCAGCAAATACTGTACAAACGCTAGCATGTCAATTTGCGGCAGTTCGAACTTCGTTTCACGAATACTGAACATCAAGTCTGGTGCGGGCGGCAAAATCCACGAAAAAAGACACAAAATATTGACAAAATATTGAATGTTTCAGCCCATCGCGGAACAATGCACCAGTCGCTTCCATGACGTCGCGGTGCTTGTACATGCCTCGCCCATTCCGACAAAGCACACGGACGCTGCTGTGCATGCGCTCCTTATTAGTGGACTCAGGAGTAGACGAAGCGGAGGTGGGCGACAGCTCAAGCCAGCATGCCTACCCTGGCCCTTTCTGCGTCGTCGTCGTGGCTGTTGCGAGTCGCGGCCGTCGGTCGTCCTGAAAGCCAAAGCGGACGAGGCGGTCCATCCGAACAACATGGCGGTGGCGAATATCCTGGTGCTATGCTCCATCGTAGTGTCAACGTCCTTGCAACGTCATCACGTCCACCAGTATGCTTCGCAGCTTCGTCCAGCCATGGCAGGATCCGCCGTGACTCTTTATCCAGAGAAGGCGGAGATGATGGCATGCACCGACCCCACACGCAAGCAGGTCCTCCAAGATAAGACAGAATACGTTAACCGGTTAAAATACTGCCGCCGCCCGCCGTGGCCATCATTTTGTTGCACCCCTGGCCACCGGCAATGACCAGGCAGTTGGTCGACTCGAATACGCCCAAGATGCCGACCACAACGGACCACATCATCGCGGCTGTGCATCCAAACAGGACGAGGCCACCGATGAGCGGGTTCTTGCCGCCCGTGACCTTGAGTTCGTGGACGTGAGCCTTCTGCGCTGGCATCAAAAACACCCACACGCACGCAAACACGGTCGTCGAGTAGTAGATCAAGTACGTGTACGCGACTTGGGTCCGCGCTTCAGGCGAGTCGGCCTTGATGAACTTATCGTCGACGCGGAACCCGCCAAAGATGACGTTGGCCAAGATCGGGCCAAACACCAACGGGAGGTTGCTCACGGTCGTGAGCAGCCCGTACGTGATGCCTTCGTTGCCGACTTCGGCCAGCTCGACAATGACAAACGTCGTCACGATAAACTGCATGGCGTACGGGAGTTGCTCGGCGACGGGCACCCCCAAGTAGAACCACTGGTTGCGCACGACGTCGTAGATGGTCATGTACTGGACGGCCGCGTCGATCACGTTCATGCTGAGCGTTGTGAGCACGATGACCCAGCGCCAGTTCCACTCGAGACCCCACTTGCCCATGGCCGCCAGCACGACGGCAAAGATCAAGTTGCTCGCGATGGTCGTGAGCTGCGTCCCGAGGTTTTCGACCTTGGCCCAGTTGAGCTTGACGTACGGCGCCGCCGTCGACGAAATCCCCGACGCAAACAGGTTGAAGAAAAAGTTGAACAGCATGACCTGCCACGTCGCGCGGCGCTGGACGAGCTCCCAAAACTGCCGCACGTACCCCGAGAAGTACACGCCGTTCTGCTTGATGTCCTGGACAAAGAAGAACGAGATCGGGACCATGAGCGCGCTCGCGACGGCCAACATGATAAACAACGAATTCATTCCCATGTCCCACGAAAAGTTGCCGCCGTAGTTGGGCGAGTTGAGGCACACGCCAATCACGATCTGCGAAAAGATGGACGACACGGTCCGCGTCGTGTAGATGAGCGATTGCATGCGTCCTCGGGACGCCATCGGTTCACGCTGCGCGACTTCCACCACGAGCGCATCGGCTGGAACGTCGGCAATGATGTAGCTGATGGTGGCCGCTGCAAACAGAACCGCGACCCGTGCGCCGCGGTCCTCCATGTTGGCAGGCACGGCATCCAACGTCGCGGGGAGCGCCGCGTACGACGGGCCGTGGTCCATTACGCTCAGCACGGCCATGCACGTACAGCACAGCGACCATCCGATCATCATCCACGACTTGCGACGGTAGCCGCAGATCGGCACGCAGTCGGACAACATCCCGACAAACACTTTGAGCGTCCACCCGAACGAGACGAGTGCGGTCGCCGAGTTGTACTGCGCGCCCGTCAGGTGAAAGTACGCTGTGAAGAGCGGATACGCCAGGTTGGGCAGCGCGCCGTAGAGGAGACCGACCGCGACGTACTGCGACAGCAGCGCCACGATCTCTGGACTTGTGTATTTCGGTGGCCCGCCCGGCCGGATCGCGCCGCCGTCGTAGTAGTGCTGGCTGTCGTCGAGGATCTGCGATGGCGTCTTGAGTGGGTCGTAGTCGTCTGTGGAGGCGGCGTCGTCGCGGTCTCGGTTACTGACAAAGCGCATGCGCGTCGAATTCAGTGGAAATGGGCGAGTGACGTCGCCCAGATGGCCCATTACGTTCGCAGCGTCTGGCGCGGACATTGGTCCCCTACGACCAGACGATGCGACCTCGAATGCGAAGACGACGGCGCGCCGATCCGACGACGCACGTCCTACAACCTGGTCCTCGACGCTGCATCCCGTCGCACAACTCTCTCCCGCAGCCACCGACCCGACTCCCGTACGCGTACGTGGGTGCGCCGCGAGGCAGATGTGTTGCCAACTACGCGAGACATGTCGCCCGTCCTCGCCTGTCCTTCCGACGGCGCCGCGCCAGAGGTCGTCGAAGAACCGACGGTCGGTTCGAGAGAAGGGTACGACGAGAGTTGGCCTGGCGGTGTGCATGTTGCGAACGTCTATACAACCTACTATCGACGGCACGGTGGGCGATCGATCGATCTTGGGTACGATGTGTGGCGCGGACGGCGGTCGCCGCGTCTCGGCATCGTGCCAAGGGGCACCGACACGGCTGGCTTGGCACGCCGCCGTTCGTCGAGCGCTGACGCGTGCGCCGACGACATACCGCCAGTTTGGACGACTGTAACTCAGGATGTCACAAGAATGAGATTCGGACATACAACGTGCCGCCGAATGGACCGCGGCGGACGGCGCGCGCGGGTCCAAGCCTCTCGTGTCGTTCCCAAAGGACGATCTCGCGCTGTTTGTCGGGAGCAGTGGCACGAGCGCTGATGCCGCACCTAGACGACGCCATCATGGGTGTTGCTGCACTACTGACGTGAGCGAATTTCTCGAATTCTTCGACAACAGGTGGAAAGAGATGACTCGGTCGACAGTCGTCCAACGCGGTTCCCGCGCCGCCTGCTCTCCAAGCATGGACGAGCGCGGCAACGTCATGGCCGACTCGTCCGAGTCGCACGCAGTCCTTTGTCGGGGGGAGCTCCGCCGCCCAAGACGATGCACTGTACGACGAGGGTGGAACCAGATCACGAGTGCGTGGGACGGTTGCTGCTCGAGGGGAGGCGGGCAAGCCAACGTGGCGGCGGCGGTCGCCGCCGTCTTGTTGAAGAACAAAATATTGTTGAAGCCGTCCACGTTACACTCTCCATGGAGAGAAGGGTTGGAGCGACCAGACGACGGGGCCATCACGATAGAGGCTCTCTCGATGCAGGACATCTGGGCCCATGCATCTCTTTTGCATCTGGCGATCTCGAGGTGGCGGGCATGCGATCGTCGAGCTAAAACACAAACACATGCAATCGTGACGGACAGGATGCGCGCCAACGACGACAGACTGGCCACGCTTCTTTCAACAGATCTTAATGGTCCCGAAGATCGAGTACGCGTCGGGATGCTGCTACTCGTCCGAGTCGCTAAAGTCGTCGTCGCACCGCCCAAAGCGCTCCGATGCGTAGTTTGTGTACGTGAGGAACCGGTTCGACAGCTTCGAATCAAAAGTTGGCACAAACCCGGTCGGCGTGAACCCGAGGTCGGCAGCGATATCCTTTCGCAGCATGTGCGCTACAAGCCATCCATCCACAACGTGAGCGTCTTGGGAAGACGATGCATTGCACCTGTGATGAATGCGTTGGGAGTTTGAATCTGGCCGCGGGCGGACACATCCTTGGACAAGAAGCGCATGGTTTGAGCAAACTTGGACATGCAGTTGATGTTCTGTGCGCCGCGTGACGACATTGGGAACGTGCGCGAGATGAACGACGACGTACCAAGTACGGAGGGTCCACGAGCACGTAGTCAAAGAAGTGTTGGAACTTTGAATCGAGCGCGAGCGGCGTGTTGTAGTCGTAAAAGACAAACTCGGTCGGGTACTTTTCCTCAAACCGGTGGTCGTACTCGAACAAGTAGACGTCCTTCCGGTCGGGATGCAACGCCTTGAGCGCTTTGAATGCTGCTGGCGTACTCACAAATGCGATCGGACCGCCCTTGCTCTGTTCAAAAGCTTCCGCTGCCAACGCGTCGCCAGTTCGGGAGTCGTACCAGCTACACAGTCCAACAACATCAAGTCCACGACAAGGCACGTTGCAAACGTACAATTGCGACAACCGAAAGTCCTCCGACACTTCGCTTTCTTCGTTTAGCTTGGCTGTTGCCAAGTGCGCTTGCAAGGCAGCCAGCGTTTCCGCCGACAGCTCTGCCGACAACAGCTCCATGACGATGGTGGCGGGAGAACACGATGAATGGGTTGCCAACTTTCCGACTTTGATTGGTCCCAAAACTCTAACTCGTGACGTGATTGGTCCATTGATTTGAACGTTAACAGCTGTAAATAAATGAACTGTTTGCAGATGGGTCGACAAAGGCGTGGCAAGCGTCGCTGAATTAGACAAACGACTCGAAAAAAGGGCGTCGCATTCGCCGATGTGATGAAAGAAACCCTGCAGTCGTGCTGCAGTGAAGACAGCGTAGCCCTCATTCCCATACCTGCAGTAATCGACGATTTTTGGATACGAAGGGACATCCATACCTTGAATTTGAGGAATTCGTGTTACTAGTACGAACTCTGAGAAATTTGATTCATGAAGCTATAAATTTTTGTAATTGCCACATCCAGCAGCAGAGCGCGCGGTGCCGATGGAATATTCCATTGAGCATACCTTTCTTCAAGTTATTCCCTGCTCTAAGCAAGCTCGACCAAGCTCGCTCGTGATTTCTGGCACACGGCAACAGTCCCTGCCGTCAAGTTCGACGGGGTTTCAAAATGAACAATTATTTATTCTTTCGAAATAGATCCAATCCGATTTTGAATTTCAAAAAACGTGCCAATCGAAAGGCCACCCACGAGATTGGAGCAGACGTGATGGCTCCACCGCAACGGACCAAGCGGCGTGGCTTCAACCGACAAGCGGTGCAGGTATATGCGTCCTCGTCCGACTTGGAGGACTGTGGAAGGTCCACTTCCACGAATCATGCTCGCAAGTACGAGGCGAAGAAGGCGTCGTCGAAGAAACGACGGTCGAACTGGAGCGACGATGACTTCAGTCACGGCAACGAGGACGACGAACAGCATTACTTGCACATTCAAAACGGACAGGGCATCTCCGACGCTATTGCTGTCGCTCCATCTCCTCGTCGTAAGAAGCACAAATCGGACCAGCCCCGCGGCCTTCGACACAGCCATCTATGGCGCACAGAGTTTCCACCATGGCTTCGCAAAGTAGACTCGAACACGGTGGTGTGCCCAAACGAAGAGCTCGAGCGCATGGCAGCATACTTGAGTGTCAAGCCCCAAGAGATCACAGCCCGACGTGAGATTGTCCGCGTCATATCGGACACAATCCGTTCGACATTTCACCATTCCCACGAACTCCAGTTCCACCTGTTCGGGTCGCTTGCCACAGCGACATCGTCCTTGGCCACATTTCGCAGCGATATTGACCTCACGATCGAAGTCGTGCCACCGCCGTCGTCGGAAGCGGTGGTGTACACGAGCGCCATGTACGACGACGACGACGACGAGTACGACTCGGGTCACTCGTTCTTTGACGGGCACGACGCAGATTTCGACATCAGCGCCATGCAGTTCAATTTCATCACCCACAAAGCACCCGCGCCGTCGCGTAAAACACACGTCCAAGTGGCGACGTTGCAATCAGGACTTGCCGCCTCCAATCTCCCAGAGAACAAGGTGGTCATGACGAGGGCCGAGCGCAACCAGTGCGTGCGTTTCCTGCACAAAGCGGCGCGGGCGTTGCGCCAAGCCCATCCGTCGTTCTCTATCGAAGTGCGCCGGCTGGCCAAGGTCCCAATCATCAACGTGATTCATGTACGTCGTGCTAGCTGGTGGAGTCGGCATGATGGCAGCCTCGCTCGCCACCGTCGTCTCGTATGCATTCTTGTTCCTTCAGGCACTCAAATTTGTCTTGGTAGAGAACATCCAACATTGAGGTTGACGTGAGCGTGGGCATGGAGAAGCCATCGCCTGGCGATCAAATCGTCGCGTGGTACGCCGCACACCACCCCGAATTCAACACCTTAGTGGTAAGCGGGCATCCGCTCCCAGAGTGACGCGCGCAATGTCGTCGTCGTTGTCGTACATCGAAGCTGGAAAATCGTTGACGTTGTTGGTGGCGCAGGTGTTGTTGAAGGAATTCTTGTACCAAAACGGAATAAACAAGCCGTACGAAGGCGGAATTGGGAGCTTTCGACTGTACTGCATGGTGACTCACGTCGTCGCAGCATCCAACCCGCGTGACGGCGCGGCCACGTTGCTCTTGCGCTTCTTCGAGCGCTTTGGATGCGCCAAAACGTTTAACAATCGAACTGTGCTCAGGCTGCGGCTGCCCGAGCACGACCCTCCGCTCAAGGTATTCACAGACGCTTCGTGCATGGCCACCGCTGGTATAGTCGTCTTGGATGCTGACAGACGGTTTGCCATAGTGCGATGTCGAATTCACGTCGATATTCCGCCTTCGCGATTGCAACTACTTGTTTCACCAAGCATTTGAACGCCTGCAACGCGTTCTGCACGGCCATGGCAGCATGCACAACCACGTCGTGGTCAAGGATGACGACGCGGACACCACGTCGGGGGTGCTGGCGTCGCTATTTTGGACCTACGACTTGCGACAAGAGCGCGAGCATCGACTCGCGCTGGCCGTGCAACACATGGGCCACATTGCCGCCGCGGTTCCATCGGTGGAAGCGCTCGTTGCCGACGACATTTACGCCGTCAAGAAAAAGCAAATGCACAAGATCGTGGCGGACAAGAAGTTTGGAAAAAAACGAATCACGACATCCGCCAAGAAACTCAAGCGACAACTAGCCAGGCGACTCGCCACCGGCCAGTGACGTGCCGTCCACGGGTTCATGCAGCCAGAGGTCTCGACTGCGAGCGACACCACGATTTGGTCGGTCCAAGTCGCGATGGCAAGTGAGTCGTCGCCGCCACAACCGTTGAAACGAATGTCCCAAACTAACGCGACGCGCAGTCGTTTCGAGATTCCTTGGCAGAAAAACCGGGACTCAGCTCCCACGCAACCATGTCGATGGTGGAAGCGTCGTGATCGGCGGATCTGTACGGCTTTCTCGCAGTCTAGTGGTTCCGTTATGCATCGGACGCTAAGTCTGGATCCGCTGGAGCTTGAGCCTTTTGTCCTGCGCTTGGAGTTTCTTCAGCAGCACACTGAGCTGGCTCTTGTTCTCTTGGTCTTTCATGGAGCTGACCAGCTACCACCAAGATGCGTCACTCCTGCAAGAGTCGAGCTACGCTCTATCCATCAACGTACCTCGATCGCTTCCACCGAGTTGCGTTTCAGCATGACCTGCATGAAGAGAAAACCCACGAGGACCCACACAAACACAAGTTGGTTGGTCGACAAGTCAAACACAATCTTGACGCCGTCGTAAGTCGAGAGCAGCTACGACAGCACGTTTTGGTTACGGACAAAGCAGGTGCCCACCGGACCTGGGCCAGAGGATCGTAGCCAGCGTATTCGTTCACAAACGGGCCGCATGCCAGCATGGTATTGCACACACAGGCAGGGTACCCCGCCTTACACTCGGACAAGTCGTCCGTCGATTCGACCTGCGACAAAAAGTACGCCCTCTACCATCATCTCGCATGTCGTGAACCCAATACGCAATGCACGGCGTCGCCGCCGTGAAGAGGGGCGTGCCTTACCATGGTGTGATGCTTGGTGGAGCGTATGGAGCACACCGCTGTGGCATCGTCGAACGTGCCCGGCGTACAGAGGGAGCTCGAGAGGTTGGCTTCTTGCAGACCGCACGTCTTGGGCAGCGTCGCATTTGAGAGAAACCAGTGCATGCAAGTGAGGAAGATGAGCACCGTTGTCCAGTACAGCTTGATGAAGAACGTGCCAGCGTCTTTGGCGCTCCATGGCGTCATCGGCTTCTTTTGAAATGTCTACAAAACCCCATGTCAGCAACGTCTGCGCTCCCTGATCGCACCTGGAGGTAGAACTTGTCGAATTTGAAGCTCAGGATGAGCATGACGAGCGACGTGATGGCAGTCACGGGCGCGAGGGGGATCGAAAACTGGTACAGCGTGCACGAATACATGAGCGCGACCATTTTCGGCGCAATGAGAAACTCGGCTCGCGTGTCCGACGGCGCCGCGTCTGCCTTCGACACGGCGCGCTTCGTTGCCCGCCATCGCTTGAGCTTGTCGACGCCAATCTTGATGGAGGCTGTCGCAATGCCCGACACCTTGGACACTGCAAAGTCGGTCCAGACCAAGATGATGAGCCCGGACGCGACTTGCTCTGCGCGGCACTTGTACGTGTCGCTCTTGAACTTGATCATCACACTCGATCGGATCTCGAAGGGCAGCGGCAGCCACTCGAGTGGCGCGACGTCCGTCGTCAGCATGTACGGGTCCAACAGCATGCCGTACGACCAGAGCTGGATGAGGATGTTGAGCACTTTGGCGAGGAAAAGACGCGTCACCATGGCCTTGATTTCGAATCCTTGGTCGTCCCACTTTTCAAACTTGGTCAGGAGCGATATGATTGTCGGCAGCGCGCCGTTGATGGCAGCTACCCCCAGCGGCACAACGCTAGCACCGTTCGCTCAACGCACGTATCGAAGCCGTGGACGCGGTGTCGTGGGGTGGCGTACCTGGTGGCGTACGCAGTTAGCGCCGGCACTTGCTGCTTGATCGCGAGTTGCAATTTCGACGAAAACACCGTGAGAAGGACGATCAGAGCCCAACACGTGCCCTGCGTCGTCAAGTACACCAACGTCGCGACCGATCGACGCGCGTACAGCCGATATCGGTCCTCTCTAGCGCGGCAAAAAACGACGTCAGCCACACACACATTGGTCTCGATCGTCGTCGTACTTGCTGCGCGTTCGAATCATTTCCTGCTTGATGTCGTCGTAGAGCGCGACTTCGAGAGCTTCGCCGATGCCCGTGCGCAAATCCGCTGCGTCCTGCGGGTACAGCGCATCACAGGGGAGCGGTCGTCGTAGGTAAATGTGGTCAAGGACCACCACATACCTGTGGCGACGACGTTTCAAAGTCCCATGCGTTCAAGATAAGTTTGCCAAATTTGTACTACAACCCACCGTGAGCCACGTCGTTGTGGGTCGCTGCCCCATGGCAAACAGCATCGTGTGGCCAAGGGTACGTACATGGTGCCGCTCATCCGATGCCTGCACGAGCTTCGCGACGCGGTCTTCTCGCAGCCACTTGTGCGACGACATGACCAAAAAGCATGCGCACACAGCGGTCAAGTACACCTACCAGCCGCCGCCAAGCGCGATCAACACGTTGCTGCAAGTGGACGCACCGTACCGAGTAGTGGACGGATTCGTTGGAGGTGTAGCTCGGGTACAGCAGAAATGTCGGCGTCGTGCCAGTGAAGAGCCCCCACTCCGAGTAGTTCTACCGCGAGGTCAGTCCGTTTCAAAGGCCAAACGAAGGCGGTGCGGCTGCATACGTGGTTGACCAGCTCGAGCATGTGAATCGTGAGGTTGTACACGGTCGGGAGGACGAGGAGCATGTAGTTGAAGATCACCCACCGGCAAAATCCAAAGTACGCTGACACACTCGTGCCAAACCGGGCCTCGATTTGCTTGACGTCGTGGACAAACGGGCTTAGCCGCCGCAAGAGCAACACAAAGCGCTGCCGTCGCGACTTGCGCACGCTGCCGACATCGTCGTCGTTCATCTCGTCTTGGTCAAACTCGACCGCGCCATGGATCATTTGGCGCAGGGCTTCTTTGGCCCGTTGGCGCTCGAGTTCTTCCCGACCGGCGTTGCTGTGGACGATGGTTTGAAACGCGTTGGGGTGTCGCTGAAATTGCGACGTCATTGCCATGGCTTCCTTTTCCCACGCTTGTTCCTGCTCGACAAATGCAGCCTCTTGGTCTTTCAACTGCGCCTCGAGCTGCTTGATACAGTCCTGGTACGCCGTCTAGTGCCACCGACCGAGGCGACAATGACGTTTGATGCGGACGCGCCGGAACGGTACCTGGCGCGCCTGCCACTTGGCCATACGACCTTTCATGACTTGCAACTGGGCGCTGTACCGTTCGAGCTTCTTCTCCAAATTCGATTGCTGGTACTCGGGGTTCTCGCTAAGAAATCCATCCACGATCTCGTCGTCGCTTTCGTCTTGTGAGGTGTGGGGTTTGGATGCCGCCGACCCGGCCACATTGTCGTCCAGATGGAATGCCACGTTTTCCATCAACTTGGCCTCGATGTCCGACCAGTTTTGGCGCGGGGAAAAGGACGTGACTTGCCTGTTCCATGGCTGTAGTCAGCATGGCAAGCCACGACTTTGTTAACCGACGTACGTTGTGACAAATCCATCTGCATCTTCGTCGTCAAAGTCCATGAAACCAGGTGGTCGACCGACCGTGCGGCTCTGGGAGCTGTGGGTGGAATGCGAGTCGCCATCGGTGGTGGGGAATACCTTGGCGCTCTGGTCCATCTACTGGTCGTTTAGGGCCCAGCTCGGGGTGTTGTGTTCGCCAAGATGATCGAGCCTACCCGCATGTGCCACCAGCGCTGTTGCGATTGAATCGGTTACTTCGGTTTCATCGTGAACGCTACGAAACGGACAGTACCTGCAAGAAAGGCATGCCAACGGCGACCATTGCTCGTCCATGGTACGTGGGCACATGCAAGGCTTGTTGTTGCGAGTACGAACGCGATGTAGGGTCGATGGCCTTTGTGGTTGACGTGCCGTTGGCGCGTATTCCAGCAGAGAAATCTGTGCAGCCCAACCGTCTGGGGTCTGATGTTGCTGGCGCCGACCTGTCTTGTCGGTGTACCGCCAAGACGTGACGTCGTGCATGTGGATGGCCGCGCCAACCTCGACGCTCCGAATCCCTTTCAGGACTGCCGACGCCTTTATCCTGGAAGTATACACGCTCGTGACTCCATGGACCGATGGCCAAGTGGGGTTGGTCAGTTGCATGCAGCTTCAACGGGTGTGAGTCGAGACGGAGCTTGGTCTGCGGGTACACGACTTGTTCGACAACAGCACAAAGCACACCCCACACCCCAGCCGAACGTGCCCGCTAGTCATGAGAAGCTTGATCTCCTTCTGTGCCACGCGAGCCGTCGTCCACAACTTCGTAGGGGCAGTTGCGAACGATGCAGACGTAACGATGGCTTTCTGAATCATGGCCGGCGACGTGAAAAGATCGTGTTGAGGTCCCAGGTACCGGCAACCGTGACTTTCTTGGGCACGTCGTTCTCCGCTCGGCATGCCAATTTCGCAAATGATGTCGCCGATCGCGGCTGCATGGTGAAGCACTCAAGTATTTCGTCGTCACGACGCCGTTCAACGAAAGCAACCCTGCCGCAGGGTAGCCGAGTTGGCAGTTGAGGGTTTTAGTGCTTGCGTGTACGGGACGCACGAGATGTCGACGGCCTCAACCTGCATCGCACGATCAACAGTCCGCGTCCGAGTGGCGATACAGCAAGCACTGTGATGTACGAGCGACGGGTCGAGGCCCAAGTTGGACAGGTTGCGGCATGCAAACAACGGGCATTGTGGCGCGAGTGATAACCTACGACAAGTTGACCACGAAGTCGTTTACGAGGCCTTAGGATATCTTGAGCATGCATGGCACTCGCGAATTGGAAAGTGCTGTTGATGCGATCGAGGGTGGAGAGGCTCGAAACCACAGTTCCATGTCGAATCTCGAACGAATCGCCCCCGCTGACCGTGTTGTAGATTTGCCGCTGGGTGGTGTAAGCCACAAGACGGCCATGTCATCCTCGACTGAGTTGGAAGGAGCACGTGCGATCGATGGATTCCCCCAAGAACGTGTTCAAGTACGAAAAGGCTGCAGTGCCCAGAGGTAGTCCCCTGCACAAATTGAATGTGTTCTAGTCGCAAATGCTGCGCAACAGCGAGTCATACTAGGCGGTCGCATGTATACAACCTTGTGCACACCGTGCTGGTTTGTTGGCGTAGTGGCCAACTCCCACTGGCGTCCAAAGCTGACGTAGCAGTAGGCCTTGTCGTTCCACGGAAGCTGTCCATCGAATGCAGCCCGTGAATCGTCGCAGCTAAAGCAGCGCTACCTTTGTCCTGGTTGGCTTCCCGAGAGATTGATAACCTCCAACACATTGCGCTAGAGACCAGTGTCGTCGTGCCTAGTCAGGGGACTCGCTGATGACCGTTGAGCGAGCTCGATAAGTGTTGAACAAGTTGTACAAGAACAGGGACACACCCAGGTTGTTCAGCCTTCCTTCCAAGTGTGTTTGTGGTCATCGTGAATGCATCAGCCCAAAGTACATGCAGCGGCCCATCACTGTCCCGGCAATGCACAGCAAGCCGGCAAAGAGCCCAGTGCAAAGCGCTCGCCGCCTGGACGACGTCATGGCATTGCGACTAAAGTTGGAGGCTAAAGTACAATATCCTTGACAGAGGGGGGGGTGTCATGGGTACGTAGCGCATCCCACAGCTTGAAATCGCAACACGAATTTCAGATCGGAAGCATGCCTGAGAGGGAACGCGCATGACACGTTGTCGACAGTCTTGGACGTCCGGTCGCACAAAAACGACTCTGTCACGGTGAAGGAGCAAGTGCCGAATTCGCCTGACCGCCCTCTGTGTTGTACTGCGAGCGTGTACTGCGGCAATGCCCCCGAACTTGACCAAGTACACAATGCGAATGGCGCAAAGCCCCTAGAGGCGGCTCACCCTCCCAATCGATACGATACCGCTTGTCCACATGATTGGGATAATGCTGGTGAGCGTACACTTTTGCTGTACAAGTTCGACGGCAGGTCACGAGCCCCAAAGATGCTGTGCAGTAGACCATCCGAATTTACCGCGGGTGGTATGCGGGATGCTCGGGACGACGAATTGTTGCTCAGCCCGAGTTCCATCGACACAGTGTCATCCTAGTCGAATTGCCGCGCACATGAGACCTGCAGCGACCACAATGTCCGTCCTGCTTGTCGCCACACTTGAAATTTCGTCAGTAGCACAGAGCTGAACGTGCGCAAAGAGCAAACGGGAACGACACGGGTGGACATCTCTGCCGCTGTGGATGTGCGATCGAGCAAGCACTTGCAGTCCTGTATTCTTTCCTGGGACGTTTCGACAAACACAGTATTTGGCTGATTCGACACGGCGCGGAAGAATACGATGCAGCAGCGCGACAAATGGCGTGACGATCGCTGTGCTGCAGCGTCTAGCAGCGCCAGGTGCATTCCTGCCGCGTGTGCCACTGCAAAACGCAGTGGGGTTCCGATGTTCCTCGACATACAGCAGCTAAATGAGGACGCCGTTTGTCGCCAACAATAGTGGCAGTCATGCCTGACGACTCCACGACTCATCGACACGTGCGATTGAATTGGTTTGTTGCTGTGTTTGCGACGATTCCAACTTTAAGCGAATAGCACCCCTCTTCTAGGACAACGATCACGCATGCCGAGGTGTTGAATGGGTGAACCATCTCTAACGCAATATAATCTTCATAGGGCAGAACAAATGGATGTGTCTGCGAAGCCGCAGATACACCGTGGACTGCATCAAGGTCTCTGCAATGACCCGCTACAACAATCGAGGGAGCAGTTGGGACGACCCATCCTTCATGCTCCCTGCAAAGAACGTCGCCCGCACGCGTGATAATGCGCGGGCATGTGCGTGCAATGTCGGTTTCGTAGCTGAACTCGCGTCGTTTGAGTGGCAGTTTCGCATCGTTACATGTTGTACGTTTGAGTTTCGTATCCGGACATATCCGGACCGGTTGGACATGCCCGGAGCGCTCACTCCATTGTCATGTGGGCCAATTTATGCCGCCGGGCGCTTCGCGGCGTGACCAGTCGTCGCATGTTCACAACTGAATGCGACGTCGCTACCAAGCGCAGCATCCTCGAGCGAGTGTCCCAGGCATCCGCGTCGGAACTGGACGCGCTGGCCGCAGCTGCTGACGCCCGCACGATGCTGCATCTCGAATCGTTGCTTCCAGCTGCGTCCACCACCGTACCTGAGCCAACATCGCAGCAACTCAGACAGCTCATGGCACGCAGTATGGTTCCATTTGTGGGATTCGGCTTCGTCGACAACTTTATCCTCATTCTGGCCGGCGACTACATCGATATCACTCTTGGCGTGTCCCTCGGCATTTCGTCTATGGCGGCGGCCGGCCTCGGAAACGCCATCAGGTGTGTGCCCTCCCACCTGTCGAATTCTGTCATGTGCCTCGACTAAAAGAATGCGTCCGTGGGTAGCGACGTGGCCGGAATCGGTCTCGGCGGGGCCATCGAAGACTTTGCGACGCACCTGGGCCTGCCCGATCCGAACCTCACTCGCCAGCAATTGCAGCTTCGCATCACACGAATTGCGCATTACACTGGATCCAGCGTTGGCATATTCGTCGGCTGCATCCTCGGCATGTGCCCGTTGCTTTTCCTCGAAACGAAGGAGGACCGCATGTTGAACTCCAGCGCGCCGGTGGTCGCGCCACAACTCGGCGATCAATAAAACACATGTCCACCATGCTCATCGTGTTCATGTTATGCAGCCGACACCAGCGAGACAGTCGCGCTGTCGGTGCCATTCGTTTGACTGGAGGCGTTGCCGCTGGGCGCAGGGCATGAAGACCGACCATCTTGACTCGACGGAGACACGTCCGCGACTCGCGCCAACGCTTCGAGCCATGCCGCGCGAATTTCCGCCGTGTCGGCGTAAAAGAGCAACGAATGGCTGTCCATGACGACTTCAAAGCAATTCGGTTTGTCCGGGACAACCCGCCGGACGTACGAGCCCGGCGTCAGCAAGTACTTCACGGGGGAGTCCTTGGGCGACTTTTGCACGAGGATGTGGTGCGCTACAACACTCGAAATACGTCAGCGACACCCCTTGGGACTGCGAACTGCTGTGCGCATGAAGCCAGCAGCGCATGGAATACCATCCAGCCATCACACGTACGAGAAAGCGTGATGAATCGCCGGAGCCAAATCGGATTGACAAAGTGTTTTTGTCGAATCAGTCGCATGAGCAACGGGCCACTGTGCAAGACAGTCGCGTTGTCACGTCGGCGGTGCCGCGCTTTGTGGCGATGGCCGCCGTCCTGCCATCCATCGTTCGACGCCGTCAACGGAGACGTATCGGCAACGTCGTCGTCGTTGGACTCGTCATTGTCACTGTCGCCCGTGTCTAGCGCATACACGTCGCCCGAGCTCTTCTTCTTTACCAGCCCCATGGGTTCATGGACCGCCGCTGCTGCGACCAATCCAAGAGGACTCTTCGTGCTATTGCTCGAACCAGGGCGGTTCTCGTTTTCGGCGCTTGGGTGGCCAGCAAGATACTTGTCAACATGTTGCTGCTGGGCGACTTGGACAGCTGACCCGACAAAGCATCCGCCGCCGTCGCATTGGCACATTCCGCCGTACTCCTGTGGGAGGTTCGCCGCGTCGATGGTCTGTAGCAAGGCCGCGGGGGCGTCGGCTTCGCTCAGGATCGACGTCTTGGCTCGCGTCGTTTCGTTCAACAATGGCTTGACCAGTTTCCAGATCATGCCAAACCACGACGGAACGTTCACGACGAAGATCTTGAGAGACCGCTGGGGGTAATGTTTCTGCATGACGCTGGTGCATCCCCGGACAAACTCGAGCACGTCGCCCGCCAAGTCTATGCACAACAGTTGAAATGATTTCACTCGAGATGGAAAAAACTTGTCGGCAAAACGGGACCACACATCTGTGGCAGCCAAGGAGTCGCGCCGGGGACAAGGGCTCGTCCTCCCAGCACAACGCACGGGGCACATGCGTCGGGACGCCGAGATCCGCTCCGGCTGCGGTTCCAATGACAGCACAGACCACCACGACCATCGATTCGACCATCCTTCGAACGGAAACACACACGCCGTACCTCGCATGCCGATGCCGCGGGCGTCCAAGACAATGCACAACTTTTGCGTGTGGCTGTCCTTGCACGACGCGCACGGACACTTGGTCGTCGCGACGTGGTTGAAAATGTACTCGATGTTGAATAAATAGTGGCCAAACAGGTCGGCGAGCGTGATGCCGTTGGCGAGCATGCCCTTGAGGTCGATCCCGCCCAGCTTTTCAATGTAGACCGGATGTCCTTCCTTGTCGTGTTTGTGGACGCATTGCTTGTAGAATCTACACGATGCTCGATCAGACCGCCACGTCATGGCGACACGTCGTCGCACTGGCGAATCGTGTGGTAGTGCACTTGCGGCGTCGTCAGCACATCGTCCACGCGGTTTTCCTTGCGCCACACCAACGTGTCGTTGTACCGGGCTTGGGCCTTGGCCACGTTTCCGAATTCAGCGACAACAAAGCTACGCGGGACGCTGGCGGCGTCGTCATCGACTCGCGGGTTCTCGATGGCCATCCCGACGTCTTCATTTCCGTCCGTCGAGATGGACGAACCCAAGTCGGCCACAACGGACCACGACACGATCGTGAGCTGAATCGTCACGATTTGGTCGGCTTCGACGACGACACGTGTTCCTGCGTGGGTCTGATGCTGCCGTCGCATCCACCACGAACTCGCGACCCACGCAAGAGGCAGCAGAGGCTTTGCCCAAAGAATCATTTTCCCGTATGGCGTCGATGCCGTGATGTCGCCGGTAGCGACCGCTACGACATACAGCACAGCCAGCCCCAACACGAATCCATGCGTCGCCAGTGTGCTAAAGAGCACGGCGCGGGTTTTGCAGCCTCCTGTCGGGACGAGAGGGGAATTGGTTGCGGTTGCATGAAGGATAAGTTGGATCGGTCGCCGCGCGGGCCAACGATGACGTGTCGTTTTCGTTGGCGCAGTGGGCTGGACGACGTCGACTGTCCACGTTTCGTCGCCGGCCTTGGCGTACAATCTAAACCCGACCATCAGTCCCAAATCGGTGGCATCACGGGATACGCACGTTGCCACGGGGATATCGACAGACCCAAACGAGTCACCGAGCTCCATGTGGAGCTGATTTTGCAATGCCGTCGTGATTGTCACCGCCATGCCGGTCACGTCGTTGTGGTCTGGGACGTCGACCGACGTTCGAGTGTCGTGAATCGTTGACGTGGCCGGAAGGATCCACATGGAGTGGACGACTGGCGCTGGCGGGAGCTTGATCGTCACGCGCAACGTTGTGCCGCGTCCGTCGCATCGAAGGTACGATCCTACGTATCGATTCGTTTTATCATGTCGTCGCCAGCCCCTGGCTCGATCGCCGCCGTCCCATGCGTTCCGTTACCGTGGACAACAGGAGTGCTCTTTTTTCGAAACCGCGTGAGGATTTGATTGAATCCCAGGCGGAGTCGGTTCGAATCGACTACTTGAATCAACACGTTGTCGTCATCGTAGCACAGGACGCGACCGGACGAAGCGACGCCGGATGCAGCGTCGGATTTGGGCTCGCCGTAGTACAATCCCGCCATCGACTCGTGGTGGCTGTCCAGCACGTTGGGCGAGCCCAACGTGGCGCTCGAGGACGAGCTCGCTTCTGAATCGGTTGTCATGTGGGGGGCGGCCGTCGGCCGAACGAATGCAATCGTCATTTCTCCAGGGCGATTCAATTTGTCCGTCGGGGCAAAATGGCCGTTGAATTCAAACCCGATCTTGTTGTTCCAGACCTTGCCGTCGACGTCCATGAGGACCACGACATCGCCGTAGCTCACGGGGCTGCCGAGCTTCAAGTGTGCGTAGTAGCACTCGGGCAGGACGCGAAAGTACGACGGTGTGAAGTGCCGCTCGGACGGAAGGGCGACGCACACGAGGGAGTCGCATTTGTGCAGCTTCAAGTTGTTCGGCCGCACCGCGTCCATGTCAAAGAGGCCGATCATGCCGAGTTCGAGCATGGACGAAGCCGACGCGGGGTGGGTCGGATTCGTTTGGGACGACGGAGAATTGTTGGTGCCGGGAATCGCATGGTCCGATATCGCAGACCAGAGGCAAATGATGTCGCCGAACTTTACGGCTTGAGGCATGCAGTCGGTACAGGTCTTGAGTGACGCTGCTTTGGCCAGTGTCGACTCCACCTGATGGCGATGATAGAAAAGGCGTTGAAAGAGTCAGCCAGGTCGTTACCTGGGGACGGGGAGGTGGCGACAAGGAGGACGTGGCTGGTAACGCTGGTGCAAGGGGCGAGTCGGAACCCATCACCTTCGTCGACGAAATATTGCCTTCAGACCGGTGGTGCACGAGTGTCGGCGTTGTGTCAGGCGCCGGATTCAGCGCGGACGCCATGGAGACCGCGTTTTTGAGCGGCGGCTTGCCCGGGCGCCGCTTGAACAGCCCCGTCAGCGAGGCGTCCGTCCCGCTGTGCGGCATGGGTATTGACGACTGACATTCGGCAGTCGTACTGTATCAGTCGAAATATTTCGTCACTCATGGTCGAAATATATCTATTTTGTTGCCTCCGCGATGTCTTAGCATACTCTATGCAAGGTACTTTGGTCCGCTCGAAAAAATTATCTGCATGTAACGGTGTAGTACCTACTAGAAGTACATTTGTTCTACTACTTGTAGTATTCCCCCCACTGATTACACATAACCACGACGACGTGATGTTGCATCAACCAGACCGATCGCATGCCCTTGATTCCTGGACGGCATCTCTGCCACATGCCGGCTCAAGACGCCGAGGTGCATTTGAGATACCCACCGGACACAGCGCAATCGCGTATGCTTCGCGTTGGCGTGTTCCAGCTGCGTTTCATGCGTCCCTTTCTCGACATTAGTGTTGTAGCTCAAGACGTGGTGAAAGCGGTGCCTCCAAGTCGCCTTGACGGACGGACGAACGGGAGGGTGCGAGGCGTGGCCGAGTACAGGATGCGTGCGCGACCCCGTGCCAGCGTCACTCGCCCGCCACTCGACAGCAGCAGGGCTTTTACTGCCCCATGCCATACGATCTTGGTCGGCACGAACCACATAAATAGACGAATCGGGTTTAATGTCATTTTTATTTTTAACGTCGGACAACTCGAGAAAATCGGGCTTGCCGTGCTGCCACGATGCACCATTACAGCGACGACAGCGTGGCTCGGCAGCGCCTCCATTCAACCCATGGCTTCACCTTGCTGCCTGCCACAGAAGGCGCGCATCCGCCGATGCACCCCGAGTCGTTCCTCCATGACCTCGGTGGTCAACATGTGCTTCCACCACGGTCATCCGCTGTCGACATGTCCGCCTTCACAGCACCGTCCATGCATCCCTTGTACGACCCGCCACCAACCATGTACAACGGCCCAAATCCTCTCGCGTCCGTGCCATCGAACCCGTCGTCCACGTATTCGTGGTACCTCCCCCATGACTTGTCCAACGACCAAGCCGTTGACCGCGATCTCCTCTGCCTTGCATCACCGTGGCCATCGCAACACCAATCAACCACTGCGTCATGTGTCCCGACGTCTTTAGCCTTGTCTGCGTTGTCAACGCCAACGAACTACCTCGACACAAAGCCACACCCTCCCGCGTCGTGGATGCAGCCGCACGTCACGTCGCCAGCGGCCACATCGGCCCCGTCGTTTGCGACCTCCAATAGGTTTTTCACCGCGCACCACGAGCACGTGGCACAACCAGCCTCGACGTATGCAAGTGTCACCAACGACGCGGCGCCCCCAATGCCGTCTCCAACCCAGTTGCAGGGTCCACAAGGACGCCCTCCGGCCAGCTTTCACAAGGGCGTACCTCGCTCTGTCCATACAGGAGTGGGGTTGGCGTGTGCGGTCGAGCCGAGACTGTCGTCCACGTCGTCGTCAGCTGATTCCGTGGACAACAAAAAGGAAAAGCGGAGGACGCAAGTGCGCGACGCGTCTCGCCGCCGCCGTGCGAAACGAAAGGTATTGCTGGCGTTTGCATCGGTTGGGATGACCACGCCGTGGTGGATGCCGTCGAGATGATGTCGTGCTGCTGCGTGTGCGATGTCATGCCTCGACCCTGTTTCACCTTGACTCGATGGATGTGGATTGCAAATGGGACTACACATGCACGTTCGTGTAGGATGAAGAGACCCGGCTGCGTGACCGCATTCAAGAATTGATGCACCAGATTCACATCATGGGCGGTCCACAGTCCGTCGACGGAGTTGGCGCTACGATCGATGGCGCATCGGACGACGCCGCCCTCGACGCAGCGTACCAGCAACAGCTTCAAGTTGTCCGCATGTTGCAGCAAAAGAACTTGCAGTACAAGGAGAAGCTAGCTCAGCATGAACAGTTTGCCCGCATGATTCAATCAGGGATTCAACTCTTGACGGTAACTCTTTGCATGATTGTGTCCGCCATTGACGCGGGACGTCGATTCGATAGGACGACTCAAGTGCGACAGCCACTCAACTGCAATTCCTGCAGCAACAGCAGCTCACTCGTGCCACGGCTTCGGCGGCAACGCCATTGCCGCCTGTCGAGCCTGCCAGTTTGACAGGATCGGCGCCGACCAACCTCTTGGCTACATCTGACCTGGCACGCATGCTGGCTACATCCAGCGTCCGCGACGCATTGACGAAGTGGGCAAAAACAGTCGCGGCAAAGTGCCACCGCGACCTCCACGTGTCCACCTGGGACACCCGTGGTGAAAATGGTATGTTTCTTCAAGTCGAGCTAGCTCAAGATCGAGATGTCACCGATCGTTTCTGCACAGTGACGACGAATGTCGCGATGGGATGGCAGACGCATGTATGGATACCGCTGGCGACATCCAAGCGACGTGAAATGCACGTGCGAAGCCACAAGGTCGTGGTCGGTGCCAACTCGGACGAGTGTGCTGTCAAGACGTGGGAAATGGTCACGAGCATCGCCAAGGCGCGCCGCGTCAATCCCGACATGAAGGCGATCGAGGTAGGAATGGGCCACGCATGTCACGGCCGTCTCGACGTCATGCACGTCCGAAACTCGAACGACTTTGCGATTCCCGGCGCAGTCGTCTCGCGCCATCGAGCGCTCGTGTTGCTTTGGATCGCTCAAGAGCACGACTGCATACGTAGTTGGTGCACGAAGTCACCCCGAGGGAATTGATCGTCGTCGTTCATCGCAGGGTGGCCACTCAAGTCTTGGGCGGCCGGGATCGAGTCACTGTCTCGGTCGTGTCGAAAATGCCGCCAAGTGACCAGACCGACCCGGTCGTGTCCATTGGCGTAGTGTCATTCGACGATGGCGCATTCGGTACGTGCATGCCGCCGGCCAAGACCGACATCCCCTCATGCGTGTGATGCGTGTACAGCGCGATGCATAGCACAGGACGAGATCCACGACCTGGAGCCAGTCGAGCGATTCGGGTGGTCGTTTGCGCCGAACAACGCGGTCACGTTTCAAGGCTGGTACACCGTTCAGGACAATGCACCAGCCGCCGCCACGGCATCGCATCCCGACTTGATCACGACGCAGTACAGCAACGAAACCATGTTTGCCCTTGTCCGGTGGGAGAGCGAAGCCATGGAATCTGTCCTTTGACGAGATCCAGCCGAATTCATACCATCACGTTGAGTCGTGCGAGAATCCAGGACAGCCACATTTGTGAACACAAGTGTGTCCATGCATCCCAGGCACGCCAGCGTTGCTTGAGCAATTGCTGCACACGCGTTCCGGAAACGCAGCATTGCCACAGGGTTCGCCGCGCGCCGTGGTAAATAGTAGCTGCACGAGTACGCAACTCGCCCACGATTCCAGTCGTGTCCTTGCAGGACGGTCGTGCTACCTAGTGGGATGGCCATCCCAACGTTTTCTTGCCATGCCCACGTGCAGCAACATTGGGCCGTATTAATAGAACTTCGTCGCGACCTTCACCTTAAGTGCACACACGTCGCGATGGCGCCGCCCCCTTTGGATGGATGGTATCGTTGCTCCGAGTCAACGTTTGGCGGCTCCGGGGGCCTAGTCGCCGAATGCGGCAAGTACACCATGCCGCTGTGCCATCCTGGCCTTTGCAACGACACGTCCCGGACGCTCGACGTGTTTGTGAAGCGCGTCCTTGCGGCCAACACCACGGCCAACCCGAAGGTCCTGTGGATGGTCCAGGGCGGACCAGGGCTCTCGTCTGCTGACTGTACGTCCCGGACCGTCCACTCGGTTAGTCTCGTCATACGTGGTCGATGTGCGCAGTGGACGGCTGGCTCGCCGACATGTACACGATGTTACATGGCCAAGTCACTCTCATGACAATGGACCATCGAGGCGTCGGGCGCAGCAGCTACCTCACGTGCACGGCCGCCCAGGCCACCACTGGTGGGAGCCCTGGAGGCCGAGACATCACGCGCGGCGAATTGCCCGCATGTCTGGCGAGTGTGCGTCGCAAGTTCGGTACGACGAGTTGGAGCGGCGTCGCATGCCCAACTCACTGCGTTGCCATGCTCCAGGAGCATCGAATTCGGCTGCATTTTCCATCACGAGTGCGGCGACCGATCTCTTGACTGTGATCGACGCGACGTCGTTGCCGGCGCAAGAGGTACGTGTCGTCCTTCGAAGCCACGTCGAGTGTGTCCGTGCACGTAGGTGTATGTCTACGGCGTGAGCTATGGCACGATGTGGGTGCAGCGCGCCATGCTGCTGGAGCCACATTTTCCTGCCACCAACATCCGAGGGTACATTCTAGACGGCGTCGTCACGCACAGCGGTCCGCGGCGCTTGGTGTTTTCCGACTGGGACACCAACCACGGCCGCGTCGCGTCGGCGTACTTCGATTTGTGTACACAGGATGCGTTTTGCGCGGCCAAATTTGTACGCTCGACGCTGGCGGCGACCGCGGCGGTGCTGTACACGCGGCTCAACGGGGCGAGCCATCCGTGCCAGTAAGCCTCGCACCCGCGGGCACCCGTTTTCACGACAACACATGGACGTCCACAGCGCGTTCGTTCAGACCAACTTTGGCGACGCGGCGGGGCTCAAGATCCTCTTCAGCTCGTACTTGCAGGACCCGACGTTGCGGGCGCTCATCCCAGTCCTTGTGTACCGTCTCGAGCGGTGCAATGCCGGCGATATTGTTGTACGTCCACGAATTCCATCCATGTTGTGACCTGGTCAGCGCATCGTGCTGGTAGGTCTTGCAAACCATCCTGAATTCGATCCATGGGCTCGTCAACATGCCGCGCGTGGGGGCGGCGTACTACTCGGAGCTTGTTCGAAATGTCGTGGGGTACTCGGAGCTATGGGAGCTTCCAACGCCTACGCTTGAAGCGCTGCAGGAGGTACGCCACGTGCGAATGGCAAGCAATTTTTCGCCCCCCGAACCCGCACGATCGGCGACTGACCCGTTCGTCGGACGACGGCCGAGCCTAGAGATTCGACTCGAGCATCGTCGCAAGCGGCATGTTTAACGCGCTGCCCGAGTACTGCATCTACTCTGGCGCGACAGACCCCGCTTGCGTGGCTACCAATGTCCGTCTCGTTCATCGAGTCATCCCGCCTCACGCACCTCTTTCGGCAGAGCGTAGTCACGCCGTCCGTCGCGTTTGTGTACACACCCGACGCATATTTCAACCAAACGGTACGGCATCTTCGACCACGCGCGCACCACGTCAGCAACAAGTTGCGGTCGCAGGTGGTTGTGCCTTCCAAGGCGTCGGTCCTGTTGTTGAATGGCGGGCTCGACCCGCAAACGCCTCTGTTTGGAGCACATGACACCCGAGACCTCTTGCAGTCCGCGCGCAAGTTGCTCGTGGAATTTCCGTATTGCACCCATGGCATCGTCGGGATGTCCATCACGACAAACGCCGTACGTGCACGGCCGTCCCTCGATCGTCGACACCACTTTAACTTGTGAGGCAGTCGGCGCCGCCGTGTGGGCAATCGATTCTGGCGTCGTACGTCATGGCAAGCGGCGACTTGGCAGCCGTCGACACGTCGTGCTTGCACTCGCTTCGTCCGATGTCGTTTCAACTGTCGCTCGAGTTTGCCGCGACAGTCGTGCCAGGGATAGCCGGCGACTTGTACGACGGCACGCTGCCTCTGTCGGCCACCGCTCCGCCGTCCAAGCTCACGACAATTCGTCCGCTGACTACCCCGTTGGCCACCACCGCGATGGCTGTGCCATCCCCGCCCTACTTTGTCGAGTTTGCCATCTTGTGCGAGTTAGTCGTCGTAGCGGCCGTGGCCGTCGGGCTCTTGACGTGGGAAGTGCGTCTGCGAGCGGCACGCCGGCGACGGAACGTCCAAGAGAAATAGGAAAACGTCCTGTCCCCCTAGATCGTCCGTCTTCGACATCCCACGTCGTTGTCGTTGCTACTTGTGTTGCATGCAATTTGTGTCGAGCACCTGCTTTCACAACTCTCTACTGCGTCCAGAGCCACCATCACAACCTGCTGGGGCGATGTAGTCGAGAAGGGTACGGTCGCATGGATGTCGACGCTTTCTACAGCACTCGACGCACGCGACTGCTCGATGTATCGACATGACAGCGCCAATGGACTTTTCACTGCCAGCACTCGTTCTTGCAAGCTGGGCGCGGGCTCGTCAATGCGTGGCACCGTGGTTGGTGCACTTTTGTGTTTGACAGGTATCAAAGAAGGTTTGGCTTGTACAAATGCGCTCGGGAAATCAAGACAGAGCTGCCCTACTGCTCGAGACTAGTCTTCATGACCCTGTGCGTTTGCAAGCACTTGGTCGTGCTAGCTGTCCTTTTCTGCAGCGAAGGGACGTTCTGCTGCTCTCACATCCATGAGCAAGGCCGCGACTTGCGTCCCGTTGCACCGTTCGTCGGTGCAGGCGCAACCTAACGTCGTGCAGTTTCCATCCACCACGTCGCATGCGGTGTTCAGTCTCTATTCTACAATTGACGCGGTTCAAACAACGCCACCTTTGCCAGCACACAACGTCCCCGCCCAGCCTCGTAACGCGATGGCATCGCTCCGTCTCGCCGCCCGGCCATCTTGAGCCGCCATAACAGCTACGCCCCCATCATCAAAGCATCCGGTGTTGGTGGCAGGCTGACGTCGTTGCTGCCACGGCCTCTCATGCCCTTGGCACCACGAGAATATTCGACAAGGCACAGCGCCATCCGCCATCCGCTTCCTCACGCGCCTTGACGGTGCCAGCCGTCGTAAGTAGTTGCACCCAATGTCATAGTCAACGAGTCCAACTCTTGCTCAGATGGCGTTGAGCATGACAATTGAGCTGCACCTGTAGGTGCAGCTCAATTGTCGTCCAATCATATCGGCCGATGGGTTCACCATACAAATTTCAAGTCAAATGTGAAAAGGCGTTGTTGACGAAGACAATTCCGATCGATTGTTCCGAGGATGACGGCGAATTCGCGCCACATCTCGTTGTTCAAGCTTCGGACACGATGCGCCGGCATGAGACTGCCGTCCATACCGCGTGCTTGATGTTCTTGCTACTCGCTGCATCAGCTGATGCGAGCGCACAGGTCAACGGTGTCGTGGGCGTCACATGCTCGACCCGATCGGACTGCGGTCAGATTCCGAGTCTCGGATGCCGCGACAGGTTTGGACGACGTGGGGCGGTCGATGCCATTTACGCTGATGGGGGTGACATACGTAGCAAATGCGCCGTGTGCGTCTCGGACAACGACTGCGGCGGCGATTCGTTCACCACGTATCGCTGTGTCAACAGACAAGGCGGCGTTCCCCCCGTGTGCTTGAACAAGAACGTGTTTTCTCCATTCACAGGCGCCGACATCCTCGCGGCGTTTCTCGCGGCACTTAGCACCGCGCTCGGTGCGGCGTGCGGCCTCGGTGGCGGCGGACTCCTCGTCCCGCTCTTCATTGTCGTCGTGGGGCTAACGCCAAAATTCGCCATTCCACTGTCCAAAGCCACGATTCTCGGTGGGGCCGCCGCCACGTACTGGTCCAACTACGGCTCGAAACATCCGTGTACGTGCGATAGCTCGAACCCATCCCCATTCGTCGTAACGACGGCGGACGGCACACCTAGACGCGTCCAGGAGACCCATCGTCGACTACGCTCTGGCCGGCCTCATGGAACCTCCGACGCTGATCGGGACCATTGTTGGTGTCATGGCAAACGGCGTCTTCCCGTCGTGGCTCATCCTAGCCCTGCTCATCCTGCTCTTGGCATTTGTCACGTACCGTGTCACGAAGCGGGCGAATGCGGTAGGTAGCTCCATTTGTGATCGTGGGCCCATTTCAAGGGTGGCGTGGGGGGGGTGTAGATGCATGCCAAGGAGAATGCCGAGAACGCGGCTGCTGCAGCTTCGACGTCGGATCTCCCCGACGTCAACAACTCGACACCTGAAGTCCACGTGGACAAGGAAGACCACGACGACGGTGTCGCCGCTGAATGTGTGCATTTTCGAGTGGACGACAACGTCCCAGGTACAGAAATCGATCCTTGCCTCGAGAAAAACTTGTCGCACGATGGGATGGCAGCGTCATGAACTCGCGGACCATAGCTGCCACCAACATGGCTTCGGTCCAGGACTCGCTGCTAGCGACGTGTCACGCTCAGGAAATGGACGTGTTTCCGTTCCGCCAGTGCATTTTGCCGCTTCTTGTGTGCATTGCGGCGATTCTGGCGCAGTCGCTGCTGCGCGGCGGCCATGGCGCGCCGAGCTTAGGTACTGCTCGCCTTGTTTGCATGCCGTCGTTGGTTACGGTGTGCCTGTAGTCGGGGTCGCATGCGGGTCGGCGCTGTACTGGCTGCTTATCCTGCCCCCAACGGCGATCCTTGCCGCCGTCACATTCCTCATGGGCCGCCTCCTCCTTCGCCGCACCCACCTCTACGCTGCATGCGGCATGGAGACCGTCAAAGGCGACGTCGCATGGACTCGGCATAAAACGTACGTCGCGTTTCCGTTGCAGTGCGTCGTCGCAGGGTTTGCGTCGGCGTTGCTGGGCATCGGAGGTACTTGTCACAACTCGTGGGCAACCAGCTCGTGACGACGGCAGGTGGGATCGTGCAAGGGCCGTTGATGCTGGAACATGGGGTGACGCCGCTCGTGCAAAGCGCGACCGCGTCGTACATGATTCTGTACACGTCGACGTCGACGACGATTCAGTACACGATTGCGGGCCAATTTCCCGGCGACTTGCAATATGGTACGGGTGTTTTTCATGCCAACGGTGGGGTGACACCGTGCTCGGTAGATTATGTGCTGTGGTACGTCGCCCTGGGGTTCCTCGGTGGTGTTTTTGGCAAAAAGGTGCGCTCGCGCGAAGACGAACGAGGCACTCACGGCGCCATGCGCAGGTCGTGGAACGGCTCATTCAAAGAACTGGTCGCATGTCGTACTTTTTGTACTTTTTGGCGGCCAACTCGGCGATCCAGGCGGTCGCGATGGGGTACATCGGTGTCAGCAACGTCCTTCAAGACATCAAGACGGGCGACAGCATCGGGTTCTCCAGCCTCTGTCATGGCTAACGTATGAATGCACCAGACGAATCCTAGACGATGTAGGGGTTAGAGGACTCACTTCACGGGCAGCACTCATGAGACGACGCATCGATTTCCTCGAGGATGTGCCTTGCCATTCCCATGCGAATCTTCTCAGTCGGTCGACGCCGCGGAGGCGCGGTTGCGGTTGATACACTCAGGATGGCCATGAGCGTCCTTTGATTGATGTGAACGCGTTCCAGACGTTTTCTATCTTTTGCAACAGCAAAACCATGGAGAGACATACGAAAACAACATACGCACACGATGGCAATCATCGTCTGAGCGCAGTAGCATGCACACGGCACCACCGAGTGCCGTTTGCTGTAGCCCTTTGCTCGTCATGATGCACGTTATTGGTTGTCGCACTTGTCACTGTGCTCTGTTGCGTATATTGATTGAGTAGTCACACTGCGGAATATCGGCTTGACTGCTTGATACGTTGACTTGTTCCGAACATGTTTGAAACACCTCCAAGAAGAGCCGCCATTATTTCTCGTTCGGCAAAAAGCTTCATGGCGGCGGCGACCCTCTATCCTGCTGTGTTTATCCATGGTGTGCCAACAATGCGCCGTATCGTCTATGGATACCACTTAACTGTGCGAGTGTGTATGGCGATAGGCACTCTGGGCTGGGGCCGACGTACTCCGTTCTTCAACCTTGCTCCGGACTACTGGCCGTTGAAGCACCTCGAGGACATCAACCCGAACCACATTGTTGTGGAAGTCGGCATTGCGTCATCGGACCACGACCGAGCATGCGAAACCTTTTATCAACTCATCGGCGGCCGTGTCGACTACGGGGAAGCCCATGCTGCCGAGAAGGGTCCGACGCGGTTCTGGACTATACTCGACACATGACTGGATGGAATGTTCACGTTTAGGACATTCGCGCTATGGAGCAACCTTTGACACAGCGTTGCACCCAACATGGAGCGAGGTATGTCGACGTCACTTTCGTCGAGGAGACTGATCAAGCGAATCTCCAGTCGAACCCTGTCCACCTCATCGGACACAGTTATGGTGCCACCACCGGTATCCGCTTCGGCGCTCGTCCTTCCCGACCGGCATTTCACATGTTCTTTTGCAGCGCTCGAGTTGTACCAGCTTCTGTGCGTGGACTTTTTCGGCATCGGGAGCAATTACAAGTGGGTCAAGAGCGTCGTCTCGATCTCGGGGACGCTCTCCGGCACGACGATAGGTAATATTACACCTCCCGTCGCGTCGCTTTTGGTCACGGCGAGCGACTGTCCATTTGTCCTTGTAGGGTCCATGCTCGGCTCAACACTTGGAAACCCGTCCCCGTTCGGCACGATCAGCTACTGGATTGCATGTGGGTTTGCAACGCTGCACAAGCTTCAGCAGCACGTTCCATGTCTGTCGCTCCTGTACGACCTTCGCATGCCTCAGTGGTCGGAATCGTCGTCATGGCGAACCTTGTACAACCCAGCGCACAAGCCGCTCAACACGGACGACAACGGTGCGCGTCTATCTCTCCCGCGCCATCTTTCGCCTGACGCGCTTGCTGCATCATAGTGTTTACGTGCTTACTGCCCCAACACCGGCTCGAGAAGAACCACAACCTCGTCCACATGGATAAAATCCACTTGTTCAGCATTGTGTCGCAAACGGCAAGTGTCTTGACGTACCCGCCCGTGGTGGAAATGGTGTCGATCGCGGCGCTCCTGGCCATGTGGAAGCTCAAGAAGGTTGGCTTTGTGCGAGGACAATGTCCACTTGTGTATATCTTGGTTTCATCGATTGCGCATGTCAACGCCGCTTGGCAAGCGATTCGACGTCCATCTCTGATGCCATGCCTGTCGTGCGTAGCCAAAGCTGTGGATTGGACTGCTGTCGCTTTGGCTGTGCCGACGCCTGGCCAAGGTGGACTGGTCCAAACCGTCGCTGTTCCTGGCCTACTTTATGCGGCGCCATGCTGAAAACGCCGACGCGTTCTTTGAAGGTGTGTCTGATGCGACGATGGAGAGATATCTCCATGGCTGCGCATGACCAGACTGTCGAGTAGGCTTTGACAAGGATGCGTGGCAGCACTCGGACGGCGTTGTGAACTCGTACTCCATGATTCGACCACGGTTAAGCCTGACGTCACAGCTCCCGATCGAGGTGCGCCATCATCGCCACTCGTCACTTGACATGTATGCTGTGGCAAAGGAATCCCCGCAGCAGGATGGATCGTCGTCCGCCGTCATGGTCCGTGTGCCATCCCATGTATCGATTGACATGGGCGAGCCCGACGTCCTCTGCGCCACGATTCCCATGGTACGATCGAATGCCAGCATGGACACGTAACGATGTCGTCTTGGCAGGGACAATGGCATGTCTACCGGGTGGCCAAGAACCACTTGTGTGGTACACGTGGCGATAGCGATGCCCGAGAGCTGTACACACGGCTCTTCCGTCTCCTCAATCAGATCAGCGGCCTGTCGTTCGATACGAACGATCGTGGCATCGTCAATTCGTGCTGACGGCATGTAGCTTAAAACTCGAATCGATGTGTCGGCCCATGTGAAAACGATCGGTCGCCTTCCGTCCATACTACACAAGTGGCGATGGCAGCGCGCCCAGCCCCTTTGGGAACGACAGCTACATCAAGGACTGGACAACTGCCATTGCTGCAGCGGGAAGACGGCAACGTCTTTTCAAGGCACAGTGGAAGGCTGTTGATCAGCAGCACATCATGCATCTCGTGTTGACGATGCGTCCATATTTTCTACTAGTGTCCGCGACGAGATGGGAGCGACGCGGCAGCCACCATCGACTTGAAAGCGGCGTCGAGGGTCGTGGCCGCTCTTGCAAGACCCGACAATTCGTCGTTGAAGAGGCGGCAATTATCCCACACGAGCTGGACGTCGCTGACAAAGGCGGGCGACACGTTGCCACCGTCTTTCTCGACAGCGTACTCATTGCGCCGGAGACGGGTTGCAATCGTGGTCAGGTCCATGCGTCGTTTGACCACGTCGTCATAGTACTCGACGTCCTCCACCGGGTTCAAAAACGGTTTGGCAAATGGATGGTCGGCGATCCCGGCGAGAAGGCTTCGCATCACTGACGACTAATTTTGCCACACGTCAATCGTTTGCTCGACCCCGTGATGCCACGATTGCCTACCTTGTTTCGTTGCTTCGACAGGTCTTGGCACACCTTCTTCACGTACAACTCGTCGACGTTGCCCAGGCACTCGTGGCACTGCCAGTTGTCGGGGAGTTCGTCTTCGCGCTTGTTCAAGCACGACAAGTGGAACGATCGAGGGCACACGTCGCAGCACACCAAGTCTCCGTCGACCTTGCACACGCTGCAATAGTCCAAATTCATGTCGACTTCATCGACAACGGCGTCAAGACGCTCCATGGTCGCTTCGACGTCCCCGGCACAATTCGACGTGGCCTTCTTTGCGCGTTTGTCGAAATTACTCAGTGGTATACGTGCCTTCTTCTTGGTTTTGGCACGGGTTGACGCTGCTGATGGAGTTTTGGGCGCCGTTGCGTCTGCAGCCGTGCGTTCGTCATCGTCAACGTCTTCATCTTGGACGGACGCAGCCGACTGTCCTCGTCGGCGAACCACGCGCTTGGACGTCTCCGAGTCGGTGCTGTCCTTGCTCGTCGCGCCAAGGGGTCGCTTGGCGGAGCTGGACGGCTTGTCCTTGGACTCTTCAACAGGCAGTGCGGACATTGAAACGTGGTCGTTCGAACACGCAGCAGAGAGTGCTGCACTGCTGGTTTTGGCTGGTTTCGACGGCGCCGCCTTGGCATGTGGAAGAACGAAGAAGTCGTCGTTTTTGTGTTGATTGATCAAGGCGCCAGGAAGAGGCGCGGCAGCGCGCGGTTTCCGTTCGCGAATGTTGCTCTCGGCAACGGTTGCCACGTGAAAATGGTTGCCATGCGTTTTCGCATGGTGCAGTTGTGCAGGCTCGGAACGTGTCGAAGAAGGGATCGCGTCCCCTCGCTTGAGACGCTTGAGCACGGGCTGGGCAGTGCATGCCTCGTCCGTCGCAAGCTCGTTGAGCGCATTCACGTTTTTGCTGCCTCGCCCTGTCAAAGGCACCGCGTCCTTGGTATCGCCCGACGACTTTGCGTCAAGCATCGGTGCATGGATCAAATTGAAATTGCCCTCGCTGTTGGCACTTGCAGAGCTGTCCTCGGCGATGCCGTGCGTCGATGGTTTCGTGCTACGGCGCTTGTATATCATTCTTCCGCGCGGGATGTCGCCCTTTGCGGACGTGGTGGTTAAATTCTGGACTGCCGGCGCCGCATGGCCGCTTTGTTTCGGTCGTTTTGCCGAGGAGGTCGACGCGCCTCCTGCAGCCGTCTTGGACGCTTTCACGGCTGCGCCAACTGATTCATTGTTTTTTCCCGACGATGAATCGGTTCTGAATTCGCCATGAGGCACGGCGCTCGACGGTCCTATCTCCACTGTGCTCACGGTCGCACCGTCTTGAAGTGTAGTGGCAGAGTCCTTCACAGGTTTTTCACGCACTGTGCCTATATAGGTTGACATGAGCACCAAAACGCTTCAAGGTCCTATGTAGCATACCGTTTGTGGACGCTGCCGTCGAGCTGGAGGCATTTGTGGAAGCCACGGCATTTGTCGTTGGCTCTGGAACCCTTTCAGTAAGGGTTGTCTTGTTGGTTGGCAGCAATGTAGTCCTTTTTGTTGCCCATGGTGTCGTCAATCCGTCCGGCTGCTTTGCGTCTGGTTCGTGCTTTGAAACATTGGCGTCGGGCGGTCGAGTCGTCGATTTTGCTGCCGATTTCCTTTCCTGCAACAAACTTGTTTCGTTTAGTTGTCCAACCTCCGTCGACGAGACCACGATGCCCCGAGCGTCAGTGATTTGTTGTGTCGCCGCTTGTTTCGGGACGGCTTTCTCGGAGTCGGTGGCACGAGATGCGTCGTTCGAAGCCGCTTCAGCCATTACGTTTGTCATGTCCGCCGCATCGGTTTTCGCACTATTTGTTGGTTGCAATAGCGTAAATGGTCTTTCGTTGCCAGACTGGGCATTGGACGTCGTGAAGTTCGATACCACCACAAAACTCGTGGCTGGCTGATGGGAAGTGCCGTCAAGTTTGGGCGGACCTGGTGCAGCATCGTCCATCACGGCTTTGGCAGCTTGCTTTGGCATAATCGAACGAAAACGCACGACGTGAGATGGAAACTGTCCACTCGATAGCACGTGCTCCGCTCCTTGTGTCGCAGTGAAAACGGGATGATGGGAGGCACTCAGAGCAGCAATCTCGGGAGAAGTTGTCGCTTTCGGCATCGCCGTTGGCAACTCATTCGCTGTTTTCGCTTCGGTTTGTCGATTGGATGCTTGTTTGAACGACTGGACAGGAACAACGGCAGGCTTGGCTTCCGCGATTGCCGGGTCCATGCGTTTTGGCGACTTCGCGCTCTGGACGGTCTCCTCGGTTGATTTTGCTTCGTCGACGGCTTGGACGACTCGATGGTAGTGATGCGAACGAGAATGACCCAGCATGGACTTTGCTGTGTCCATGCGATTCATCGCCGTGGAATGCTGCTGCGCTGTCCTGTCGTGGTCGATCCGGGAGGGCTCCTTGCTATCCGCTTCGAACATCGGGTCGCCCATGGTCGTCCAGTGGTTCCGACTTGCGGCCGACTTGGTGTCCGGGCAGGCGTCGTCACAAGGATGGAGCGATCGGGGTGATGAAGGCAGACCCGTTTGCTTTCTTGCCACGGTAGGTTTGTGCGGCATACGTTTCGCCGACGATTTAGGCTCGCCCACTTCGTGATTTTCGTCAATGGCTGAGGTCTTCGCTGCAGGGACGGGGGATGCTTCGGACGTGTCTTGTCGGTTGGAGTTGTGGTGCTGGGTTCGCCATGAGTCGGCATTTATGGTTGCAGCCGTCGACACGGGGGAGCTGGTTGTGTTCTTGACTCGCACGGACGACAGGGTAGTTTCCGTGTGTGGTGACAGCAACGACTGGAGCGACGATGGCGCCGATATCGACCTTTCTTGATGGGGCCGTCCTGGTTTGTCTGCCAGAGAGGAGGACGCCGCATTGACGTACGAGTCGTACTGCTCAATCTGCTTGGCCACCACTTTCGTACACACGACGCACGAGCATGCATGGAGGCAGATCGGACATGGCGCGACCGAGTGGGCGCTGCCTTCTTCGAGCATCGTCGAGACCAGCGTTCGCGTAAGCCGTTCAAAATGGACGACGCAAATCGAATGGCCAAAATCAAAGTACGGGCAAATGTTCAACACGAGCGATGGGGTCGTGTTGGTTGTCGCCGTCGCCGTACAGACGTGGCACAGCCCGTGCTGGATGAAGCTGCAACGATCGACCAACGGTAGCTTTCGCTGCAATGCACTTGTGTACGCCGCCACTTTCCACTTGTGCGTCCCTAATGCGGCCTCGGACATGGACGGATCGGATTCGGGCAATTCATTTTGCTTGGGATTTGGACGAAGGGAGATGTTCCCGCTCGGAGCTACAGCAAGTGTCTTTGGGAAGACACATCGACAAGGCGGCGTACCTATATGATCAGGGGGCGCATGCAGCGTCGATATGTTCTCCTGTCGCAAACCATCGGGCAACGGAGGCGACACCGTGCTCAAAGACGCTAGCCATTGCTGAGATGCACGGGAACCGCCGACCCTTCTCTCAAGCTACAAAAGCAAGTTAGCACGACGGGAAACACAAGGGATGTCATGCACAGGCCATCTAGAGCATGCAGGGAGCGCTCTGCATGCACAGCCCCGTCCAATCTCACCTCCATAATGCCGCAACTCCGAAGCAGTCGAGGGATTTACAAGATGCAACCTGGGCAATTGGACTTTAACCTCTCCTATCGCATTTGCCATTTACGTTTTATGTAGAGGAAATCCCTTGTCCAATCATTAGCTTTCAACGTCATGTCTTCCATGCTTGGTCAAAGACAACTTGGACTCCCAAAATGCGTTATATCTAGTTCAATCCATCCAGGTCAGCATAGCGTACAGCCAAACCACTGACCAAGTATGGCTGGCCGATACCTGCACGCACGGTGCCTTCGGTCGACAGCCGAATGGCTGCCGCATCCTTCGTTGTCCACGCGCCTACTCGCACATCGAGCAGCGTACATGCGGAAAACTCATCCAAACGCTTCACACGTATTAGCTTTACTGATTGCACATAAATCCGGATAATCAACTAAATGGTACATGTAAGATGTACGAAACTTTGCAAACGTGATCTTGGCTGGTGCTGAGTACGGTCTTCAAAACCGTGGGCCATTAACGTGGCAGGGGTTCGATTCCTCCTCGATTGCGATAGTTTTTCCTCTTGATTTTTGTATCGTTTCCAATGCGACGACATTTTCACTTTTGACCATGACGGCGCACGGGAACTAGGCAAGACGACCTGTGGAGCCATGCGCACTGCAAAGGCAGCGGGAAAGCCCGTCATACTTGGTGCTTGATTCGCTCTGAAATAGGCGACGTGACTCGCCTACTTTGCTTGGTGGACGGAGGTGCAGAGCGCTGCCTCAACATTGCGATGGCGTTGCCATGGAAGGATGGTGGAGACAATTGAAATAAGTTGTTTGCATTGCACAACGAGGCGAAAGAGACCACATCCCGAGATCGAGTGCATAGACGATTGGATATCTTTAGCCGCCATGTGCCCTTCCTTCAGACGACACATATTCTCACGGAATGATGCGGATCCCGTTTTCCACGAGCTTGTATTGCACAGTCCACGCCCCAAGACGCGTATCGGCCAACGACACTGGTCGCCGCATCGTCACCTGCCCAAAGCATACGCACCATCGTGACGTGCGTTTCGAATGCCGCATGGTTGATTGCGTCTTACCGAGCCATGAATGTCCTTGCAGTAACCACTGTCCAGCCCACGAACAGAGTATTCAAACGTTGCCAAGTCACTCAAGGCCGCTGTCTAGACAGCACAGTCGATTACCATACACACATATGTCGAGCAATTGTACAAAGAAAGTGTCGTCGCCTTCGACATCTCCATGATTCAGCACTACGAACGCCGTCTAGCCCAACGTTAAGCTTTGGACGTGGCAAGATGAGTGTCCAGAAGCAAGTGCGCACCTCAGTCATCAAGGCCAGGTGGCGGCAGTACCGAAGAAAAGTCAGTGTGTTTGGAACGCCAAATTGATCCACGAGCGCAGACGCGTCATCCACGACAATGCAAACGTTGCCCGTCGTGACAGCGGTGGCGAAGTCTCTCAACTGGCAGAACAGCGCCTCGAGGGACTCCGGATCGTCTGAGAACGAAGAGAGCACGGCTGTCAAGCTGGTCGAAGCGGTTTGTTGTGGATTGCACCAGTCGTACGGGTGGGAAAATCCATCAATGTGAAGCCACGCACAAGGCTTGGCCTGCTGTGCTTTGAACACATTGACACCCTAAGAAATACGAGGTATTGCACTACATGACCGAGTGCGCAACATACCAGCTTGCGGCCGATCGAAGCATAATGCTCCAACGTGTTCGCCAGCGCCACAACACACACTCGTTGCTCTACCACGGCACGATCATGTCGTGTTGAGCAGACTGGAGGTCGAGTCGTACCAGCTTTCAAGAACATGGATGTGATGTGGTGCATGAAGTATGCTCCAGGCGCTTCAACTACATCATTGATCACCACAAACTCGTGCCGTGGCAAGTTCAGCGGCGTAAACTCGAGCTCCGTTGGCCACGCCGCTGCCATGACGCAATTTCGCCACATGCAACTCCGGATACTGCAAATTTCCGGATAATGGGACATGCATTCTGTCGAGTGGAATGTCCTAAACGTAGCCATGACGCATTGTTCAAGTGACCAGTAAGATTGCCATCCATGTCTTCGATGCTGGACGTCCGCCTACTCTCGTCCATATGCTCCCTGCCACACGAGAAAACAACTCATCAGTGCGTGGTAAATCAAATGCAGCACTCGCGTTCTCTGGCGCCACGTAAAAGCACCCACATGGCTTGGACAATGTGTCCGAGTCAGGAGTTTCCCACCTTCGGGACGTTTATTCGGACGAAACCTGGGTCACGCAAATGAGATTCCTAACTAGGACTATTTGAAACGCATACGGTTTGTGATGCAAGAGAGAACTTTCGCATCGTCGTCGTCGGCATCATGGAGGCGACGGCGGATCCGGTGGTGCTAATCCATGGTACGTGGGCGAGGGGACGAGTCATCGTGCAGTGCTCTCACGGGAATGGGTGGGATTGTTCGATGGGTAGGTGTATTCGGATGGGGCAACAAGTCGCCACTGTTCAACATGTTGCCCAACTACTGGCCGGTCGCCGAACTCAACCGCGTAAATCCCAATCACATCATTGTGGACGTCGGCAAGGTGTCGTCCGACCACGATAGAGCGTGCGAAGCGTTCTATCAACTTTACGGTGGCCAAGTAGACTATGGCGAAGCGCACTCGGCTGAAAACGGTGCGGCTGCCGTAACTCAACCACGTCGTCGTGCACGGTCGTCTCACGCACGCGTCATACCCAGGACACAAACGATTTGGAGCAACGTACTCGAAAGAAAATGCAAAGCACACGCGGTGGAGTGCGGTACGTGCGACCAACCGTGACAATCTTTCCCGATGGCTTCATCACCGTCGAACGACGCGTCCACGTTCTCGTGCTTGTGTGGGCTGGTTTCTCACATGAAGAGCGCATTGTAGGAGAATCCAGTTCATCTCCTTGGGCATAGCTATGGGGCTACCACAGGTACCCACACCTTCCCACTGGATCGCAGTCAAGCGACTCCACCCAGACGACGTGCACTAATGCATCGGTGTAGCTATTGAGCTGTATCAACTGCTGTGCACGGACTTTTTCAAAGTCGGGTCCAGTCATGCATGGGTGAAGAGCATCGTGTGCATATCGGGGCCATTGACGGGGTATCGGCTCGCTTGATTAGTTGAATCTTGAGATGGTCGTTTATGCACAGGTCCACGCTGTGCAACGCGATTGGAGCCAGCTTGAAGGGAGACCTCCCGGTGCTCGGGCCAGGACACATCATGGTGGCTGGCCTTGGCTTGATGTGGAAGCTCCAGAACTTTTACTTTCCATGGCTCAAGCACATTTACGACTTGGACCTGGGCCATTGGACCAACAACACGACGTGGGAAATGTTTTACTCGACACGCAGTGCCGTGCACACGAGCCGTGATCTAGGTACGTCTGTTCAACGAAACAGTGCGATGAAAATCGGACAAATCAGCGGCACTGGATACAACGATGGCGTCGCTCGCTCAGCGTGACGACTGGTTGCTGTAGCGCTGTACGACTTGCTGCCGGCCCGACGGGTGCAGCGCAACAGCCAACTCGTTGAAATGGACAAAGTGCACTTGCTCAGTATTGTGACGACAGCGACGGACCAGCATCACGTTCCAGTCTGTACAACGACACGTGTTTCAATGCATTGATCAAGAACATGCGCGTAGATTCGAGAGTGGGTGATGGCATTTGGAGTGGTCTGGCTCCTCTTTCGGCGAAAGCGACTGTGGCCGACGCGATCACTGCGATGCGCACTGTGCCTCACTCTGATTGCCATGACGTGGCGCAAGCTCGGGAAGGTCGACTATTCCAAAGTTCGGTCCAGTTTGTGGGGTCTCATCTGGGTCATTCGGTCCTACACGAGCTCCATGCATAAACACGATCCTCTCTACAACGGTACGATCTCTCGCCATTTCTGTGATGCACGTGCATCCGTGGCAAGTGTGTGTTTGGAACGTAATCGGCCCCCCTCGTCGTGGCGACGCTACCATGGTTCCTCAACTCTGGTGCTCCCGCACTGTCAACAACCCCTTTCGTGTGTGAAACCTACTGTCCTCTGTGATGGAGCGTTGTTGTGATGCGGTGTCCCGTTGATGGCCACTCGTCTGTACCGTTTTACCTGACGGCGCATTGTCATGTTGGACGTAGGGTTTGAAAGCGCGCATTGGGTGCACAACGACGGCGTAGTCAACACGTACTCGCAGGTGTATCCCCGTGTGGAAGGCCCGAAGTGCGCCGACAGTCCAGCTCTCGACCGCCGACCCCGGTCCGAGTCGCACATGTCGATCGACCTCGAAGCCGAGAACGAAGTCGACAACCACACAACACAACTCATCAAGGGGACGTGGCACACGTATCGCATGGGAAAGAACCACTTGTGCGGCACCCACTGGGACAAGGAGGCCCACCACCTGTACACGCACTTGTTCAAGCTCCTCAACAAGTGGGTTGCCCAGACGACGGCCGCCGACCCAGCACCAAGATAACAAATAAAACCTGCCGCCAGTGCGGACAGACCAGTTGGTCCACATCGTTCCTGTCCCTTGGCGCAGGTTCTTTCACAGGAGAGCGCCAGTCCGTCCAGATCCATCATCTTCCTCAGCAAGCCAGCCGAGGTGTGGTGATGGTTGTACGGTGGATGGTCGTGCCAACGACGCACGAAGCACCGGCGGCGCGATGGATTTGCATCGCAGATGTATGTGCAATGGGACTTCGAGACATCGCAGTCGGGGTGTCTGCGTTCGTTCTGTTGTATTTTGAATCCTACAGTGTCCATTGGGACAGTGTATTCGATTTGCTCCCACTGCTTGACCAGAACGCGTGGGAGATCGACCCAACACGGACGAGCCCGCTTCAGCGTTTCCAGTCGACCTCACACTTCGCCACAACGCGACATGGTATCGAAACCCAACTCGATTTCCACGTTAATGACGCCAACTACATCGAGATGAGAACACGTCCATGCTATCGAGTGCACGTACATTTTAATCGTGCGATCTTTGCTGCCAGACGCGACCTTTTGACCGTTTGGACTCCAGTCGAGCGCGTACACTTCGTCCGCATGTCCAGACAGCGTTTCCTTGGCGTTCTTCAAATTGGCTAGTTCCCACACCTTAATTGTCGAATCCTTGCTGGCCGACACAATCATGCGACTGTCGCTGGACCAGCACACTTGGTAGACGGCGCCGACGTGGCCGTTTAGAGTTGCGATGAACTTGCCGTCCTTCCCGCTCCAAATTTTGACCTTCTTGTCGAATGACGCGCTCGCAAAGTACCGTCCGTCCGGCGAAAAGCTCAGGTCATTCACGGGCTGCTGGTGGCCGGTCAGGCGCTCGATGGGTTTCTTGCTCTCCTACGCGCGTCCAACCACCCCTCGTGAACAATCGTATCCCCACAGCCACATGAATTTCACGATCGAGGACGACCTATGCATGCCATGCACGAAATAGATGGGCACGACGACGTGCCCACAGCTCCAACACCACTCCCAGAGAGTAGTTGGAAGCCTGGTCACTGCACACAGGACGCTACATGTACTTTCAACTTACCGCAGGCTCCCACAAAAATAAGGTGAAGTCGTCGGAGCCAGAGACCAATCGCTCGGGCTGGCCCCGTCGAATGGCGTCATAGCGAGCCTGCGCTGCTTGCTGCATTTCTTCACGGGTGTCAAATGTCTTGAACGTGTGGTCGTATGGTCCGGTGCGGCACACGTAGTCGACGTTCAACGCGAGCGTGTTGATGCGGTGGGCATGGCCGACCAACGTGCGAACCAATTTCCCCAATTGATCGCCTTCGACTGCCCACACTTTGATCGTTCGATCACGCGACGCGCTGTACAACAGTCCTTCGCCGCCCCATTTCAAGCACTCGACAGAGTCGGTGTGGCTCTAACCAATGGACCATGTCACACCACTGCATTCGCATGCAACGGCCAACGTCGTCCCTACGTACCGATAGCGACGCGACTTGACGGCCCGTGCGCGCATTCCAGATCTTGATCGACCCATCCTTCGATGCACTGGCAAATCGCTCGCACGTTGGGTTGCTGCATCCACAAAAAGCATGAGATTGCTTCAATCGGCAGGTGTCGCTCGTGGTCTCGCCGTGTCATCGAAGACGAGGGGCGTGGGCAAGCCTCGGCCGCACTCGTCTTGCCAATGGCGGCGATGGGCCACGATGCAGCGACCAGGGCGTGGTTGACCCAGCTGGGTATGATATACGAACACTTACCGATGAAATGGCTCCCACGTCAGCGAGGTCACCCATTGTCGATGGCCCTTCATGGGCTCGCCGACTTGTTTGCCAGTCGTGGGATTCCACAATCTACATTTCCAGTTGGTTCAACGTGACGATGGGAAAAGCACGCACCGGATTTCACCGGATTTGTCTGCTGAGACGAAGCGAGATCCATCAGGACTCCACGCTGTGCAAAGGACATGGTGCTTGTGTCCGCGGCCTGTGAACTGGGGCATGCATGTATTGGTATCCCAGAAACGGACAGTGGCGTCGCCGCCGCCGCTGGCGAGACGCTTGCCGTCGGGGCTGAAGCGTACGTGCAGGATCGCTTCCGAATGCCCTTGGAGTGTGTCTGTGCACCGCGTCACGGGGCGTACGCGGAACACTGCCAGGGGCTGGAACGTGATGGTCAACGCTGCTTCCGTCGACGCATTCTAGAAACACACGACGTGGGGAATCGTGACAACCACATTGAAGGAGACCATACCTGGTCGCGAACACTCGCCGCCAACGTGTCTGTGATCTCCGTGTCGTTGAGGTAGAACGAATACGGGACTTTTTGTTTGCCGTTGGCCAGCAACTGGTTCACGAGCTCCTCCATTTGGAGCACAGTGGACGCGACAGGGATGTCGAGCTGCGGGCCGACACACTCGCCCTGTTCGTTCTTGAACTGGGCGATCACGGACGCCACCTGCACACCGTCATCGCTGTCTTCATTCTCACTGTCCGAGCCGTCGTTCTCGACCTCTACCTTCTGCTTCTTCGCCGATCGATCCATGACCTTTGGCCTGCTTGATGTTGTGCTTGCTTTGGTAGCTCCCCAGGCATTCAAGGCATTGGTTGGTCACAGCGACATGGGATCAGCCAATCAGACGTCACTATACATATATAGTGTAAAATTCTACACTATTTCAAATGATGATGTAAAGAAATAGTATGCTTTCACAGTTTGACATGTGAACTGAAATGACCGATAAATGGTGTGTCCAGTAGCTCAGTAAAGCGTCTTAATAGTGTGACCAATCATTGTATGTTATTAGTGTGAAGGATTGTCCACCGTAAAGTAAATAGTGTAAATTAATGAAGAAATAGTGTGCATGGCAGGTTGCTTTGCCGCCAAACTGACCAAACGTGGGCAGGCATGAAGCGAGGGTTCCACAGCCGACATGACGAGTGCACGGCAGCGTCCAAGCGGCAGAGAAATGTGTCCTACCCAATCGGTAAATTTTCATTTCGTACGCACGCGCTAGCTCGAGCCTGAGGAGTGTTTGAATCAGATGCCATGAATCGGATGATGTCGGCTGGGCGAACATTGTGGAAAGCACCATTAACGGCTGGAGTTGCGTCTGTCCCCACGGCACCATCAATTAAATGTTTCCACTGTGAACGAGGCATACGACATGATATGGAGCGTCAATGTGTGGAATGCCTGCATACGTATTGCAGCGAATGCTCCACCATCAAGTATGTCAATTCTGGAGGAACTTGTACGCATCTTGATTCATTCATGCTTGTCTCTTTCCTTGTAGTTATTCTCTGCCGTACGATCGTGCCTTCTGTCTTGGCTGCAATGTCCATGCCATGTAAACCTATCTAGGACCCATGACACAGTTGGAAGTATTTGTATATAGTAATGAATTCGACCTTCACGACAGAGGACGCATGGGAGTTCGGCAATGAGCAAACCCTAGAAGTCCGATGGAGTGACGATGTTCAACGTTTGGTTGGCATCGCGTGCGAGGGGATACCCCAATGATCGCTGGGTTTGCACACGCTTCTAGACCGGACTCTTGACCGGATGACCGTTCTTGCACGCATGGTACAGCCCCTAGGTTAAGATACACCGAAAGCCTCAACTACACGGTCTATGAGCGCTAAGTCGCCCAAACAACGGCGGTGGAAGTGTTCAATATGCACAAACGACGGTGGAGAAAGTGACCACACTTGACGGACTCTAAGTGAAAACAGGTACGACGTTGGCGGCGAGGTACAGTGTGTCATCGCGGGCGATTTCAGGGATGTAACCACACAAGCAAAGAAGTTCAGGTTGCATCGGGTCGGCATCGGCTCTACGATGCATGTCCACGATAGCTTCAATGTTAAATGCATGCGATCTCTACATGTGCATTCAAGCTAATTCCTATATGATTGGCTACATTTCAGTGTAATAGACGTTGATTGGTTAAATCTTCAGGTTAGGATAAAAGTGCGCGAAACATCATACATTTCAAATTTCGTTGCAACGTGCACATGCCAACACTTGAAGCGCTCATGGGAAAGGACATCAGCGCATGCTATGCGTACTCGAGAATGAACTGCGTGCAAGAGCAAGCGCTACCTGCGGCGTTCAATTCAAATGGAAATCTCGTCGTGAGCAGTCCCACTGGGTCGGGGAAAACGTCCATCTTTGAAGCTGCCTTCCTTCGCCACTGGAAGGAACAGCGCCAGCACAATGCTACTTCGACCTCGGGGGTGGTGTTATACCTCGCTCCGGTCAAGTCACTGCTGCACGAAAGGTCTGTCCAACTCAGAGACTTGCCATTCACGGTACACTCTGAATTGTAGAAAACTCAATTGGAGTAAACGCTTCAAACCACTTGACATAACTTTTCTCGACCTGCATGACCTGGCGTTTGAAGACTTGCAAAGTATTATGAAGCACGACGTACTCCTCAGCACACCGGAAAAGGTGCAAAATTTACTTCATCGACTTACCTAATGCACATTTTAAGTGGGACGTTTTGACTCGAAGCTCACTGGTGCGTAATGCAAATTCATTCACTCTCAAGTCCATTTCAAACAGGAATTGCTTGGCTGTGTGGGTTTGCTCTTGGTGGATGAAGTTCATCATATTGCCGATGGTGTACGAGGGGCTACGTTGGAAGCCGTGATCACTCGAATGTTGTACTGCAGCAGAATCACTTTCAACCAGAATCATAGAGCTCCACTGACAACATTGTAAGCACTCGGCGTGATTCTGAATTTTTTTCTTTACGTCGACAATTTAGGCGAATTGTTGCCGCATCGGCAACATTTCCAAACATCAACGACATTGGTACATGGATCGGGTGTAAACAGGACATGATATTCGAGGTATAATCAACTCATCAGGCTCCTGTGACGCAAGGTTTCGTAGTTTGGTCCGCAATATCGTCCAGGTAAGATATGTATGCCAGTATTCGTTTGAGGAAACGTCTCCGTTTAGTTCCCTTGGAACTTCATGTCCTTGGCTTTAAGTCGTTTGGAAATGATTATCTCTTTGAAACGTAAGCACTATTGTGGGTCACATCAGAATATGCATTCATGCAATTGTAGACAATTGGATCAAAAAGTTCCTGATGTGTTGACAAAATACTCCAATGGAAAGCCTGCGCTAATATTTTGTGCATCGCGAAAGGCATCCATTGAATTGGCCAAGTTGGTCGTCAACTGTCTTCGATTTTTTTCGATCATTATTTCTTTAGAATGCTCGTGAGATTGCGAACCTGCAAAGTATTACCAAGTCAAAAGCAGGTTGGTGTTACTTCTACCAGATTGTGTCTCAAATTCATGAAGAAGCTGAATGAAGCATCGAATCAAGTTCGAAGCATAGATGTGGAAAATGCCGAATCAAATGCAATGGTTTAGATTCGAAACAAGTCGCTAAAAGATGTGATTCAAGACGGAATTGGAATTCATCACGCCGTGTTGGAAGAGAGCGACAAGTATGTACCAGCAATTTCTATTAGACCTTTCATGATTGATTTATAGACATGTCGTACAAGAATTGTTTGCGCATGGACTGCTTCCTATTTTGTGGTACCTTTTGCGCTCCGTGTCAATTTGGCACAGTCTTTAACATGAATTAGCTGTACAAGTTCGCTTGCCGTTGGCGTCAACTTGGTTCGCCGTGATATCAAGCGCTTATTGTAACCCGACTGATGTAGCCAGCACATCTTGTCGTGATCAAGTCAACACAACACTATCAAGGCCGGTCTGGATATACAGAATACTCCCAGATAAACGTACTTCAAATGATCGGACGAGCAGGGCGTCCAGGATTCGACAAGTACGTTTCACCCCAGTTTCGTTCGATTAAGTTTACTTTAGGTCAGGAGTTGCAGTGATCATGACAGCAAAAGGCAAAGAAGGCCTATACACACATATTACCACGTGACAGGTCACCACCTTGATGAACTCCTCACCTTTACTTGTAGCAAGCCAAAGGTTGGACGCATCGAGAGCTCCATGCATTTGTCGACGTTGGAGTCAATTAATGCTGAAATTTCCCTGGGGACAATTCACGACACTTCGCAAACATTAGCGTGGATGCAGGTCAGAAAATATATCGTTCGTCAAACGATCGACATCTTCTCTACAGATGACCTACTTCAATTTTTGTTGGCATATTCGTTCTTGCCAGAATTCCCAATCACGACAACAGGACATGGCATTATCAATGGCAACAGTGGCTATCAATTCCTTGAGCGACTCAAGGTTGCTGAGATTTACGGACAAGAATCACTTTTGTTTCGAAGTTTCCGGTGGTGGCCGGATCATGAGTCAGAATTGCATTAAGTTTGACGACATCGTCGCGATCCAATATTTTGTGCAATCGGAACAAGAAACAACCCAGGAATCCCTTTTGGACATGGCAGCAAGTCGAATTTGTTCTCATGTTCCCTTGCGGCGAAGTGACAAGGCCACATTGAACGAGTTGAACCAAGCGAAAGTTCGATTCCGCATCCGAGGGGAAACTGGAAAGTACTTGATCCAAACCGATGCCATGAAAGCCAACATACTTTTGCAATGTGCGCTTGGACGCATTGCATTTGACGACGATTACCTTGCCCTCGAAGTGGACACGTGCGTGGAGATGGCCCTTCGAATCATTCGAGCTCTCATGGATTTTTGCATGGAAAGTGGTACTGGCGCACTGGGACTTGTTGCATTCCAATTTTGGCGGTCACTGGCGTTGAGATCGTGGGAGAATTCACCCGCAACGACAAAATTGCAGCTGTTGGAAACAGTTGACAGTGGCATGGCCCAAACACTAAATGCAAGCGGTATTCACAGCATTCGACAATTGCGAGATATGGAGCCCGAGCAGTTGAGTCGTGTGCTGAAAATGCCCTCCGAATACTGTGAGCACCTTATATCCGAAGCCAAGGCGGTGCTTGACTTTCACCTTCAAGTTCAATCGTACCTCATTTCCAATCGAATTAAGATCACTGTCACGAATTCCCCGTCATGGGATATCCATGTCATCGGGACGCGACCTTCAAGCGGCTACATCCTCGTCGTGATCACGAAAGGTCGAATTCTGTTGCTTCGACGTGACATCACCAGCACGCCAACGACTTTTGTGGTGGAACTGATTCCTGGCACGAGCTCCATCTCCATCCATTTGCTCCATACGGCTCAGTTGGGAATGGACGAAGAAATGAAAGTTCAAGTGGCAGGCGCCGATATCACCGTTCACAAGGTTAGTAAGCAAACGTTTCAACAAACTACAATTCCAGAAGCATTCAAGGCGGGTTTACAAGCGAAAGCCGCAAGAAGTCTTCGTTCACAGCTGGCTACAATCTCGACAAAGCACCACCAAAAGCATGAAGCTGCTGTGGTTCGGCCCATTACATCTCCCTCGCCAAAACGAGCCAAGATGAAACAGCAATTGGTACCGGAATTCGAGCAATTCCGTTGGCGTGGTCGAGGCAATGTCCCAATTACTGACAAGGCAATACAGAATGGTCAAAACCATGCACTCCAAATTGTTCCCGACGACATGGACCTACGTAAACAAGTCCATGGGTCGACAAGTTCGCACCGCCAAGGTCGACAACATGAAGGAAACAATGCGATTCACCACCAGGATCTCCCACTTGAGAAACCAACCACCCAAGCAAAACTCGACGCGTTTGACGTGCATACCATTCCAATGTACGAACACGAGACCCAGGAACTGACCCTCGAGCAAGAGTTCATCAAGTACATTTTCTAACCCTGACCGATGATGAATGGATTGGTTTGCAAGCACAACTTTCGATGACATATCCTCAAACATCGGCCCGTTGCTCCATTCATTCCACGACGATAGTCAGGTCACAACAGTCGTCCTTCCCACTCCATATTCATCAACCGTGCCTCAGAGTAACGTGCACTTTGTCGGCATTGCATGAAGCGCTCCTCCTTCGTTGATGCTCATTCTGTCACCATGACAGGAGCTACATTTGACGTTGCCGCCAAAATCGAGAGTGATGGTCCTTTATTGTAATATCGCACCTTGTACTTGATCCCGCTATGTAGAATTGCGGCTCGATTAAAAAACTCCACCAATCACGACACGTTATTGAAAATGCGCCAACCACGACCGATGCAGTTTCATCATTTGGGAAATCGTACACGCCAGCAACCTGCCGGGATGAGTAAGCGTCAGCAATCCATCATGTACGTTGAGTCCATCCTCCTCATCCACATCATGGACGGGAATGGTGTTCGTGTAAACAGGTCATTCTTTGGTGCCAAGCCTGTACAAAAGGCAAGCGACAAGAAGGACCTTGACCCGGCACCGCAGACTCCAGTTGCCAAACCCGACACAGTCGCAGACACGGTCGAACGTTCTGACGACGTTCCTCCCTCTCAATCCAAAGAAGAGACGGTCGTTGCCAAGAAGACAGCATCGCCATCGAAGACCAAGAAAGCATCGAAGAAGACCCACAGTCCTCCTGCATCCCCTGAACCAAGTACGCAATTTGCGTCAAGCTTACACAACTTGACTGAATTTGATCGGCAGAGCGCAAACGACTGCGGCGTGCAATTGTCGAAGACGACTCAGACGACGAGGAGGACATTCTCTCGTACGCCACCACAGTCCACGACCACTTCTCGAACAATGTATGTAGGGCGAACGGGGGTGCGGCTCTGACTGCGAAATCTGTCACAGAGAATGACACTGGGTATGTTCCTCACTCAAGGTCTGCACTCCACTGTCGCTCTAACCTTGTCGTTAGACGTATGGTCAATGGTCTTGACATTCACGATTCTGGAGATGAAATGGACGCATTAACTGAACCAAAGAAGCCGTACGTTCTTCATCTTCTGTATAGGTTAAAGTAATATTCATAATGGCAAACTATAGGGTGGCCGCACCCGTGGATTCCAAGCCATCCGTGAAGCCATCGGAAACGCCATCCGTCTTCGAGGCAAAGGAAACTACCAAGGCGAGTTCGTCACCTTCCAAAGAGGACGCCAAGGCGAAGTCCACCGATGCTTCCACCATGTACGTTTCGTAGAAATCTGACTTTTGAATGGTTCGATCATTCTATATATGAATTTTAACTTGTACGAACGATGCCAGGTCGTTGGATCACGTGTTGTACAACCCCAAGGAAAAGAATGCAACCAGGCGCGGGGGATGGACTCCAGGAACTCCCATTCCATATGCGGCACTGTCGAAAGTTTTTGCATTAATTGAAGACGAGTCAAGTCGGTACGTCCTGACTGCCATATTGAGGCGGCAGACAACGCACAACCCACCTGATTTTTTACATTTTTCAGCCTGAGCATCCAAGATTTGCTGGCCGACTTTTTCCGCAGTGTGATTGAACTCACCCCCGCCGAACTAGTGCCGTGCATATACTTGTGCGTGTGCACCGAGTTGGCTCCGGCATACGAGAACGTGCAAATTGGCATCGGTGACGCCATCTTGATCAAGTCGATCGGAGAAGCTACGGGAACAAATTCGAAATTCGTTAAAGAATTGTATCAAAAGGAGGGCGATCTGGGCAAAGTGGCCCAGAAGTCCCGGTCGAAACAGTCAACTTTGATGACCTTCCAAAAGCCCAAACCGTTGTCCGTATCCCATGTGTACAACGATATGGTCAAGATTGCACGTATGAGCGGCAACAATTCCCAAGCCAGCAAGTGTTCGATCATCAAATCTCTCCTGGTGCGATGCGACAAGTTGTCCGACGAGGCCAAGTACCTCATTCGAGGGCTCCAAGGCAAGCTGCGCATCGGCTTGGCCGGGCAGTCCATCCTCATGAGCTTGACGCAAGCTTTCATGCACCCAAAGGAGCAATCCGACAAGGCACTGCAAGCGGTACATTTCATCCAGTCTGCTGCTGAATTGTACGAAAGTGATTTTGATGCCGTCCTGTTTCTAGGATGCCCTCAAGCATGTCAAGCGAGCGTTTTCCGAATTTCCTAACTACGAAGTGCTCGCGTCGTCGCTGTTGAAAATTTTTGCCCGAGAAAACGACCAAAAGGGGATATTCGCATCCCAATTTGTTGAGCTGGCCGAATTTTGCCACTTGACCCCCGGCATACCCGTATCACCAATGTTGGCGCGACCAACGAAATCGTACGCGATGGTGCTAGATCGCTTTCAAGCCATGCCATTCACGTGTGAATACAAATACGATGGCGAACGCGCCCAAATCCACATTTTGCCTAACGGAGAGATCAGCATCTTCTCGCGCAACTTCGAAAACAGTACCGAGCGGTTTCCAGATGTCAAGCTCAGCATTGCGAAGGTACGCAACCGAGCACGTGGGTGCTGTGTGGACACTTAAATCTCTACACCTTCAAGAGCTGGTAATCAAGGGTTTTCGCAGGCGGCGCAAAAGGCCAACGTGACCAGCTGCATAGTGGACGCCGAAGTCGTCGCTGTGGATAAGGCCACAAACCAGAGGCTGCCGTTCCAAGTGCTGAGTACCAGACCTCGAAAGGTATGTAGCAACATATCTAAGTTCATCGCTGTGCACCGACATGCGCTTCTGACTGTTTTGGTTCAAATGATGTAGAATGTCGTAGTGAGCGAAATTAAGGTCGCCGTGTGTATTTACGCCTTCGATTTGCTCTATTTGAACGGCAAGGTATAACTCACCGGCGGTCGTCGAGACGTTTGATTTGGAAGTCGTGACAGTATTGCCTGATTGTTTAGTCATTTCTGAAAGAACCCTTGCAAGCGCGACGAGAGAGTCTCAAGGGAATGTTTGAAGTCACGCCTGGGTCGTTCGAGTTTGCCACTTCGTTGGACGTGGCTAACACAAAGGAGGACGACATGGAATCGACGGTCGAGATCGTGCGCAACTTCCTGGAAGAAGCCGTCAAAGGCAACTGCGAAGGACTCATGGTCAAGACATTGTCTACTGAAGCTACCTATGAACCGGCGAATCGATCGCACAAGTGGCTTAAGGTACGATATCGACCTTCCGCTCGAGCTTGACGCAGAACACACACAGCTCAAGAAAGATTACCTCGATGGCATTGGCGATTCTACGGACCTTGTACCGGTGGGCGCGTTTTTCGGCCGCGGTAAGCGCACGGGTGTCTACGGCGCGTACTTGTTGGCGTGTTACGACCCTGAAACGGAGATGTACCAATGCATCACAAAGGTACTAAACAACATCATGTTCCTCTACGACCGACTGAAGGTACCATCACAACGGTGCGTTGTGTGTAGTTGGGGACAGGGCTGAGCGACGAAGTGCTCAACTTGTTCTACAATCAACTGAGAGACTGCACGATTGACCGTCCTCGCAACGACTACGCTATAAACGACTTGATCAAGCCGGACGTGTGGTTCGAACCAACTCAAGTGTGGGAAATCTTGGGGGCCGATTTGTCCATTTCCCCCAAATACACTGCAGCGATTGGTCTTGTGTCCAAGGACAAGGGCATCTCTCTGCGATTTCCGCGGTACATCCGCCTGCGCGAAGACAAAACCCCCGCCCAAGCCACAACCGCAGCACAAGTACGTGCGGCAAAGTTTCATACACTCGCTTGCTCGTGTATTCCACACGTTTCCATGATATCATTCGTGCCCGAGTCGATTTTGACAGATTTTCGCAGATTGCCGACCTGTACAATGCCCAAGGACTCAACACCTCAAACGACAAGGACGACGACGACGACGATGCATTGTAGCACGCCTTTTCCGTTCGACATGGTTAACGTAATCGACTATCACATTGTGCATTCCCACAACGATCGTGCCCTCTCGTCGACACATAGCGCCTGTGTCCATCGCGCGTCGACCTCATGGCGCACGTCCATTGTTCGTTTCTTCACATCATTATATGCGTCGTCGGTTTCACACGCGTAGGTTTCAAATCGAGAGTCCCCCTGCCGCCGGATCAACATCGCCATGGACCTCGCGTTGGACGTGGAAGGCGCCCAAGTGACATCCGCGACGTCGTTCGATCCAAAATTCCCCCCATCCAACGTTCTCGACGGGTACAGCGCCATCGGGTTCGACCGACCCGCGCATTCACGAGCCACGACCGTGTAGAGAAACCAGCACGAAATGGGCGACCTGCGGTCTGTATCCCCAAGAGATCATCGTCCAGCTCGCAACGACGTCGGTGATTTCGAAAGTCAAGACGTGGACCACGAACGGTACGACGCACCCCCACACATCGTTGACATGCATGCCGGCGTAGCCAAGCACGTCGTGGTTGAAGTGTGTGCGGGGCCGGTCCCAACCAAGTGGGAAAAAGTCGCCGACACAAGTACGTGGGACACAACGATCCATCGATCGAACGCGATCACGAATGATAGACCTTGGCGAAAATGACGGAAACCTCCAAATCGAAACGCAGGTCGTGTCGCGCGATGACGCATCGTTTGTCAAATTCAAAGTCCTCTCGGGGTACCACGACTTTATCACGGTGCATCGCATCTCGGTCGAAGGCAAAGCCCCTCGAAAGTGACACGTATATTGTTCAGCGTATTCCAGGAACCACATCCCATCATGTCCATTGTCATCTAGTCCCGCCATTGCTCTCGCGATTCCCTCCGTCCATGCGGCAGAAAGAAAAACCCGCCATTCGATGATTCTAGTGCTTGGGTGAAAACAGATACAAGCTTGTCGACGGACACGTGGGGCTATCAAGTAGGCGGACGGCCTCCGTCACATCCCATGAGTCCATGAAGGATAGTTGCGGCATGCCGATGATGCCAACGAGGAGCTGGGCGTGCGGCATCGCTTGGCACGACACAGTTGGATTAAATGGATGGTGTATGGCTCAGGTCTATCACATTCCTTGCGTCCACTTGGTCGTCGACTGGTCCGGTCGTCGAGGATGCACCGGTGGAGGAATGATGCGCAGTCGCTGATTCGAGCAGGCGAGCTTCCACTGGTGCGGGTTGGGCCAGGATTGCCGCCAATGCTTCCTCAGGCGACTCGAGTTCCCCCACGACATGCATCTTGTGTACGATTTCTTTGGCAATCGTGAGTTCCTCTGCCATCGCGGCTTGCTGTTGTCGCTTTGCCTTCGTGAAAGCTTCACGTCGGTCGTTCCATTCCTTGAGAAACATACATGCGTCATGTAGTCCTGTTCATGAGGACATAGGAGGGTGTGCCGTGCACATACCTTTTCCCGTTCCAGCATGACGGCAATGAGCGCCCTGGACGAAGCCATGTCCTTTTTGATCTCCTTGATCGCGCGATGGATGTCCTGTGGAGTTTGATCGCCATATTCCCCGAGCGCAAGACGCTCCAAATGCCATCCGTTCAAATGGCGCGCCTTTGGGTGCGTCACTTGAATGATCTCCTTCAAATCGTCCGCAAGGGTTCGTTTCTGAATGGGGACGACGAAGTGAGGTCCCGAGAAGTTGACAACATCAGTTTATGTGCCAGACGTACGTCGAAGACTCGCACCAGGTCTTGAATGTACACCTTCGTGTTGTCTGTTCCACAGCAGAAACTGAGCACATTGCGAATTGCGTCGGCGGCGTCCGCGGCCGCGGCGGCCGGCGTTTTCAGCGCTGCCATGATCAATTGAAGTGCAGACCCCAACGTTGCCAAGCGCCAGTCTCATTTTTCAATTTTTCGCAAAATCGCAAAATTTGCCAATAATCTCCCTGGTTTTGAACGAAATTCGTTTGGAATACGCAATTTTCAAATTTCACGCAAGAACTTTGAAGGGCCCAAAGCACGGCATCTGCATGGGGGGTCCCACTCAAAAAATTAATCTTCGGAATTTAATGGTATACTAAAATGAAGTTGTTTTGGTTTTAGATACGCCGACACGGGAGATTTCCAGCCCCAGAGGAGCCCGAAGAACGAACCGTCGATCGCCGCCGTTCGCACCAAGACAACATGGGCCTTGAATCAACAATGATTGTGGTGGATACGTCCGAATGGATGCGCAATGGGGACTATGTGCCGTCGCGTGTGGAAGCACAGGGGGACGCGGTCAACTTGTTGGTGACGTTCAAGACGAACGCGAACCCGGAAAGCACTGTCGGAATCCTTGCCATGTCGTCCACTGTGAACGTACATAGCAAAACGGTGTCGCTTCTCGCGAGCCCTACGGACAACGTGGGCAAGCTACTGAACGTCGTGCATGAGATCACCCCCACGTCCATTGGCGGGTCCATCCAGTTTGCGGAAGCGATCCAAGTTGCACAGCTTGCGCTAAAGCATCGCCGCAACAAGAAAGGCAGCGCACGCATTGTTGTTTTTCTCGGCTCCCCCATTGACGAAGATGACAAGTCTCTGATCAAGGTCGGCAAACTCCTCAAGAAGAACAACATTGGCGTCGACGTAGTGTCAATGGGTGATGTGGACATCAACGCAGCGAAGCTCCAGGTGTTTGTCGATGCTGCCAACAGCAACCAAAACAGCCACCTTATCACGGTTCCGCCTGGTGTATTGCCTTCCGACGTTCTTGTGTCGAGCCCTGTGTTTCATGGCGACGATGGAGGGAGCGGCCACATCGGTGGCGGAGGCGCTGCGGGCGGGAACGACTTTGCAGAGTACGGCGGCGTTGACCCGAGCATGGATCCCGATCTTGCCTTGGTACGTTGCTCCATTTCACTCGGGTCGTCTTAAGCATCACATCACGGTGCTCAGGCTCTTCGCGTGTCCATGGAAGAAGAGCGAGCGCGACAAGAAGCCGTCGCCAAACGCGCCGCTGCCGAGGAAGCAGCGGCTGCAGCCGAGACTGCGACACCACCTGCAGCTCCTGTCACTGCTACGGTTGACGCGCCGACGCCAGTTGCCCCCATCACACCCGCGCCGCCCGTCGCCGTACGATTTTTCGCATGCGTTGTGCCTTTGTAGCGCCACTCGACTCGTTTTTACACCGAGTGGCGCTACTTCCTGTGTCATGTGCAGTTTTCATTTGCTCGTTTCTCACGTTGGTTGGTAGACACCGGCGACCACTCCGGCAGCTGCCCCGACGACCCCGGTCCCAGCCACGACTGCCGCTGCTGCAGCGAGCCCGGCCCCTCCTGCGCCAGCTTCTGCCTCACCTTTCATGGACCCTGCATTTGTCAGTCAGCTGCTGGGTGGGCTTCCTGGCGTGGACCCGAATGATCCAAAGATCAAAGAAGCGATGGAGAAACTGACCAAGAAGAAGGACGACGACGCCACCAAGTAGTCCCTCCGTCGATAGAGTCCCATGCACGAAAATTGAACTATCTCGAAGTGAAATCGCGGATTGGTTTGTTGCACGAGTTGCGTCTTGCACCGGACCCACACGGTTGCGCGCCGACGGACGAGTGCGATCCTTGGAACTGAACGACTCGATGGCGCGCGCGACAACTGCTCCATCCATTCACATGAAAACATGGTTGTGAGTGCGTAATCAACTCATTCAGTCAGCCACCCGAGATCCCCTCCAACCCTTTCACACTCGATGCCAATGTTGTGGGATTCTCGAATGCATCGACTGCATGGATTCCCGAGGCAGACATCGTTGGGCAGCGACCCGTCATCAAGTTTGCCTTGGGGGTGGAGCTGGGATTCTTTGGTCACGTGGCCTCGTTCGCGCGACAATCAATGGCGATCAGGTGAGCTGCCAAGGCGCGGGGACCCTTGCTCTCCTCGAACTTGCTGCAGCTCGTGCATGGCGGGCTGCAACGCGCTACGTGGCAGGGGAATGTTCGATCCGATGGACCTTGGCCGCGGACGCACAGGCGGCGGTATCGCAGTGGACACTGGTCGATGGTCTTGCCGGTTTGTGCTAGAGCGCAAGGTTTCCTGCAGCGTTGTCGACGTCGAGGACGATGGCAGTTTGAACGGTTGAGCTGATCTGTCGCCCCAACACCACTGATGTGTCTGCGACCGTGGGTGTCCAGATGCAGCCTACAATTCGGCCACATGCGTCAGGTCAAGGAATGCATGACGGCGACTGCGATTGAAGAGTCGAGCGGACCGTTGAGATGCCGCGGCATTTCGTGCGTTCCAGGACTTCCACTTGGCGAGCGAGTTTGGCAGCGGTTATGTTGACGCTGGCTAGTTGTTTCTGGAGAGCGTCCGTTTCGGCTTTGAGTTGGACCATGCCGTTGGTTTTGACGGACAAGAGCTGGGCGAGACGGTCGCGATCTCGACGGACAGCACGCGCTTGCTCAGCAGCAGATTCGAAAGCCGCACATTTGTCCTTGGCGGCGCGGAGTTGGGCTTTGTGCTTGTCGTAGGCAGTTGTCATCTGGAACGACGACAGTGTGTTCGTCGCGACGACGAAATGAGTCCTACCGACCGTCTGGACGCGATGAACCATGTACACCAAGACTTGCTGCGTCACTGCTTCGGGTAGGGATGCAAGCATCCACGCTACAACATGCCCGGCGGATATCGAGTGCGAACATGGAGGTTGGACAATTCCAACCTTGAGACGCAGGCTGAGAGAAGAGGCCGTCGATGCATGTGACGTGGAGGTTGGCCAGGATGACCTTGATGCACCTAGGTTTGCAAACACCGTCACACTTTGTTCTCCGTTACAGCCATCGTCATTACAATGCAGACAGCAGAGGAATCGGTTTGCGTTTCTTGATGAGCTCGCCAAGGTTTTGCTGCTCCTTGGTGTCGTCGACCGAGGACAAGAGCACGCGACAACGTACGACATGGATTGGAAGTGATGCCGAGCCGTATTCCCCATTGCAATGTGGGCATCTTTCCAGAATAAGGCGCGATGTGCGGCGAGCCACGGCGACATCGTCCTGCAACGGTATCGTCCACATTGTGGATATTTTCTTCAAACCAATTTTTTGATTAAACGAAAACACAATCGGCACAATATTCCGCAATTTATTCGATTTGATGGATATTCCATGCCAGTTTATCATATTTGACCAAATACATTTAATGAGTACGTGGATCCAACTGTAATGTATCAATGCACATATATCCCGCATTCAATTTTTAACGAAAATTCCAAAATGCAACAATATATTATTACAGCGTCTACTTTTTGCGGTTCAAATCCATGTGGCTCTTGACCAGTTCGTTCGTCGCGAGTGCCGCGAGAAGAGACAACTCGCCGGCCATGACCCCCGCGGCTATCGCGCACGCGAGGCGGCGGGCACCAGACTCGCCCACTTCGTGGATCTGGTGCGGTGCGCAGCCCATAAGGCCAAGGCACGCTTGCTGAGGCGCCAAGTGCGTACCACCACCGACCGTGCCCACCTAGAGCATGCATTTGGTCAGCGAATAGCGTTCGTCAACGTGACTTCATGTACCTCCATCGACGGCATGGTCACACTCAAGTACAGATCACCGTTGGCAGTTTTCTCCATGTTGGTCATGCAACTGGACGATTCCACGTTCTGCGCAGGATCTTGGCCCGTGGCAAGGTATATGGCAGTGAGGATGTTGGCCGCGTGCGCGTTGAACCCGCCAAGCGAACCAGCCATGGCAGAGCCGACAAAGTTCTTTTGAATATTCAAGTCAACGAGTGCGTCGACGGTCGTCTTTAATATCGATTCCACAACACTCGCCTTGACGACAGCATCGGCCACCACCGACTTGCCGCGTCCGTCGATCCAATTAATGGCGGCGCTTTTTTTGTCCGTGCACACATTGCCCGAGATCGCAATCAGATCCATCGACGGGAACAAAGTCTACACCAAGGAGTAGGGAAAGGCATGAGAGGCATTTTTGAATCCAAAGGACCGGTACACCCAACGAACATGAAGCACGGATAAAGACATCAACTGTACCTTGAGGTAGGCGAGGACAGCCAGCGTGCCTTTGGACACCATATTCATCCCCATAGCGTTGCCTGCATTGCACGCGAGGCGAATGTAGCAGTTCCGACCCGACTGAATAGTCTTAACGCTGGTCATGCGGCCGTAACGAGTCGTGGAGTTGAATTCACTCGCGAGCGCATCGAAGTTGGTCTTGTCGTCCAAGAATGCTTTGAGGGCCGCAGCATCCGCCGCACGTTCGAAGCGGACACATGGAGCACGAGTAATAGCATCCCCCAAGATTATCGCTTCGACACCACGAGGATCCATGCTCAACACCTTGCATCCGCGATTGGTACTGGCGATCAAGCAACCTTCCGTGGTTGCCATGGGCAAGTACACCATGTCTCCATTCACGCGGATGGGGCCAGCTAACCCGACCGGCATGGGCACATAGCCCACAACCACCTCACAGTTGCTTCCGTAGATCTATGGCAACAAAAATTGGATGAGAATGATCACGAACTACACCAATTGATGGGTGGACAATGCTACCTTGCTGTAGTCGTAGCCCTCAATGGGGAGATGCGTGAAGTCAAGGTTGCTTTGAGCTTCAAAGTAGTGACGACGAATGCGGACAGCTCGCTCGTAGTCTTGTAGCGTCTTTTCCAAGTCATGCAGGGCAAGGAGAGGGCGACCGGTGGTCGGATTCTTCGTGGTGAGCTTCGTCAGGATTGCTTTATCGTCAGCATCAAGTGGAACCAAACTGGCGGCAACAGGTTTTGTAGGCGCGATAGGTTTCATGGGGGGCTGGCACGGGGCTGCGACATTGGAAGACTTTGCTTGCTTCTTTACGTCCTTCCACTTGGCGTCGTCCACTTCCTTTTCGTCTTCAGATGAGTCTTCATGCATTTGGTTGGACACGAATCCAACAGCAAAAAACGCGAAAAAGTACGTCAGCGACATGATACATCCGCATGATGCCGCATAGAACACCATTGGGTTCGATGACATGGTTGATATCGACTTGGACGTGGTGCTGGTGTCAATGGAGTGGTGGGTGTTTTGATGCGAGATCAAGAGCGACAACGACACCACGAACAACGCGCTCACAAAATAGTTGGTCACGCGGAATACTTCCCATCGTGGTTTGTTCGAAGAGTTACTTCCACCAGCCATATCGCGGAGGTGCTCTTTGGGTTTCTCCGGTTCCATGATGTAGCTCAGGAGGCAAAAACAAGTCATGAGCAGCAAGCCCCAGAAGAATTCCTGCGTGTTGTCCACGAGCACTTGCACGAGCCACGCAAAGATTTCTTCCAGCACCGATCGGACGCCTTCGGAGCTGACCGCAACTGTCGCGAGGGCAATCAGCATCATGGCTGTCGTTGGGCAGGTCCCTTCCACGGCGCACTTCGAAAAATGAAAGCCTGGTGATGTAATGGGGCTCGTTAACGGATACAGCCCAGGTTTATCCGGAAAATCATTGTTGGCGAAGTCACGCATTTTCATTGGTTATGTTTATTTTGTTTTAACCAATCATATATCGAAAACGTTGTGTGAATTCTACTGTATACAGTATGTGCACAGATCCATATTTTTTCAAAATATGGAACTGCCGCTGGCGCGCATTTTCGGAATCCTTGAGGACAATGAGGAGATATGCTCCGTGCCATGGGGTAGTGGTTTCGCTTGTAAGGAAAGCAAGGGTCGTCTGTGCGCTGTGCGAAGGAGACGGTCAGGGAAGCAGTGACCCTGTATGCACAAGGAGCCGAGGGAATCGGTTGAAGAATAAATCCGCGAGAAGTACGAACGCCAACAGAAAGATGCACTTCGGCTTCATCGTCTTTCACTCGCGTATGTCTATACACAAAGCCAACAGCACCTATGCCCTCAAATGCAGAAGTATATCTTCACGCACGATCCCTCGATGAGCTCTCAATCTCATCGATGGGTGACCTTGAAACGCCAGTGAAACTGATCTACTCTACCGTGTCTCGAAAAGTGCACTCATGCAGGCGCTCGACAAAATATGGTTTATCGACATGCCAACTCCGGTGGAGTGGCACCCCAAATGGGAGGTAAGGCATTTTGATCGTCATCCCATCGCATCGTTGTCCTCATCACGTCGATAGACTCATCGTAGAGACAACCAGCGTGGCATCCTTTCGGATGTTGTCGCCAGCCGCAACAAAATTACGTTCAAATTCGACCACGAACTGCCCCCCATGAACCAGGAGCATGATAACACCATCGACTTGACGCCCATCGAATCTGACCTCCGCCGCTACCTCGACCTCGTGAACGGCCTGCATGACATATGTCGAACGATTGCATCTGACACTACAAGCTTTCAAACACTATCCTGGCGGCACGTCTGCCTTACCAATCACCTCGCAAACGATTCCACGCCGTCTTCAATCGACTACTTCCTCGACGTCGAGCGCGGCATGGTCATGTTCGCATTAGCGTGCGTTTCAACCCTGCAAGCGGAACAGCAAATGTCCCAACCATCCCATAACGAGAACTCCACCCTTTCCACTGTCAAAGACGTACATTCACCGCACGCTGAAGTCTACTGCTGTGTCATAACACTGCTGTGATTTGATCTAGACTTGGCGTCGAGCTGCGGGGCTTTTTCATGAAGCCGCCACAAGGTTGCCACCGTCGTTGTCCTTGCATCCGTTTCTACATGTGTGGGTTCAACTTTGTATCGTCCACGCACATGCAGTGGAAATGCAACATGTAAGCCCCAACTTGAAACCCATTGGCACCTCCAACCCAACTTTTAATCGTTTTCATCGTCTCTCGTTCTAGGTTCAAGACAATGTTGACTCGTCGAGTGTTCAAGTGGCTCGATATCACTCGGCGCTCAGCCGTGGTGGCCATTCTGCTTGTGTGTTGGCCCAGACGCACATTGCTCACATGCACGCGACCTCTACGTACGTTTGACTTCAAGTTGTTCCAATGTCAGCGATGGAATATATGCGCCGTGTGGTGGACAGCTTTGCATATGAAAGCAAAGGATGAGCCCCTGACGGCAATGCTTGTATGAATAGACCGTGCCATCAGTTGCGGTGGTTGGTGTTAGCATACAAAGTACTGTGCAAAGCCGCGTATTGCATGAACGAGGTCGTGTTGTACGAATCCAAACCAGGTAAGATGGACCATCCTCACTGACCGACCCATCACGTCAACCCGTACGATACTGATTGCCAAGGTCGATGGATGAAGTTAAATTTGTGATGCATTGAGTAGACATTGCGCTGCTGTTTTGCGACGCTGTGATCAAGTCCAAATTGCCCATGCCGCCACAGTATCCCCATCGCGGATTTGTCTTTTTCACGAAACTGATGCAAACCCTGGTCACGGCGCATCAAACCGTAATTACACGCGCCATGGATATGAAATCAATTCTCCAGGACAAAGTGCCCCCCTCGACGCCGCCGCAACTTCGACCAGGTACTTCGGGCCAACCAGTAGTCATTATCCTCTCATCGTTGTTGTCTTGTCAGAACATGTACAAGCGTTCCTTTCCATTGATTCGCTGCAACTCAATTCCCTGCAGCCGGTCTTCCCGCCTGACTGTGTTGATTCCGCGCGTTTAGCTGTTCGCGCTGCATTTCTCGACCACAATTTGTCAGCTCCGTCAATTTCATTGACATCCGCTTCCACACCCTCCCTCAACTCTGCAACTCACGAAGCCCCATTGGCAATTACAAGTGTGGGACCTGTGCAAGTCTTGCCAAAGATTGGCTCGGTTTCCCCTGTTCACTTCAACGCAGACTCAACGACCTCACGGGACATTCGAGTCGCGATGCGAGCTCACAACCTTGGCCTTCTCCCTGACTCAGTCGCATCGTCATCACAGCGGTCGACAGAATGGGAGTACGGTGTTGAACCATTCACTCCTCGGCATGACGCTCGTCAGCTCGTGCGTGGTCTCTCGCTCCCCACGCTTTCACTTTCGACAACATCGACAGACGAACCAAATACGCCGCCAGTTGATCCCTTCACCCACGACCCCACCTGTACTTCGACCAACGTTAGCGGCAGAAGGGTGGTTAACACCCAGCAAGAGAGTCCCCACAGCAGTCACAATAGTGTCCACGATTTGAGCTTCCAACACGACCCGCCATTAACCCTTCAAGAGCTGGATTGCCTCGTTGGAGCCAAACCTTCAAAACACGATGGGTTCAAAGTCGCTGTCCATACACCATACTTCGATGCCTCGTCGTCATTGCTCCACCTTCATATCGATCGAACAACATCGCATGGCGAGGCCACTTCGACCCCTAAACTCAACCACAACATGGTCACATCGAAGCGAAAGGCCTGTGCACTTTGCACACGCCAGTTTCCAGTACGGTTCTGCTGTCGCCTTGAATGCTTGATCACTTGCTCATCTATGGCTCGCGGCTAATTTTTAGGTAGTTAACCTCGTCGGAGTCGTGTTGATGAAGCGCATTCTGGAGCTGCGTACTGCATGGGGTTTGACAACGGCTGGAACTGCCAAATGTGCCCCGGCGTCGTATTTGTACCGCGAAGTCCGGGTTTGCATTCTATGTAGCGACATATTATATGGTCTTGGACACATGCCGACGGGCGAGGCATTACCGCCTTCGACTGGCCAAGAATCTCCAACCAAATTGATGTCGTCAGCCTCCACTCCAACAATCGACACGAAGACCTCACGCCTTCCGCCTAGACCAGCATCATCTTCATCCATAAAGCGGAGCACCAGTATCGGCAAACATGTTCAGCAGCTGCGCAAGCAGAGCCTGTCCACTCATACGTATGCAACAACTGCAGCGACAACCCCATTGACTTTTGTGGAATGCAATGGCAACAATCCCAGCGCCATTGCAAGCGATTCGAATCAATTTGTCGACGAAATTGGTTACATGATTCACCAGCGCATTCTCAACGACGCGCTCTTACTCCATGCTCCATCGCAAGTCCATCATTGCGTGGATTTGACGCAGCGCCGGCGGGGGGTCGTCGCGTCGCAAAGCTCTGTGCTGATGCTGGGAATTGCGTCGAATGCCATCAACCCCGTTGACACACATCGAGGCATCCACACCCGTGAAGAGCAAGGTGCGTGTGATTCACAACAATATTTGTTTATATCATGCGTAGCACCGTGGTGGGAAGTCGACTTGGGCAGCCACTGCGATATCTCGTCTGTGGAAGTGTGGAATTGTGCCGACAGCGACCCACAAGTCGCCGCCCGGCTGTTTCCTTGCTACATTCTACTTCTCTTGAAGCCAGGACACCGACGACCGCTTGTGGAACTTCTTGGCGTGGCTGTAGATTCAACCATGCTTGCTACCCCCGTACGTCGTCAACAATCGAGACTCAAGATGCTCCCTTTGGTCGCGTCTTGACGGCTTCTGTACGTTTGTGTCGTTTAGAGTCAACCGTTGCGCTGGCGGCCAAAAAGTGGCAGCGTGTGCCGGTACGTCGGTGTCTGGACGATGACTATGCTGCGTGCATCTTTGAAAACACATCTGGATGGTAGGTATGTTCGGCTGGTGGTCGACAAACACACATATCTCCACGTGGAACGCGTGCATGTGTTTGGGACTCCATTCAAGGACGACCTGATGATACAACGCCATTCCATCAAGAAAAAACAGCCATCAACTCGACCGGCCACGGCGGCAGCAACTCTGTCAACGCGACCAAAGACGCATCTCACACCCCTCTGCAAGAATTCTCGCAACCGCTTCGCGCCGACGACGACCGTGATGACAGCCGACATTTCTTCGATTCCCATGCAATTTCAGCAAGAACGTCGCCGCACGGTCGGCGGTCCAACCTCTGCCAGACCAAAGAGCGCAGGATTTCTATTGCCCACAGAGTCGAGCCATCGCCGGGATCAACTCACTCAAGTATTGCGTGAACAACTTGCACTGGAAGACCAACTTAACCACCCTTCTATGCACCAACGCCCAACGTCGTCATCGTCGTCCACCACTCCGCCACCAACCACTCCTTCATAGTGCCATTAGCATTTTCGACGTATTTATCTCAAGATGCCGTTTCGAATCGAGGGAGACGTGCACGGTCCCGCAGACGTGAGCATCACGTGGTCCTTCCATTTGGCCACGCCGTTTTCGTCCGATACCAGTCCCTATCGACGTGCATTCGCCCATCACGCCATTCAATAGGAATTCAAATCGACGCACCTCGCCGGCAGTGACCAACACCTTCTTCTTCTCAACTTGGGCAGGCGTCCACGGCTCACCCGTCAACCCTTCGTACATGACTCGCTCGCCGATGCCAGCACCGGCGGGGGGTTCCACGAACGCGACGTTTTCCGACCCGTCTTCGTTGGTCGACACGGCACATAGCACCATTCCGTGGCTTTTAAACCCGACCAAGTTGCGCGGCTTGAGGTTGCACATGACGAGGAGGCGGCGGCCTTGCATCTGTTCCAACGTGTAGTGCTTGACAAGGCCGCTGGCAATTTGGCGCGGTTCGTCTTCACCGACGTCGATTTCTTCGCAGTAGAGCCTAATGCCACAACACATGAACGTTCCGCTCAATGATGCAATGGGGGTGTTGTTCACATACTTGTCAGCAGTCTCATGCTTCCAAACGTTGACGATCTTGCCCACGCGGATGTCGAGCTTGGTGATTTCGGCTTGTTCCTCCGCAGGAGCGGGGGCAGCGGCCGGGACCTTTTCCTTCTTCTCCTTCTTTTCCTTCTTCTCCTTCTTGGGACCCTGGGCCTTCAAAGGTCGGTGCATCCGTCCACATTATTCAATCCGACTGGATCCATGCGCGTACCTTGGGAGACGCAGGCTTGTCCACGGGCTCGTTGGGCGCAAGGCCCAAGTTGGATTCCAAGTTGGCAATCACCTAGACGTAATACCACGTCATGAGGCTCCTACATCCTCCATCCCTCACGGGGTGATCAAGCACCTTGTCGAGTTGTTCTGTTGCCGAGCTCATGTTTGCAAATGAAGTCACCTCTTTGTCCTCCAATCGCAAGAGTTATCCGGATAATCGGTGTCATCCGGTTTTCTGACAATTCCTGCCATCGGATTGGTTCATTTTTCTTTCTACACATTCCGACCTGGTGGAAATTTGCACCTCGGACTGTGAGTGATGATGGAGAGCTGCTCTTGCCATTTGCGGGAGGCATGGCCGCCACTGCGACTTCATCCCAACCTCCATCTCGCCGTTGATGGTCTCATTCCCTCCCGCAGTCGTGGCCAGCATGCTGTATCGGTGCTGCATCGTCTTCACGAAGTACAAGTCATGACCACAGTAAGTGGCGCGGTTGCTCGATACAATTGTGGACGGCAAACGTTCCATCAAGGCAAGAGCGCCGTTGTACTATGTTAGCGCGTCGTCTTGGCGAGGAACGCGTGCAGGATAGCGTCAATGTCGTCGATGGAGTCTTCCAGATTGTTGCAATGCATCTTTCCGCCCTTTGGTTTATCGCCGTCGAGTTCAGGGCACGCAGCATTGCTCTTGCCGAGTCCTCCTCCGCGACAGTGCGAAGCCAGCGCGACCGGAGCATGGTGCGAATCCAGTGGAACAAAGCAGCTTTCGACCTGGTTCCTCCACCGTTGTCAACATTCCCGCCGGTGTTTGGTCTAACTCACCTGCAATGCCACGCCGCTGCGGACACTTGCATTCGCGTTCTTCTCTGGGATGGTCACGGCCACGAACGAACTGCTGCTCTCCAGCTGGTTGTTGTTGGCGCCAAATCTACACGCGAGCTCGCGTTGCTACAACGTCGAGATGCTACGGGTAAGCCATACCCGAGCACGTGCTCATCCAGCGCGGGTGTCGTCGGCCGTGACTGTGGACAGCGAAGGTGTTCTTTCAATGTGGCGTGCTTCCCACGTGGCGATGGCGAAGTCATCTACTAGCGTGCAACACGGGTTGGTTAACCTCGTTTGCCCCAAACTGGCACTCAAACGTCGTCGCAGTCGACCTCGTCAAGAAAAGCGCTTCCTTTCAAAGCAGGCACGGCAACGGATGGCGTCGAAGGGACCAGAAAGTTTGGCTTTTGATACATTTGCTGCACATCATCCACTCGAACGTGAAACCACAGGAGGCGTGCAGGGTCCGTGCACCTTTTGCGCCAGCGATCGCATCTTCCTCGCATCTTCGAGCTACGCCGTCGACATTGTTCAACATGTACCCCATCGCCCGAACAAGGGTCAACCTCTTGGCGCAACCGTTGAATTGCATCGAGCTCGGGGGTCGCAGCAGCGAGCGATGGCCGCCACTGCTTTATCGAGGGCGGCGGGGTGTACAGAGGACCCATGCACGTTGACAGCATCGGTGGAGGACTTGATGACGTGTCGTGCTGTGATGGCTGCACAAACGTCGCAGGGGAGCCTGTTTCGGGTCCCATCCTTGATTGCCACGGACGCGAACAGGGACAGAGTACCGTGAATCGTGGTCGCGGCGGCAGGAAGCTTGGTCGGACTTTGATGCGGAGGTGCCTGCGAGTTTCCAGGTTTCTCGGGTGAGGCGAGGGGGCGTTGCTGGTTGTTGTGTTTGGATGCCGGGTGGTGGGTGGTGTTTCGCATACGGTCCTACGTGAATGGGATGTCGTGGAAAGCCGCTGACAACTTTCTACCATTTCCTCGCGCTCGAGGCGTTGCTCGTCGCGCTTCTGCTGCTTGAGCCGCTCCTTCTTTTCGTTTTGCTCGCGGATCTACTTGTGGAATGTGACGTGCCGTGTGGCAGCCACACCACGGTACCTGTTCTTGCAGGACGGCCGCATAGTCCATGCGCAGACTGTGCTTCTCCGCCGCTTCCTCGGACGTTTCCCCCGTGAAGATGTTGTCCATCCCTGGGCGTCGACGAGCCCTGCAGCCACGTGCGTTAGCGCCACATGGCCGTCCTGCCATCTCTACATGCACGGCCGAGCGCGAGTCGTACGTACATGGTGCCAAGCCACGGAGCTCTCGTGACGGCAGTGAAACCGTGCAGCGTTTTGTGCGGCAATCACCTGCTCGGTTATAACAGTTCGGACTCTGACCATGGTGCGAGGTCCATGACGACGCGGTGGCGCAATTTGGCGTCGATCGATCCCGTAGTGACGTCATTGGCGTAGATGCGTTCATGGCGTGGGGCCGCGTCGATGTAACCTCCCAGTCGAGGGCGGCGCCGCACCATGTCGCGACGAGCTGTAGCAAATCGACATGTGGAGTGACGACGATAGTGCCGACAGCACGGATTCACTACGAGGCACTTGCGTGAGGCGGCAACGAGAACGGGCGAGCTCGCTGACGTCCCCCTTGCCATGATCCGCGGGCCCAACATGACACAGTCACGTGCATCTCTTTCAATTCGCTCTTAAGTTATGTAGTAGTACGTGGCCGACATCAACGCAACATTGAACGTAGCTCCAAACACGAGCTGGAGGACGACGGACGACAGGTACAGACCTCCAATCGCGACAATCGGGTACAGGAAGCGCTCCGTGTGATGGAGGAAAGGAAGCGCTATCACGCCTCGGTCAAGCCACAGCCCACACGCAAGACCACCGTACCCATGTAACCAAGGAAGGTAATGTAGACGTAGCTGCCGCACCCGACGGCGTAGATTGTGTTGGCGACCACGAGTGACACGAGCGATGGCGACAGCAGCCATGGCAAGAATAAAAACTACTCAAAGCAACACACTCAGGACGACAAGATGATCCCTGCACGAGGCCTGTCGGTACCTGAAGGACGTGCACGACGAGGAAAAAGATGAAAAACGAGTTGCAGTGAATGTCAAATGCATACTGCCACTCGACAGCTTGGGCGACGAAGAACGTGTCGGTCGCGGGGGACCGGGCGCTGCTGGACGCTGGTTGACCGAGCCGCAGGAATTCGTTGGCACACCACCACGTCAACGTCGATGCGAGCAAACCCAGGAGCAACCACTCGACCAGGACGTCGCATAGCAGGAGAAATGCGAAAGACGACGTTTTTTCAAATGCAACTGCCCACGCCAAGGATGCCACGACAAGGAAGAGCACCTGGAAGCAGGCGCCGTCACGCCAGATCGCTTCGAATCACACTGGAATGAGGAGAAAACAAAGTACCTGGATCACGGCAAACGCAGGATCGTCGCGGGCCCATCGGTTCTTGGTCTGCTTTCGGTAATACGCGCTCTTGTACACTTTCGTAGGGGACACGCACAGCGTAACCATTTGGTAGTACGTCGCTTCGAGGTCCATCTGTCGGTAATCTACGACGCGCCAAAAGTACTCGGGAAGGGCCGAGCAATGGCGGAACACAGGCAGTGACGTCGCCGAGTTCGTGATTCGAGACGACGATGCCGATGGCACTGGTGCGAACGACGTTGTGGGAAGGTATGTCGACGATCGCTTTTGCCAGGGGCTACTGCTACTGGTAGTTGATGAAGAAACAGGTGCTTTCGATGCATGAAGTTGCATATTCCCGTCTTTTTCCTCGACAAAGATGCCCGCGACGCCGCCATGATGTGGCACTGGTTCCATCATCTTGGCCGTGTCTTCAAGCGGTCGAATGGAACAACACGTGTAGAAACACGTCCGGATAACGTTCCATACAAATGACATGGTGAGCAAGGGAAAACCTCTGCCTTTCCATACGACACTGGGAATACTTGTCAAATATTATACTATATTATCCGGATCCTTCTTGGCGGCGTCGCCATGACTGATGGAGATGGCGGTGCGGGCACATCCATGTACTTCATGGCGGTAACGAAGATATCGCCGCTCTCCCCGACCATTCATGTTACCACCGTGCAAGACCCCTGGCTGTCCCCGTCGTGTGTTGCATCTTGTCAGGTCACAGAATGGACGGATGGCCGCAACATGGGATGGCTCATTAGTGAGAGATCCTTGGGCATCGCGCGGGGGAGCAATGGCAACGATGTGAGCCATGCGATGCTAGCTTTCGTACGGGTCGCAGCTTCGTGTTTGAGTGGGTTCATGAACTCACCAAGGACGAATGTATATCGGGGTTGCCGCGGCGCCACGGGAACGAGGAACGAGTGTACAATTGGGCTCATACACACTCGCGCGCGCGAAGGAACAAGCTTTGCTGGCATTTTTTATGAATTAACATGCCATGGCGGCAGATTCCCCGTGAACGGTGTCGTCATCGTCGGGATCCATGTGAAATACACTTGACACGGTGAGCTTCCGTCGCTTGACTTTCCAAAACGACGACGTTGATGTGGTCGAAGGCCCGCCGCGCTTGCGCTGTTTGTCCATCGGATGAACGGGATGCATGCCCACTTTGGCTGCCTTGGTCTCGATGCCTTTTTTCAGCAGCTTTTCCTTGGCCAGGTCGTTCTGTAACTGAATCTGCCTCGCCTTGGCGCGCAAGCGGCTGCGCAATTCGGCCTCTCGGACAGCCTCCTCGGTTGCGACCGTCGCCGTGCGTTGGCGGCGCTCCGCCATGGCCAGTTCATCTTCCTTCTTTCGACGTCGATCTTCAAGCTTCCGCTCTTGTTTTGACATTTTGTCTAGCTGGAGGTTCCGCGCCTCCTTGGCTGCTTTCTCCCGTGCCGCCGCCTGCTCGGCCTTTTCACGAGCTTCTGCCTCGGCCTCGTCCTTCTTTTGCTGGGCCAACATGGCTTCGTACTCCTTTTTCCGCACCGCGTCGTCCACGACTGCCTTGGCCTTCTCGACGGCCCGATTCTTCTCCGATTCGACACGGGCTTCCTTGTGCTCCATCACCATGCGCCGCACGCGCTCAACGACGTCGATCGTGACGTCGCCCCACAGCTCGGTAGTCAAGTCATACAGACGCTTGGCGGCACCGTACACAGTCCATTCGTCCTTACCCTTGTCCAGCTGATTGTACAGCATCGCGTTTTCAAACGTCAGCCGAATGTCGCCAATAAACTCGCCGTACGACTTGTACATGAGCGAGTTGAGCTTCTCTCCAACCTACAATGCAAACGGAAAAGTTACACGAGGGGCTTGGGCTTTCAACACGCGAATAATGGCTACGTAGGGGACGTCCCAACATCAATTCACAAGCATTATATCTTTGGCTGCCACCACAGCCCACTCGCAGGAAGACCCATCTATGACAAAATCTTCCGATTCATGCCAAACAAAAGCTCTGCGTCAGCTTGTACTCCTGTGCACGATCACGAATGCACATAAATCCCGGCACCATGCACGGAGCCACCAGCCACGACGCTCGAAATGAGCATTTCTGAACGGGAAGCAATCGCTGTTGTCATGGGTATACAAATCTCACAAACCGCCGCGACCCAAGCATGGCACCTCCACAGTACACCACACAAGCTCAAACGTCCATGACGACCAACTCGATACTCCTCAAGGCACATCCATATGACCAAATTGCCCACACCAGCAACAACAGCACTATTTCAATGTGACCACGCAGCGCACCGTTTTCAGATCCATGGGCTGCTTGACAATGTCGTAATAGGTCGGAGGGAGGTCCTTGAAGAGGACGCCGGCCGGCTCCATGAACGGCCACCTGTCTTTGATTTGCTTCTGGCTCAAGAGCGCGCGCAGAACTTTGACACATTCTTTGTTTGGTTTGCTCTCGGTAAACTTGAGCGTCTGGACGGCCGAGAACCGTTCGTTGCGCCACTGCTTGCGCAGGGTATCCGAGTCGGGCATGATATTCATTTCGACGCTGAGCGAATCAAAAAGCCACCTGGAACCACGCAATCGACGTCGCGTTAGTCCACGACGTTTTTCGTTCATTGTACCGCAAGTGATCGGCTGTCTCGCGCACGCGGGCGGACGCAGGATCTGGCCCGGCGTTGAATGTCTTGGCATTTTCAAAAATCAAACGCCCGAGCCGGACGAACTCGGTTGTGTCCGGGATAGCATGGTTGATCAGCATCTGCCTCAACGTTCCCAAGTCCATGGGTTCGGAAATAATGCTCTTGTAAATCTTGGCCAAATCGGGCAGCTTCTCCACCAACGGCGCGTCGAAGTGCATGGCAGTCACGTACTCGAGTTTGAGCATGCGAGAGACGAGTCGTTCGCACGACGCTTCCCACGGCGACAAGTCGAGCTTGACTTTCGACGCCTTGGACGGTTTCGACGACGACGACGTCGCTGGTGTTACACCGGGCGTGGTTGCAGCCGCTGGCTGGGACCCTCTAGTTGGACTTGCGCTCGATTTAGAGCCCGTGAGATCAATGACAGGGGCGGGAGGTGGCGGCGGTGGCGAAGGCTTAGTATTGGCGACTGCAGGCTCCACGACAACTGCGTTGTCGACAACGTCGGTTTTGTGCGACGACGAATGGTGGTGCTTCTTGTCTTTTTTGTCTTTTTTCTTGTCCTTTTTCTTCTTCTTCTCCTTCTTGTCCTTCTTCCGCTTCTTGTCGTCGTCTGCACCGTCGTGGTGGCCTTCAGCACACGACGTATCGATGACATGTCAATTAACAACTCGAGTCCAGCTGAAATTTCAAGCACATATGTAAAAAACGCAACACGAAACGCAGTCATTCGTCGTCGACATGGACGACTGGACAATCGTTTGGGCAACTTGCAACGTTCTTCATTACACAGCGCAGCAGCATTCCACGGTGGAAATCAGTAGATGGTCCCAACCGCTCATCCAACGCAAGACTCAATCGTCGCCCTGACGCTGCAAGTGAAACATACCAGAAGACAATCGGTTCTTCTTGGACGACGACGAGGAAGACGTTGAACCTGGGGTTGCGGTGGGGGCGACGTGAGTGTGCTGTTGTATTTCGCGGCCGTTTTCCTGTCACGCAGTCGTTCCCATCAAAATGCAGCCCGTGAAGACGCGACGGACGTACCATGTCTTGATATAACTTGACAAAGCAGTCGCGCAGAGTCGTCGCCATCGTCCGTATGTCCGCACCTTCGACCGGGTCCGAGTTGTACTTGAGGCAGTTGGAAAAAATCAAGTGGACGTCGGCGGAAAACTCCGACATGCTCGTGTACCGATTACTCTTGAGTTTTCGCTACAACAGAACAGCACATGAGCGTACAACGGCATACGCTGAAACCTCCAGACTTTGGCCCTCAACGCAGGTTTGGTCAACGGATTCAAGCAGCGACAAGCAGAGAAGGATGCATCGGCACACGTTAGGTACGACTGGTCTGCTCAACAATTTGCAGCCAGCACATGACCAGAACAAGTGTAAATATGAACAGGGAATGGCACTACCAAATTCAGATCCCCAGGGACGTACGTCGATTTTGTTGAAGTCCATCGGTTCTGGGACGATTTTAACGTAGTCGGGATATCGCGTGATGTCGACCGCATGCAGAAACGGATACGCCGTCTCGATGTCGTTGCCCATAACGCCGCGCATCCGGTGTTGGCGAAGTATGTCGAGAATCTTGAGGCACTTGTCCTTGTCGGCGAACTCCCGGCGGGACGCAGACGAGCCCGACGATTTCGCCGGGTCCGACGACGACGACGAGCTCTTCTTGGACGACGAGGACTTGGACTCTTTGGGGGACAGAAAGGACGCGGCTGGAGCGGACGGCGCCGCTTTTTTCTACGAATGCAGCGCACGTATAAACACACAAGGCTGTTGACATCAGCGTTGTCACACCACATGCGAAAATTGCGCACAAGTTGACTTGAGCAGATTCTCAGGTCTTGTTGTACCTCATGATTGGACGACATTGTCGTGGCTGACGACCCAGACGAGTGGTGGCTTTTTGAGCCGTTGCTGCTCTTGGAATCAAACAAGCTAGCCACAACGACCGAACCAAACACAGTCTTTGCACTTGATTCCATCGTCGCCAACAACGTCTTGGCTGCGTCGCAGTACACTTGACCGTCGGCACTGGTCTTCCAGTACTTGATGCAATTGTCAAAAACAAGGCGGAGGTCGCCAAAAAACGACGCCACATCGCGGTATTCGCCCAAATGCAGTCGCGACTACACGTAGAGTTGAAAAATGTGCCCGATCCAGTTCGAAACCAACGACACGTGCGTGCAAATCGAGCAAAACCCAAGACACTCTAGCCAAAACCATGGACAGATATCACTCCACGCGGAGGCGCCGCACGCGCTTTCCGAACGCATAACGTAAAGGCTTGGAATGCACACGGTACACATACACAGTCGTTCAAACCTTCGCGCAAGACAGGCAGAAATGCCAGGAAAATGTTGCAATTCCACGTTGACCCGTTCAAATTTGCAAGCGTAATTTTCGTCGATTTGACGTACCGTCACAGTCCCAACGTCCATGGGGCGCTTGATCACTTTAAAATAATTGAATGGAGCTTGGTCCGGCGAAGCGAAATATGTCTACATATCGAGAACATGGGTGCAGCGCCGGTCGACGAATCTTTGCGTCCAAGACAGCATCGAAAAGAGTGCCAAACGTCAGATATACTGGAACGTACCACGATGGGGTGCTTAAACCACTGGGCGGTCTCGACACCGCCGTGACTGCGATGGGCCAGCACGTCGTGAATCACTTGGTGGCATTTCCATCGATCGGCATGGGGAAGCCCCGTCCACGTCGCATCCGTCTGGTCGAATTGATCGAGCTGTTGCTCGAGAAGGTGCATCAACTTGACGGCATGCTCTCGGATCTTGGCACTTAGAAGCACCTCCGAGTTGTACACGAGACAGTTGGCAAAGATGAGCCGCATGTCGTACGCAAACGCCGCGACAGTCGGGTACGCGCCGGTCGACAGCTTTTGTTGGACGCCGTAGAGATGCATGCGATGTGGAATCTTGACTTTGTAGTCGACGTACATGCCAAGATCGACCGGGTTGAAGAATGGCGCGGCCAACGACACCCCGTGCTCCTTGTACTTCATGATGCGCTGTACGATCGTGTGGCATTTGGTCGTGCATTCCTCGGACAACGACAGCGTCGATGGCGTGGATGAACTTTGCGACGGTTTCGATGCCGCTGCTGACGACGGTGGTTTGAAGGACGACGCAGACAGTAACGACGACTGAGGAGGAGACGGCTCGGGTGATCCTGTGGGAGATGGCGCTATTGTCGACGAGGCCACGACATGGCGGGCAAGTTCACCAGCGTACATCATTTCGAAACCCTGGGACAGAAAGGCCGTGAGAAGACGCGGTCAAGATCCCTGTCGTGATATCGGAAGAAGCAGTCCATCGTCGCATGTGGAAAACACTCCAAGAAGGATTAAAGGCCGGTACCTGCAAAAGTCGCTGGGCGGTCTCGAAGAGCGTGGCGTCGTACAACGACGGTGAGTTGTCCTTTAGGTAACACTGGTACAGCATGATGTTCTGGAAGACAAGGCGCACGTCCTTGGAGAAACGCTCGCACGTCTTAAATCGGCATCGCGACGGCTTGCTTCCCAGTAACTTGTGCACTACATCAAGACCCATGGTCTTCTTTGTCAACTTGGCTTTTAAGTCGCCGTTCTGGATCGAGTCAATATTGGCGTATGTCCCGTCCAGCAGGGCCGTCCGAGCCGCCGATGTCAGCAACGTGCTCTGGAGAGATTCGTGGCCGAGCAGCATTGCCAGGACTTGCGTGCATGCAGCATGAGTGGCCTTGCTAATCCGTTCTTTCTCCTTGTTCGTGGGAGACTCGCCGCTCATCTGTCAATAGCAACTCTCGTCCAGAATTAGCGTAGAATCCGGATAAATGAGGTCATCCGGAAAACGCTCCGCTCAAGATTTTGAATTCCGGTGCCGCAGCATGGTGGACGAAGCGGCAAGCAAGAAGATCTTGGAGTTGCTGCAGAGCAAGGATGCCATCATTGAAGAGCTGAATGAAGAAAAGATGGTACTTATGGAGCAGCTGGAGCAGGCGCTATGGGACCTCGAGCACGCCATCTCGAAGAACAATGACGTTGTTCCAAGACAACAATGTGAACGTACAGAATTGGCGGACGATGCAAGTGCGCTTCATACAACGTTATACGACCAACTCCGCGCATTGGAGAGACAAGTGTCTGATATGAAGCACGACGACACCATCGCGACATGCGTGGTTGCGAACCATGAGGAACTCTCGGCAGTCCGATCCCGTGCTCACTCCAAGCACGAGGTACCCGGACAAGAAAGGAGACCACACAACGCCGATGAGTACTTGCAACGGAATCCACGCGTCGAAATGCTTCAATCACAAGCGCAGCCCTATAGTCCAAGTCATGACCGGTGCCTCAAGCAGCAATGCACGACTGAGGTATCGCGACCTTCCGCGTGAAGTTCTTGCTGACATCCAAACAGAATCCACAGCAACCACGCTCGATCATGGCGCAATCGAACAACGTGTCAGCGACGCCACGTCTAGACGACCTTGAAGCTACCCCTAAAGGCCTCGATGCCAAGCAAGTGAGGACTCACTGAAATGCATCAGCCATCTCGGCTGCCATGATACCGAAGCGAGCAATGACTTCTGCTAGGAAGCTGAAGTTTTCGGACTCACCAATTCTGCTTTCCATCATGTGGAATCCATGGCGGCTCCTGGCGTCAGCAGCTCTACTGCTAGTACGTCGAACGGCATCCAGCGCCTTCCCGACAACGCGACGTTGCTCCGTCGCCAGCTCGACGCGTTGACGTTGCAATGGCAGCAATCACAGGCAGACCACGTCACTCGCATCCGCGCATATGAAGTCCGGATCCAAACTCTGCAGGTTCATTCATTATCTCTGAACACTTTTGCGATCCCCCGCTGATTGAGACCTTGTACATTGTAGGACGAAGTGGCCGACAGCCGACAAAAACTGCGGGCTTCCGAGACAGAAGCCATGACGTTGCTTCAATCGCTGCAACGTACTTCTGAAACATTGAACGATATCGACATCCAGCATCAGAAAGACCTTGCCCTCCAAGCCAACGACCACGCGACCCAAACAGCAACGTGGCAAGCCAAAGTCGACCAACTTGAACACGAAAAACAAGAGCTCATTCATCACGCTGCGCTTGTCATGGAGGCGGCTGAAAGCGCCAGCCAGGCAACATCGCCACGATACGTCATGTCCGTCTCTACGTCGACATACGACCTCGAGCAAGCGAATGCGATTGCCACGGAGAATGCCGTATTGGTCCAGTGTCTGCCTCATCATGATGATCAAGGAGGGCTCGTCGGCGACCACGGCAATCCCAACGGATCAACGCCCCAGGCTCACAGATCGACTTCGAGCGATACGTCACCGATTACGTCGTGCACTTTAATGCAGCATGCAGAAGTATTACGTGAGCTGGACGACCTCCAAGTACGACACCAGGCATTGATCCGTGAGATGGAGCTCGAAAAGGATACCAGCCGGCAATGCCGGGACCACATTGACCGGCTCGAACGGCAACTCGGCGAGTTTGCAGCGGTCGTCGCTGCCCAAGACAACGTCCAGGCCGTGTTGGAATCCAAAGCGTCGTTTGCGCTCCTGTGCGCCGCTCGAGCCATTCAACCAGCCACATCCACGACTGCTTCAATGCCATCGACTGTCGACGACTGGATCAAAATCCTGACCGATCTATGGACCGAAGTCCACTCAACGACCTCGGTCGTCAAGACAACAGGCGAACACACGTCGGTCGCCAACGTGTCACGAAGCACGCTGTTGTGCTCCCAACTATCCCCTAGATTACCATCGAGTCCCCACTGCCTGTCGGCTGAGGAGGATGCGAACGAGATCTCGTTGCACCGAGATGCCGCGCCAGAGCACATGTGTGCGTGGTATTTGCAAGCGAAGAAGTGGGAGCATGAGGTGCAATTGTTGCAGCTTGAAAAGTGTTCGTATGAGGTAGGATTTTCATTCGAAAGCGTCGGCCTCTCTAGCTTTTGCCGTCTCCATCCATGAGATGCCCCGTCGAACGGCTGCGATGTGAACGACATGGTAGGACATGCTGAATGCCGTTCGACAAGCCAAAGCTGCGAGCGATGCCGAGGCAACCGCTGCCCGTGCAGCCCTCCTAACGTGGCAAAAGAAGGCGTCGTTGTTGCAGGCGGACATCGGGGCGGCGAACCAAACGCTCGAGCATGTTCAAGGCGAGTTGCGCTCAACACTTCGAGATCGTGGAGAAATGGACCACATGATCCATCGCCTTCGAGAAGAGTCGAGCCGACTCAAGAACAGTGTACGGCGAAAGCAAGAACTGATTGGACATTTGAAGCGAAGCCTGGACGCAGCAAAGCGTGCGTTGGCCGAAGAAAAGAAAACGAAACCCGTGGCCAGCAGCCACGCAGTTCCCGCGCAGACTCCTCGATTGCACCAGCCACCTGTACTCCGACACGACTTTGACAGAGACTGGTTTGATGCAGCCCTGTGGTCTCGTAGGACACGACTCGATGGCAGCAACTTGCTCAACACCTTCAAGGCGAGATCGCCCTGCTCAAAACAGACCAGTGCCACTTGCGTAGTCGATGCGCTACATTGCTCCATGCAGTCAAACTCAAGGACAAGATGCTTCACGAGTACTCCACCAGCCCCCAAGCTACAGCCACGTCCACCAACAGCACGACCGCATCGCCGGTCGGTGATGATGCCAGCAGTACCATAATCAAAGACTTGAAGCGACGGTTGCTTCAGAAGCAGCTCCTTGTCGATACCCTCAAGGCAAAAGGAATGGCCCACGAGGCGCAACGGCTTGAACACCAACAACAAGTCCATCGCCTGCAGGCCAAGCTTCACGTTCTAAAGCTTGGTACGTGGTGATTCCCATCGTCCAGGAATCCAACGGTATTTTTTCCATAGAAGCATCCACTGCGTCGGCCGCGGTTGGCCCCCAGTCGGACATTGGCACGAGTGAAACGCATCGCCTGTTGGATGGACTTCGTGCTTGTGTGTTCGACGTCGCGCACAAGATATTGCACGTCACTACCAACACACCGGCAGTGCCACCGCTGTCCGACGAACGATTGCAAGCCCTGGGGCTGACGTTCTTTTCGTCGACGGATTTAGAAACGCTGACGACGCCGATTCAAACGACAGTATCGAGACAGCGAAAACACCACGTGCTCCACACGTTGGAGCATGTGCTCGAAGCGCACCCCGACGACTGCCGCGACGTGTTGTTTGATGTGTTTTGTGCCGCGTCCAACTTGCCCGCGCCCACCCACCCATAACCAAATCACGACCACCGTCGTATGTATCACACCGCGACAAGTTCATCGTGGCATGAAACACCTCTCGGGGCATGCTTTACCGTTCATCCGTCGTTTGCCATCGGTGGAGGAGTTGCGCAGGCAGAATTGGATCGTTCCAAGGGGAAGCGGAACGGACGAGATGATGTGGACGTGATGGTGTGTCGACTGCAATCACTTCACGCCGCACAAGTGACTGCGCCATGATGATGCGCACAGTTCGAGGACATGACGAGGGGGCAGAGCATACGTGACTGGAGTGTGGCTCCCATGCCGTGCCAACACATCAGATTTTCCTGCAGGTCGCGTGGCAGAAAAGTTGCGAGCGGTGCGTGTGAGAGAGCGATGGCGAGGACGACAGAAGACCAGTTGGCCTGACCCACGTGCAAGTTTATTCTTGGATAGCATGGCCAAGATGGCGTCATGCGGTTTCGAGTCGTGGGTTTTGCCACCGTCCGTGCCATATCGACGGGCGTCGAACGGAGCGTTGGAGAGGCTCAACGGACTGACCGCTCCTCTACTCGTAAAGGGCCACCGTGACACTGCCATTGTAGCGCCATCGAGTGACTCGAGAATTCCAATCTTGTCACGTTGGCGCCATGGCCGACCCGTCTGCGTCGTCCTTTATCGACGACGTGGCCACGATTGTGTGCCAGCCAGGGCCGTCCACCGATGCCAACCCAAATCATCATCTCGCAAGTGCCAAGCAACTCAACCAACACCACGATGACAAGGTATGCGCGAGTTGCAACGTCGAGCTCGCTGACTTGACGATAGCAACGAGCTGCAGTGTACCCTCGCCGCACCGTACTACCTGCAGGGTTCTGGACCCGAGTCGTCAACCCCGTAGACGTGCCTTCCTCGACGTCATCCACACACCCCACGCAGATCAATTCCATTGTGCCTCCGCTTGCCGATGCTGTGCTCACGCTAGAGACGAAGGACACGCGTCGAAGCATGGTCGAGGTTGAGGAGGAAGATGGGGCATCTGCCATCCTGTACGACTACCCTCCGACTGAGTTGTCCAGCCTGTGGACAATGCAAGGCGATGGCGTGAAGGCCACGACAGCACAAGATCCGATTCTACCTCCTTCCGCCGCCACCGTTGTCGTTCACGGCTGGGTGGAGTCGTACGGCGAAGATTCTGGGATTTCTGACGGCGACGGCCACCCCGCCACACCAACGTCCGCCGGCGTCGACGCCGCCATGTTGCACTTCGTCGACTCGAACGTTGACGAGAAAGATGCCGAGATCGAGCGCCTGACCAAACAAAACGTGTTTCTCGTGCAGTTGCTGCGCAAAGTGACGGCCAAAGTGATGAAGAATCGAACAGACTTGGCATTCTATCGCAAGAAACTTCGAGACGCCATGCGACCTGTCCCGAAGCCAGCTACGGCCGACATCTCGATCCAGACAAGTGACGACGAGCCCCTGCCTTTCAACCGCGATCGCAATCCAGTGGATGCAGCTGGTCATCAAATTGAGTCTCTCACGTGGCAGCTCAAGGTCGCGTCGGCCAAGATCCATTCGCTCACCACGTGTCTGGACGAAGCAAAAGCACGATTGGAAGCGAATTCGACATCGACTTGCGCATTGACGGGTCAGTACGAAGCGGAAGCAGCCAAGTGGAAGGCACAACTAACGAATGCGCAAGCACAAGCATCGGCCCATCGGACATCGCTTGTGAAACAAGAAGCGTTGTCGAGTGTGTTGTGCGAGTACGTGGGCCGCTGCGGCGTTCCCATTGACCCATCGATGGATGCCAAGGCCGCCGAGGCGCTCTTACAGCCACACACAGTCGTGCGCCGGACTCACTTGGCTGCCGCCGACAGCATGTACGACCGACTGACGGACAGCATGGCACGAGAACTTACGTTTTTGTCGAAACTGGACGCGCTCGACCCCACAGACATGGCATCGTGCCAAAATCTGTGCAAGCAACCCATTCAAAAGACGTCGCGGTGGCACGTCGAACGAAGATAAAGGCCTGTTACACAACTTGGTCATGGCGTGGAGTTTGTAAATGGTCGTAGCAGGGGCGGAGTGTGTTGGAGATGCAATTCTGGGCGTCCGACCTAGATGAGGTTGGACTGGTTGTTGTGGTCCTGTGCGGCGTAACATCGGTCGCATATTCGAGCCACGTCATGGGCACTCCCACCAACCACACGGCCTTTGTGCTTGGTGTGCGCAAACGCTTTCGCCACATCGCCGGCAATGATGGCGCCGATTCATGAAAGAGAAAGAGGTGCGACAAAGGCCGCAAACTGGTTTCTCCTTCCATCTTGCCGGCAACGTGACCGGATGGTGGACCGCGCAGTGCGGATACCCCGCCGCCGCCAACGTCGCCACCACTTGAGCTGAGCATGGCCGTAGATGAACGAATGCCTTGCCACGATGCAAAATCTCGATGGCCCGTGGCACCATCTCCAAGTACATGCGAACCACGTCGACAGGTACACGTCTGGATGCATGCATATGTAGTGGAGCAAACTCATGCCATACTCATCGATGTCATGGCCAAGTCGGGTCTTCACAGCGGCCATCACGACGTCCCAACGTCCAGCGGACACTGCGGACAAGAGCGACAACGACCGCGCTGGTATCGATGGCAATGCCAACATTCGGCGGTGATGATGCAGTGCCGACCTGAAGAGGCCTTGACGTGAGCTCGCCGAAGGAGTTAAGCAGTTTCGTGGCAGCGATCCCTACGTTGGCGTCACAACAACGTATGCATGACTAGCACCGAATTTTTGACAATTGCCACGTGGAAGGAGGACCATGTGGCATTCTCTGCAGCGCACAACAGTACGTGATGGAGCTGCCATCGCGCGCTGCATGGCACTGTCCGGCATGTGCCGGCCTCTCGTGGAGTGCCGTGTCACGAACGAAAGCCAACGATATATATCCATGCCAATCCGTGTACTCTGGGCAGCTGGATCCGTCCCAACGCTTGGCCAGGCGCAATGTGCACACAGACGTTGAATTCAAAAATGCACCGCCGTTGGGGTTAGAGAAAAAAAACCTCCAGGATGATCGAACACCCGTGCCAAAGTTGCAACGACCTTTGCACGCGTGAATGTGGTTGAAAGGGCGACGATGCGCCGAAATATCTCTAGGCAGTCCCGACGTCGGCCTGCCAACCCGCGGAAAATCCTTTCGTGCCGTCGGGTCCTTTCGCCATTCGATGGGAGGTGGCCGCGGAGCCTCCGTTTTCCTTGAGAACACGTCGCAAGGATGAATTCACGCCGGCCCCTTTTCGGTCCACGCCCTGCAACGAGATTACTCCATGCGGTTGGTTTGAATTCCATGACATACCTCGAGTCGCACGATGTACGTCGCCATGGCTGGCTTGTCCCCGTGCGGCTGTGCGATCGCAAACTCGACCTTGTCGCCCATGCCCAACGCCCCGTGGTGACCACCATGCCAGAGCAAGCTCTTGTTCAGGTACGTCACGCGCTCTTCTGCATTGCCGCTGTCTGCATCGTCGGCAATCACGACAATAGTCCCGCCGTTGACATTGACGAGTTCGACGACGCCCTTCTTGGCCACAGAGGAAACCAATGCCACTTGCGTGGCTTGTTTGCTTTTGCCCACGACTTGGCACGTTACCACGTCCCCTGGTCGAAGGACCACCGCAGGGTCCACTTGGTCTTCAACATGGTACATCCAGCCATGGCGCGCCATGTCGAGATCGTCAAGATCGTCTTTCTCGTCGACTGCAGTCCCGTCGGCATGCATTGCGCGAATTTTGAGTTTTCCGGCCGTCGACTGCGGCGTTTGTTTCTTGTGCGAATTGCCAGACGCTTTCTGGCGATGGCTCGCTCGGACAACGACAACTTCGACAGTCCGCACTTCCTTGGGCGGAAGGGTTCCCGGGGGGACTTTGACAATATTCACAGCCTTCTTCTTGCGGTCGGCACCATGCTTCACGGCAAACTGGACCTCGTCGCCTTCGCGGAGCTTGCTGCCCTTGTCGGCAATGTCCGTGACATGGAAAAAAACGCTGTCGCCGTCGGTCGATTCGATGAAGCCGTACCCTTCCGACTTGACCAACGTGACCCATCCTTCGCCACTCAACGCCGCTTTCAAACTTGTCTTGATGGCCACAATCGTCTTGGCCACCAAGTGCTGTCCGCGCTTTGTCCGCACAATACTGCACGTGACCTCGTCGCCCACGTGCGGTTCGTAGCGCACATCTTGCACACTCTCGGATGAAAACTCGGCCTCCGCGTCGTGCGCTTCGACCGCTGCCGTCCAGTTTGGACGGTTGGAGTGGGCGGGAAGGACAACTTTGATATCACGTCCACTCTTGGCGTCGTCGGGCGTGACAAGGCCGACCAGCTTTGCATACAACGTGACCGCACTTCGCTGCGACGGCGTGAGCTGCTTGAGGACCAACTCGACGACGTCCGGCGCTTGCTCAACATCAAACAACGTTTGAAGTTCCCGTCGAAGGGCTGGAAACGGGTCCAACGGACACGTCGCTGTCGTGAACGAAATGCGGCCGTCCGCGTTCGAGCCATGGTTCGTCGCGCTGTGCTGTCCATCCGTTTTGCGGTGGTAGGACGACGACGACGAGACCGGAACGGCAGTCACGATTCCCTTCGTTTCCGGGTGTACCACGACTTCCCACACAATGGTGTGCTTGGGCAGCACTTGGACGCGAGCGGCGCGAATGCCGTCGGGTTTGCCGCCGCCTTGCTTGTGGTTCGGGACCACATCAAACGACACTTCGACGCCTTGGCGCAGGGCCAAATGCGACGAAGCCCCTGCCGGGACAACGTCGGCCACGCGAAAGTACGCGTCGCCGTGGCGGTCCACACATCTATACATCACAGAGCCATTCGTGACGAGATGGCGTAGACGGTGGAAAGAGGTCCACTGAACGTGCGTCCGGTTCAAAACCGACGACGCCATGCCGACGATGGAAACGTACTTGATGAAACCAAAGTCGTCCTTGAGTGACGACACAATGCCGACTTCACGGCCGTCGGGGTGCAACTCGCGCCACTTGACTTGGACAGCAAACTTTGTTCCGCGTCGAAAGTCTTCCATCACGTCAAACGTGACAATGTCGCCGGCCTTGGCTGGATATGAGACTTCGGACCATTGGACCTGCCATGGCGGCAGTCAGTCCCCGTCCGGGATGCGAGGGAGGCGTCTCGCAGTACCTGGATCGACGGCACTGCGTTCGAGTCGGCCGTGGCTGGTTCGGCCACAATCGGTTGAATTTGACCGACGCTGCTGCTATTTCCGCGTTGCTTGCTGTCGTGGTGGTAGCCGTGGGTGCGACTGAGGTCCTTGGGCGGCACGACCATCGTGCCTTCGACATTGGTGGCCACAATCGCCTCGAACACAACAGGAACGTCCGTTTTTTCCAATCGAATGGCCGTGAGGAGCCGACGTCCAGACGACTTGAGTCCGTTGCCGGCATTCCCAAGACTCGAGTCTCGGTCCGCATCGGACCCTAGCAAATCGTCGGGCACGATAAAGAACGATACACTGTCTCCTTCGGCGATCACGCCCTTGTCTTCTTTCGATATCGCGAATGTAGCATCTTGAGGTCGACGCAAGCACATGATCGTGCCGGTGTGGCCCTTGATCGATGTAACGACACCGGTCTCGCGCTCCAGCGACGTCAGCGCCGCTTCGATGGCCGCATCTCGCTTTGCCGCCGCGCTCAACGTGACCGTCAAATCGACAGCTCGCTTCAAGCCCGTTTGGCGATGAATCGCAATGCGAAATTGCACGTCGTCGCCAACACGAGGAGGATGGGATAACGCCTATGATCCAACACAAGCATTCGCATGAATTCTGCCGTTCGAGCGTGAGAGGTACACGCACGGGGAAACTCTCTGCATTGAATCGAACAATGGGTTTGCGCAGCGGAGTGGGCGCGGCAACGGCTGCGTCGTCGGTGGTCGATGCGAGAGGCACCAGCACATCAATCGTTCCCGTCGCGTCCGCAGCCTGCCGCGTCGAGCTGTGTTGAAAATGGTGCGACTGCTTGTGTTTAGGTGGCAGACTCTTTGTGACGACGCCATGGGTGACTTCGTCCGCCACGTCTTCCAGAACAATCGTCCCTTTTGGCAATCGCTGGATGCGCGTGGCGCTTTCTTTGCCGTTGCGGGGGTTCACCGTCACTTCGAACGACAATTCGTCGCCTACCTACGGCCAGTGTTGTGTACATGACATCGCACCACGACAATCGAGACGAGACAATGCATATATACCTGCACATGCGCAACGTGTGCTGCATCGGACGACCCTTCCTCGTCCGTCGAAGCTCGCGCCGGCACTTCGCTTTCGTGAAAGAACACGTCTTGCTTGAGCTCGAGACAATGCAGAAATCCAAACCCGCCGTCTTCGCGGACATGTGTGACGAAACCTTCGTGTCGTGGGACGTTGGCAGGTTGTCCCCATCGACCGGACGGTGCTGGTCGATGACTCTCAAATGCGTCGCGGCCGTACCCACCGCCGCGACTCCCATATGAAGACGTGCTGTCGTATCGGTCGTAAGCCCGTCCCGAAGCACTACCGCTACCTTGTCGTCCAAAGCGACTCGAATCGTCATATCCGCGATTGCCACCACTTCGGTCGTCAAAGTCGCGGCGGCGATCGTTGAACCCTCCACGGTCATCCCGACCACGATCGTTGTACTCTCGACGGAAGTCGCGACGATCGTACGACTGACCACCGTCGTCTCCTCGGCGGAAACTAGAGTTGTTAGCATGCGACGAAGGGGCAGGTTGGACCGCTTGTTGCTGCTGCGCGCGAGTTTGCCAGTAGTTGGACGCAGCTGGCGCTTTCGTCGTGGTTGCAGACCGAGATGCCGGCTGTTGGTCCACCTTGGACGAGTAATGTTCATCGATTGACTGAGGCGCGCTCGGCGGCTGGTGCAGTGGGACGCGTTCGTCGTCTTCGTCGCAAGCGTCCGCCCAATTCCCGGATTGTGGCTGGCGGAACATGATGGCCCCACTCCAAAATGCCATTCCATGGTGCACGGCAACCGGTATCCGGAGCTTCCGGATAAGGAGACCTGGCGAGCCGCATGAACACAGAGCACGAAGACCAAGCTGCCGCCTTGTTGGGATTTGCTGTGTGGCATGCGCTTTCTCGAAATCAGAGGCCTCCTCATGGACCGTCAATAATGTGCGTTGAGTACGCCATGGTGTCGAGTTGCCGCGGGCTTCGTTGCTTGACACGAGTTCATGCCGTTTGTCGATCGTTTTCATGCGCATCGTTGCAACGAACGACTGGCAGACTGCTGCAGCCTTCTCTCGACATATCTTGGCCACGACGCCGCGGGCAATACGTCAGTCATCCTGAATTCAGGCGCAATTTGATACCCGAACACTGTGAATACTCCAGCCAGTCCGAATCGTCGACTCGTAGGCCGGGCGATGTAGAAGTCATCAAGTCGCCGAGCGCCACTTGCCCTTGGACCTTTCGTTCGCTGACAGATGCGGCTACATAGGAGAATGTATCAAGAGCTGCATTTGTCTTGGTGGCTCAGGTTACTCCCGGGACACCCGACGAAGCAACGGTGGACGACGACAGCGTTGTAAACTCGTGATATTTGGCATAACTTCCAGCAAACGCGGCCGCATGTCTCCATTTGAGTTGGTCTAGCATACACGGATATCGGCTCTACGTGGACTGTGCAGATTGCGGTGGGTGCAATGGTTGCTCATGAATGTCCATGACGACGCGATGACGACGTATTTTACAATGCGCATTCTAGTCAAAGTTGTAATCGTCGTCTAGGCAATGTTCGTGAAACAAACAACGCGCCCTGTCCCTGGCATGCACGCACCGATCAAAACGATTGCTTGGAACCCACGACACCACCGCACTCGTTTAGGCACCAGGGGACGCCCTCGATCTAAAATGCCCCTTCCACCAAACCATACCCATTGCTCCATGCGCCTTTCACCGCCATGTCGTTACCCTATGCTTTCGACGCAAGATGCTGCGTTTGTACTTGCCGAGACACACGTCCGAGGGCCTTGTCCATCGACTAGATCGTGCCGACGGTACCATGGACGTGTTTTTATCCTGCAGAGTACACCTCTGGGCGCATCGTAACGATGTACAAGTTGGCAAACTTCTCAAATCGGTTCTCGACCGACAGGTACGGGTCTGGAAACTTGTGGCATGCCATCGCGACCATCGCTTCTTGGAACGCTTCAAACGACACGTCTCTCTGCATGAGCTCAGTCTTGGACAGCGTTCGCCCTTGACAGACGTGGCCAACAACTTGCATCACCCGGTCATTCGTAAACCCCATGTCTTCGATCTGCATCGCCCCATGAGATGCAACCAGTCCCGTCGACAACACGTACACTTTTGTCCGACACAAACTTGACCAGTGCATGGCCTGTCATCCGATGCTGCTTGCGTGCTTTCTTGGCACCGCCCCCGTTAGCTTCGACGGACGAGTACTACGTAAACGCCGACGTCAATGCAAGAGTGTCCGTTGTCGGTCCATGCGGTGTGGACGACGTGCGTTGTGTGCGCAAACCTTGCCAAAGAGCGTTTTGAGATCGTCCAAGTACTTGATCATCAACGCGCGGATGCCTGGGCTTTCCATCTAGACGTGGCGTCGGTGTGGAGCGCCGCGGTGCTGCCGACGACACAACGCACCTGCTTGCGAAACTTGTCGGCATCGCTTTGGTACGCAAACGGAAGGATCTGGTTGTCGACGAGGAGGCAAAACGACTCGGACAGAGCGGTCTTTTTGGTTCTACAGACTTGGTTGGCGACGGTCCGACGGACGCGCCATGGAGTTGCCACTCACATGCCGCTATATCGTTTCCGCGCCACACGAATGAGCGCTTCGATGAATTCCACAGGCAGCAACGCTCGGTTGACGTCGACGACACCGTTCTCTGCCGCTGATTTCTACCGGCACACTCGGCATGAGATCACGTCGAGAGCGGCACCTAGACACTGCCCAAGAAATTGCCCCCCCCCACGTGCATCGCACGTACGCTCTGTGTGACTTCCGTGAGGATGTCAGCCATGTCAGCAAGCGAAAAGTTGGCATCGGGAACATTGCATTCCTACGGCAAAGCACTTCATCGCGACTCGCTATGCCCGTCGCGCCGCACCGTTAACAGAGCCAGGAGGTCGCCTTGACTCATGACTGCTACATCGTCGTCCGTGTTGGTCGACCGCGAAGCATACCTTCCCTCGTCGAATAAGCCAAGCCATGGTCCAACAGGAAAGGTGGACAATGTACCCGCGATAGATTCGCGCCAGGTCGTTGAAGACGCTGTTCAGGTATCCTTGCAGCATGTCGAGCTCCCTGGAGACAGCCAACGCATGTCGCTGTGAGCACGCCACCGGTTGCGCACAAGCTGTTGGTGCCGACGCTGTTGGTGGAGGCACGTACCACTTGGCATCTTCCGTGGCAAAGACGACTCCTTTGAGTTTTTCCCGCGGCACGACGAGGAACCCTTCGTTCTCGGCGCTCTTGTCGGCCGAGCACATGAAGCCCGACTTGCCATGGGCCATGAGCGACAGCGTGAGAAAGCATTTCCGAAGCACGATGCGCGCGCTTTTCCACCACAACACATGGCCGTCGTGGGCCTTTCGCGTGTCCGTGTCGAGTTTCTTTTTGAGTTCCAACAAGTGAGCCAACGCGAGCTTGATTTTCTTGGACACGGTTTGGTCCTTGGCAGGTGCCTCTGCCGCATCTTTGAGCTCTCGCCATTTCGCTCTGCCCGATGGGTGAGGCCACGATGTTTGGGGCAATCGATGGCACGTACCGCTCAAACGTGAGGTCGCGGGAAGTGTCGGCCATGTGCTGATTGTGGACGCTATCCAAGATTGGCGACGACGTGCAAAAGAGGTAGCCGAGAAGGACCAAGTTGAAGTCCGTGTCGCCCGCCAGAATGTCCTCGGCTTGGACAAACTAGTCGCACACAACCGTCAACGTTGAAGGCCAGACGACGCGACGTCAGTACGTCGGACGGCAGCCACATCGCGTGCCCGATCGTATTCATCATGTACTCGATTCGTCGCTGATCGTCCACTTCATGCGTCATCAAGGCCTGGACGCATTGCAAGTACGACCGAATCGAGACGATCGTTACCACATAGCGCTCTGCGTCGTGCTCTGTCAACGCCATGCCATTCTCGCGTTGCAGGGGATTCAATGAAAAGTCTTTTTTCCTCGACTTCACTAGGCGCGCCATCACGTTTCCATGGTGGTGCTGACACGATCGCCAGACGTACTGTTGCACATGGCTTCGTGCAGCGTGAGGGTCAGGACCGTGTACGACTTGCCGTCCTAATCGGACTTTAAAACCATTCCATGCCGACGCCCGTGGACGCGCGACCATGGGCATTTTCCAGTCGCCGTGACAACGTACTTGAAGGTTTGTGTTGCAATTGTTGATTCGACTTGGCTTGATCCAGTCTACCGACGATTTGCGCACAACAGCGTTTGCCTGCGTCGGATGCGACCTGTCAGGGTGACAGGAGACAATTCGTGTACCCATTGCATGAGAATGCGATCCGCGCGGTCGATTGTGGCAACGGACGTTGGCGTCGGTGGGAGATCGCCTTTGCTTTTTTTCGGGGACGCTGGCGCTGCTGGTTTCAACGGCTTGTCCTTGACGAAATTCGCCGTCGGGTCGTACAACAGCGGATGCTCGGCAAGGTCGAGCGAGTTGACAACGTCTCCACTCAAAACATCACACAGGTACTGCCGACCTTCAAACAGACTCAAGTCCTCCAGTTGCCGCTGAAGCAAAACACAACCCCGTTTTTGAGCGTTCCAACCTGGGCCGATCGTGGCGCACCTCCATTTGGGACAGCATCTCGTTGGCCATTTGAAAACACGCCTTTTTGTAGTCGAACAACTCGGCTTCGAGGGGCGCGAGCGCTTCGGACGCTTTCGCTCGCGTTTGCAGTTCCTACGCCAAGAGCGAAACGACATGCGTGTGCAGACGGCCACCGCGGACAACTCACGTCAATTGTCGCTTCTGCGGCTGCCAGCTGCATCTTGACGGCGGCCAGCTCCTTGTTCTTCTCCGCCACTCGTTGCTTCTCCGCCTCGACGCTGGCGTGCAACTTGGCGAGCTTTTCATGGTCGAGCTGGGACTGAACATGACTGTGTTTGGTCAACTCTGTCACCGTTCCATGAAGCGAATCTGTTTCGATCTCTAGCGCTTCGACGCGAGTCTACCACGACTATGAGTTGCACATCGCGGGCTGGAAAAACTCGACCGACCTGCTTGTCGGCGGCGTAGAGCATTGCGCCATACGTCCGACGCTCCAGCATGAGCATGCGCCATCCAAGGAATTGCCGCTTGAGCCGCACGCGGGCTTGGAACCTCAGCACGTACGCGCGGTGGTGTCGTTTGTGCTGCACGTAAAACGTCCACACCCTACAAAGCGGAAACAAATCGATCAAGTGCAGACAACCCCATGGAGATTTCTAAACATGGTCGTACCCAAAGATCATGCGAGTCATGGTCGTGGAGACATGGTGGAATGCGCGGGTCGTGGCTTTTGCAAACAACCATTCGACTCCCTTTGCAAGACTCTGCTTGTATTTCGTCATGTCGTTCTTCTTGCATTCGGAGAAGCACGACAGACACATTTCCGGGGTCCCGCCACATCCGTAGCAGCGATGGTTGTGCTGAACTTGGTCTGGTCCATGGAGATGCGATAATTGTCGTGTCGGTGTTAGCGCTGTCGACAGTGACGTGGATGACCGCCGCAAGTCGCCAGGTCCACCACTTGTCTTTGGCCGTCGCTCGATAGGCTCCAAGATGGCGACTGGCGGTGAACTCGTAGTTTCCGGGCCAAGTCGAATCGGGGAGCTCTTGGATGCAAGCGGTCGTCGCGACGACAATGGTGCTTGAGGCTGCGAAGTGTCCAGGTCCCCGTTGAGGCGCCGTAAGCTGATGGGCGTATTCCCCGCCTTTTTCAGCACGGTCGTGCGAATTTGGATGCCGTGGCCAGCAATTGGCGCCGTGCCTTCGCGCTGCGCCATTGCGACTGCAGTTTCAATCTGTGTTGTAACGGATAGCTTAAGCGGCGCTGTCGACCCGCGCGCCGTGGACATGTTTCTTAAGCATGCCGATGATGTTTGTACATCTGTACCTTACTTCGATCGTACGAGCACTGAGCGCTCGTGGTTCCAAGCCAGATCGGGTGGCATGCTAATTCTAGCAGGATGGTCGTGTTTGGCATGCCATTATCGAGACTGCCTAAGTGAGATCTTTCTCGCGGCTGGCCAACGGCGGTGGCAACCGCGATGGGCCTGGAAGCATCTTCACGGCTGACTTGTGTACAGCAAAGCCAGGACACACTTGACCACCGCACGCGCATTGACTGCACGAAAAACACGCATCAATCCCCCATCGCTACCATGCACAACGAAAACGTACTGCTTCGTGTCGGCGTCTGACCAGGTGTAATGACCTACGGTCGCGCGGCAGGCACTGTTCGAGCAGACCAAGTTGCCGTCCTCCGGCTGAACAGACCCGAACCACGCCAGCGGCTCAAGGAATACGATGTGGCACTTGCTCGTGCCGTCGACGGCGGCGAATTGCTTCTCGTCTTCGGACATCGCAGCTGACACTCGGCGTCTACGAACCAGCCCGTGATTTTCACGTTTGGCATGCCGTTGGACGCAACGTACATTTGGTGCCGCGATCCATGTTTCTCGAGCGCTTTCATTTGTTGCCGCCATGTTTGGAGTTCATCGGATGCGGGGCCGGTCGGCTCGGATTGCGCTTTACGAAACCCAAAGGAAGGCCGCAGCGACGCCCACGACCGCCAATTCTTTTTGCTTTGTTTGATCGTTGGCCGCGACGAATTCGACGACGTTACGATGTGTCCTTCGCTACGTTGGGTCTGTGGTTGACTGTCGCGTACTTGTGCAGCTACAGCATTGTCTTTTCCGGCCGGCACACTCTTCAAAGTATTCCCGTCGGTGCCAGAACGCAACTCGACGTCGTGAATTGCGGCGCCTAAAGTCGCATCCAGGTCGTCGTCGCATGGAGTAACCACTGCGTGCTGCGCTTGCTTGGCCGATTGTTCGCGCGTCGCGATGGTGCTTCGTAGCATTTCCTGCTGCAATGTTTCGTCGTCGTCTTCGTCAAATTCGTTGTCGGCGAATGGCCGGCCAACTGGCAATGGCGCCCCATGTCGGCCACGAGGTGTCTCTGGACATGAGATAGCTCGTTTTCTGTCGATAGCGACGGTCCAAAGCGCGGCGTCGGTCGTGTCGTTGTGTCGTAGAACGTTTGCGGCACAATACAGCAACGTTCCGCACGCTGCACAGCCGTACTGGGTCCCCATCGTTCGGAGGGGCGGAATGAATTGTTGGTCTTTCGGTGAAGATGGTCGTGATAGGTAAAACCCGCGAGGAAGTGTGCCAAGGAGCATGCGGACGTCCGACGAAGCTTTTTTTGACGCGTGTGTCGATGACTTTGGAGTGGGAATATAGTCAACATCCAGCAGCTGGCTGCGTCGCAAACGCGCCCGGACGATCTTGGTTTGGAGCAGCAATTGATGGGCTGCGTAAACGTCTCGCTTGGCCTTTTCAAAACACCGAAGCTGGTCCTCAAACCCTACGACGGCACTGCAGAGTCAAGGTTTGGAGCTGGAATAAATCGTACCAGAGTTGAGCTGGACAACCGGTCGTGCGATGCGGACTTTGCTGATTGCATCGTCAAACGAGTGCCCGAGCGCAGACATGAGGTATGCGATTACAATCGCAGGAGATCGAGACCGACCACCGGCGCTACCATATATCGTTGTACATAAACGCTCAACGGTGGTAGAGATCGTACCAGTGGACGAGAATGCCGCCTTGCTGCATGCCTGACTCGAGGAAGACGGTCGCAATGGGGATGCAGCTGAGCAGGTTTGTGTAGTCTTTGTCGCGGAGGTCCACAGTCAAGTATGTGAATTCCTAACGACGTTAGGAACCGTAAAATCTGTCGAGGTCGATAGCATCGTGACGTACGTGTGGATATGTGGCGATGGTGCCCGACACGTTGAGGACGTGGGTGATTTTTCGTTCTTTGATCGCTTCAAAATTGAATGCGGCGTGGACGGAGCCGACCCAGAGCTTTGGAATGACTTCGCATGGCAAGTTGTCCTACAACGATCGAGTTCCGTGGGCAACATAACTCCCGGGAAATGAATGGTGGGAGCGTACCTGGACCAGCGATGGCTGCAAAGCAAGACACGGGGGCTTGTTTCGCTGTCCAGGCGTACACTTCTTCACGTTGGTCGCGGGGATCGTCGGTGCCGTCGCCATCATGGTTGTGCTTCGAACCACCGCCTCGCAACGACTGCCCAACTACCGAGTTCGTCAACGGCTGTTACGCTGCCGTTTCAGGCTAGATTTCAGCCAATCAAATGTGATAGATTTTGTTTCCTGCGATGCCATTGGCTCACGGCCGATCTCCACCATCATGTACACCGTACGCACGTATCGAGCGAGGGGAGACGTGAGGTGGCTGGGCGCGGCCGGCTGCACGTGGCGGAGTGCGACCTGGAAGAGAACCCATGCAACTCCAGGAGAATGGAGACAGAAGAGATATTGCACATCATCTTGCATGCTCTCTTGTAGCTCGAGTGTGTTGGCCGATCGCCAGGTGCAGAGACTCTGCCACGTTGTGGTGCAAGTTGCGCCAGCGCTCGGCACCCGCTATAACCTCTGCAGTACGCTCACCTCGCGTTGTTGCTTTCCTCGTATGTTTGGGTGCGATGGACTATGTGTGATGTGCAAAACATGCTACACCAATTTTAAGGGCGACGATGCGAGAGAATGCCCGAGACCATATTTCCTCGAGCAGCTCGACCATCCCGCGCCAATACCTCAGCGCGCGTCCGACAAGCGAAGGAATGTGTTCGAGACAAGAGCACAACGGAATATGCGGGCACGCTTGCGAACAGAATCGATGGATGTCGTTGAAAAGCCGTGCGTTGGCGCCGACTACAGCACGGAGACCGATATGCATCCGTTGCGTTGGCTGAACACCAACCACGTCATCAAGAAAAGAGCCCAATTTTCAACGAGGCCGTTCCAACTGGTTCGGCGGGATGACTGCATTCGCGGCATGCAACGGCAATAGTAGGTTGGCTCTGCGTTCATCGACTTGGATTTCATGGCATAAAGATCCACGGCTTGGTCAACGAGGGTTGAGCTTATAGTTCGTCATGCATTGTGGTAACGTCATTTCGATCTGTGGCGCTCTGAAGATGGGCGACGTACTCTTTTGTGCATGCCGCGGGCGTGCTAAAACCGAGGACGTAGTCGCACCATGCTCGCTCTTCCATGTAAGCGACGTGGTTGTACGAGTCGCAATGCATCTCGACTGTGACTCGGCGATACCGTCGGTTCGGGTCATCTCGGCCGCCACAGAGATCGCCGCGGCCGTACAATTGGTTTGGCGGGCGCAGCGCAGACGCTACCCGAGTCTCTGCGGCATGCGGCACTCCTTCCACATACAATGGTGCTGGGACTAGGATGGCATGGTTGTCGTGAGGGTTTCTTGCGGCCCATTCGCCCCAGAGGCCAAGTAGAATTGGCGGTTGGACTTCTTGGTCGGTCCCATCGTCCTCGACCACGTACTTATCCCCAACCTGCGCTTGCTTCTACGAGACCAAAAAGCCGGTCAACTCTAAATGGGGTGGTGGAGTGTACCTGCGCAAGGCGCCATCCATGGTATCCAGGCTCTGTTTGTGTGACGTTTACAAAGGGGCAAAACACCATCAAGTACGTTCTCGCAATCGTGTTGGACGTGCCGCCTTTGAGCTCCTTCTCGTTCACTTCATATTCAAAGCAATGTCCCATCAACGACGCAAATTCATCGTGGTCACCGAACGACGTGGACGCCAGCGTTGAAACCTTAGACCACTGGGATTTGGCATGCTGCATTTGAGCGTACAGCTGGTGATACAGGCGGCGATCTTGGTCCGTCGGCGTCAAACTCGGGTTGATTTGGTACCGGTGGGTCAAAGCGTCAAGCTGGTCTTCCGCTGCTTCGGCAGCACCCTCCCAGTGTTCAACTGCTTGCGCTAGCGACGCTCGCCACGAGTCGAGTTGCGACGTGGCTCCGACATTATCAATGTACGCATCTTTCACCTTGAGACCTTCGAGAGCGTTCTGTAGGACGTCATGTAGTCGCGCGTTGGTCTGCGCGGCTACGGATTCACACCTGTTTCTACACGTGTTGGTTGGACCCTCGTCCGAGCCATCGCAGCAATCGCATACTCCGTCCAACACGAAAGATGACGGCAGTTGGAGGCCAGACCAAGCGCACGTGAAATAACCCACACCACAGGCCCCCGTTAGCCATTCGTCGTCCGAGCCATCCAAGCAGTCGCAGTAGTTGTCATTGAGTTTGGACAACGCCAACGTCGACGCACAAGACGACACATCATTCGCGGACAACACAGACGGCCGAGACGTTGACGGCCACCGCGCATCTAACGAAGCATCGGCTTTACTGATCCATACGCTGACCAGCCATGACACGACCATGAACCGCATCGTTGCGGTGGCGCTGGTGTACTGCCGCGTGGTTGTTCGGTGGCCATGCAGCTCCTGATTGGTCCATCGAAAACCCGTCATATTGAATGGATACATAGGC